AAAGTAGCATAATCGATTGAGGTAGATTTTGCGAGAAATTTTTGCCTTCAGTCAAAGTTATAAAAGAGTATTCTATGAAGTAGACATCACTTTAATGGTTTAGAATTAATAATAAATAATAGATTTAGAATGTTCTCCTTTTAATCGTTTTGTTTACTACTAGGACCAAATAAATATCTGGAGATGAACAAGTCTATTACTTTATCCGTCAATTTGTCAACACATGATCTGTCTGAGTTTCGGAATGCTATAAGTTTTTCCGTAATAATCACCGATAAGTATAACCGGTTAATCTAGTACTGATTTGTTATTTCTGCTAAAAAAAATGATTAGAGCGATAAACACTGATAAGGAAGAAGTAAAATCAATCGTGAGAAATACATATAACTGTGTGGAGTAAATGAAAAAATACTACAAAGGCCAAGATGTGAGGCTATTTGGAGAGAAAGCAATAAAAAAGGCCAATGGAATCAGTAAGTTGGTTTAAGCACGCAAAACAATTTAAACATTGTTATAAACATGTAAGGAAAGGCCAACTTGTAGGTCTATCAACTAAAGCTGCAATTAAAAAGGACCGAAAATATGGACCACATTTTCAATCTCTAAATACATTCATTTGACTAGGGGTAATTTAGATAACAAACAAAGAAATATCAAGCATCGATAGAGCATTATATAGATTGATATACATACATACATGCACACACACACACACACACACATGTGTGTTGAGCTAAGTAGACAAGCTGGAGATCTATAGGGCTTGGCCATAAGGTTTTGCAAGATGAGAAATGATGCGATGGCCAAGAATAATAAAGACATTGTTATGAGAGGAAGAAGCATACTTGGTGAAAGAGAAATGGTTGAAAAAAATGCGTTATATTGCAGAAAAAGGAAAGAAAAAAGCAAACATATTCAAGTCTAATTTCTTCTTTAAGCTAAGCAAGCATACCTATAATCTAAAAAAAAAAAAAAAAAAAAAGAAAAACATCTGACTGCTTTCATGATTCCGATAACCCATCTTCATATTTTCCTGGGATGAAAAAATGATTGAAAAATAGAAAATTTTTGACACCTTTTATCTCAGAAAATTTTCCCACTTCCCAAAATTAAATATTATGGGAATTCCATTTGGAGAATATTTCACAGTTGAAATTATAGTTGCAACTGTCCTTTTTTCAAACTTTCACCATAACGAATAAAAAAAAATCACTCATATAGTTTTTCTACATAATAAACGAACCACGATTTTGCGCGAGTCTGTTACTGTTCGCTTCTGTTACTGTTCGCTTAGATTTAAATATATATAATAAGATTCAGGAAAAAAGAAAGCAAGAAGTTCTGGATCCGAAGTGAGAAGTTACGTTTCAAGGTTAACCGGAACTTCATGTAAGGGGTAGAAGTACTCTTTGGTTAACAATTGAGTTAAGATCCTGAAGTACTCAGTGTGTCTAAATTTATCATTCCCTACTACAATGATAATTTGCTATAAACTAATTAACAAAATATTATTCTGTTTTTGAATCATTTGTCAATAACAAGAAAAAAAAAATTTATTTGTCTGCTGGTTTATAGAAGTTTTTAAATAATTCTGTACTAAACATTCCCGATAGTTTAAGTTCCAAATAAACAATTAGAAGTGAACACAGATTGAACAATAACTTTTTTTTTCCGTCATCGATATTTCATAGTAATGAAGCGCATCTTTAAGATTTATTACAATGAATTTTAAAGTTTCAAATTTACAAAAAAAATGTCAGAAATTTGCATCAAATTATTGCAACAATCTTCGCTCTTAGTTTTGCTAATATAAACGTTTGGAGAATACAAAATTTATGCCTCTTATCACTGCCAATTCCTTTCATTACGCCTTAGTCATGGAATTTTCTTTTCCACAAAATGTTTTTTTTTACTTTTGTTCAGAAATTAACACATCAAAATTTGATTGTGCTATGGAATGATTTTTCACCTACGCTATATAAATGCACATCTCTCTCTCTCTCTCTCTCTCTCTCTCTCTATATATATATATATATATATATATATATATATATCATTCGTTGTTGACATGGGGACACAAATAATCTTTCTGACTTTCTCTTTTATCATTTTCTTCTTGCGCATTTTTTCTGAATTAAATTAGCATCCTGTGATAATGATCAAAAATTCTTTTGCATGCATTTTTTCAATTTCAAACACGAATTGAATACTAATTTAATATGTTTATCGGAATGAATAGGAAATATGAGTTAAAAATTACTTTATTTCAATCGTCTCCAGTATTTTTCATGAGATGAAGTTCACCACACGCACCAATATTTTCCTCTCATTATGAGGAAAAAACCTCAATATGTATGACAATACCGCGGTATAATTTTGGAAGCGAAAAGGCACTAAAAACAGAAAGTATTTCACGCCATTATTGTGTGTGATTGCAAGTTGATTGCAAAATTAATGGTTGCTCTTAACCTCGATTCAATTGAGATTCTTGGACGATGAGTCATCACCATAGATAAATATACATCTCTGTGCCATTCTATCACTCAACGCTTTCTTGCAAACTGATAAATCAGAGAAGTAGCAAATAAATGGATAGAAGAGGGGAGAGAGAAGAGGAGAGAAAGAGGTAGAGGAGGGAGTGAGAGGAGAGGAGGGAGAAAGGGGAGAGAGGAGAGATGGAGAGGACAGGAGAGAGAGGAGAAGAGGGGAGAGAAGAGAGGAGTATAAAAGGGCGACGTAGGAGAGAAAGAAGAGGAGAGAGAGAGAACAAGATGCAGAGAGAGAAGAGGTGGGAGAGAAGAAATAGAAAGAGGCGAGAGCGAGGGGACAGGAAAGAGGGAGGGGAGAAGAGGGAGAGGAGAGGGATAGAGAGGAGAAGAGGGGAGAGAGGAGAGGAGGAAAGAGGAGGGAGAAGAGAGAAGGGAAAGAGAGCGAGGAGGGAGTGAGAGAAGAAGAGGGGGAAAGAGGGAGAGAGGAGAGATGGAGAGGACAGGAGAGAGAGGGGAAGAGGGGAGAGGAGGGAGGGAGAAAGAGGAGGGAGAAGTGGGAGAGGAGAGGGGGAGGGGAGGAGAAGAGGGGAGCGGAAAACTCAGCTCACCGTTCTCCAAGGGAGCATGTCTGCAATACTGGCAGCAAACAGTGATCGATATCAAAAACTGATCAGATCAAAAATCCTGACTTACTTCCCGCTTTGCAGGTAGAGCATAACGAACTTATGCAAAAATAAATCTTTTTACACCATTTATGTGATAGTACAAAATTTTCCTGAACAAATCAGCGGAGATTAAAATACCCGAATTCCACTAGTGGCCAAAATATCCTAGTTGATATACAGTCAATTGAATTATCGAATTTTACATCGGATATTAGTGTTGCAAGCTATTAAAATTTCCAATAATTTAATTCTGGCGATGATTACCGATTGTTGATTACCGATTAATTCATCTCTTGAAGTCTGCAGAAGTAATGTTAAATAATCGTAAAAAGGATAGAGAATAGGCTACCAATTTTTCTATAGAATAATTTGAGGATTAATGGTTCATATTTCAATCCCAGGAATTCGACTTATTCTAGACGAATAATTCGTTTTATCGCATGGAGAGCATATTTTTATGCTTTGTAATGAATATAAGTTGTTATTTTTATGTGTTCAAAAAATGATCTTTATTAAGGAAGTTTTTATTTTATTTCTTCATTTGCTATTAGTAAAATAGGTTTCGGTGAAATTGCTGAAGTAATGAACTGATAAACATTCATCTTATGATGTTTTTGATTATAATTATCAGAGAAATGAATACTGATTGATGCATTTTGTTATTATTAGTAACAAAATCATTTTTTTTTTCCAGTGATATTTTACGCAAGTACAGTATCAATTTCTACGTGACCACAATAGGAAAAACATGGGGATATGCAGATAAAGTTGATTCAGCGGGAGTATGTTCAATTATTTATTTTCAGTTTCTCTTTTGAAAATATGAGAATATAATAGTAACACTTATCTTATGTAAGCAAATCCTCATTCTACAACCATTGTTTGCTTTAAATTAGACCAAACTCACGTTGTCGCGAAAGTGACAAATAAGTCTCGCGAACCTCCAAATAACTTATAATATATATTGAATAAAATTATATTAATCCATAATATTAAAATTTGTCTTAATTGAACATTCATTAAAGAAATACAAGTGTTTCAAATTGCATCTCATACAAGTAATTTTCCTAACACTCACCTTCCTGTTATAGCTGAGTTTATCTGCTTTTCTGGAAATTTTCAGATGTTAGGTGCATTTTTTAATATTCTGAAGTATTCCTTTATTCCAAACCAAATTTTCTTGCAATGTCGAAATATTGTGAAGGTTTTCTTGTCTAATAGTGATTCTTATAAGGAAATGACAATATCAAAACCCATCTTTTACTATATAAAGAGTAAAGATTATCTGATAGTTTTTTACTCAATGTAATCATGCGCTTGTTGTAAGTCAATGTCCACTATATAAGGTTTTAAAATCTTTGTCTTAGTTTTTTGTACGAGCAAGTTATGGTTTGGTTGCTCTCTCGCACTCATTTAATTCGGTTCATTGAAATTTTCTAAGTTCTCCATCAATTTATTCATTTTCTTTTGAGCATACGAAAGTCCAATTGACTTTAAGCTACAAGATTCAAACACCCCACGTATCATGACACATCTTTCTCATTCAGTACGACATATGAAACCTCTCAATCACATCATATCCTATGAAAATATTATATTCTACCATTCTAATACGAAAGAAGAATGATTGACTACTTGTCCTACTAAAAACTTCATTTATGGAAAAATAATACAACAAAAAACTGACCATGCACAAAATAATTTATTTCATTTCAAAAAATAAAACTACTTTACAAAAAAAACTGGAGTAATAATCGAAAACTTTTAACTATTCACATACTAAAGAAATTTTAGGTCCGGAAGAATATTAAACTTTGATCAACACTTCACTAAATTGGAATTCAAATCAATAAATATAATCTTGTTTGACGTTCAAGTGCTTTCGCACTTCCCATAATCTATTTCGGCTATCTTGATCACTCAGCAACCAAATAAAAGCAGCAAATACCCCAATACCCGCTCCAACCATTGAAGCGTGTAAACCACGTGCACATCGAAACAGCCCTCCAGTAACTGCACCAGCAGCTAAAAACAGCACAATTGAAATTTCATTGTAAGCAAGAAAATTCATACTAGTGTTACCAACATTTCGCACTTTTATTGATTAGTAAAGTCTTACCAACAGCATTAAGGTCATCTTTCGTACGTAATTTTCCAAAAATCATATCAGCAAGAGAGAATATGAATACGATAGAACCAGCAGGATGAGCAAAACCACTGCCTCGTATTAGGATTCCGCAATTCTGGCAGAATACCGCGCACACTGCCCAATGCATAGCCGCCCAAAACAACCCATCCAATCGTCCCATTGCAAATTCTAATTCTCCTTTCGACTCACCAGGAACAATATACATGAAAATACGTCTTTTATAGCACTTAAGTAGCGTTTTGTTAACAAAAGAGTTTCACATGATTTTCTTACAGTTTTTCCACTTACATGAAAGTTAAGTTTAAGGATTTTATAACGAAATAAAATTATTAGAGGAAAATTTTTCGAAATAAAACTGTTGAATACTTTAGATCTTAACAACTAAAATCCACTTTCGAAAACGAAAATAAGTAAACAAAAAGAAAAATGGAAACAAAGCGTATTTAACGTCTTACAACTTACTGAGGAGTAGAATCCCGGAAAACGGTAGGATCCATCTGTAAGTATGGCGATAGCTGTTTCTCAAATGGTACGCCAGCTTGCTTCAACTGATCTAACGCAAATATAGGAGATCTATCTAAACTGATCATACTTGTACTATCTCTACCAGAACCCAAAGCGTCACTTAAGTCAAATACTGCTAAATCAATCACTGCTAAATCAGGCAATGAAGTTGACTACGTCTCTGAATGCGAAGAGGTAGGCGATGAAGAAAGCGAAGACTTTGTTGAATTAAACGGCCAAACCATTTTGACACTCTACTATAAATGAAAAAATCAGATTTTTAATCGTTTAGTCTCTAATGAAATTATTAGAGAGAAATCAAATTTTTCAAACTTCAGAACCGTTACATCTACATAAACAAATATAAACTTTGTTAATAAATAACTAATAATATCACGAAGGTAGCACCAATTACGACTACTAGGAACAAAAGTTTATTAAGATAACATGAACCAACTTCGAAGTCCCTACATCTGTGAGCACTTTGAAGTTAGATCATATTATTGGTATGAAATAAATGATAAAGACTAACGGGTAATAAAAAGTGAAAAAGTGATTTCAGTATGAATGATTTGGAATAGTAATTTGGAATAGCATTTCGCATTTCGGCATCTGTTCGATCTCTTTCCTCTTTCAACCGTTTTTCGAAATTTTCCGCTTGTTTTTCAAAATTTAAACTAAGACTTTCCCAGTGGCGATATAAAGCATCCAAACGATCCAGATTTCCCGATTTCTGCTGTCTTTTATCACCAATTTGCTACACTGTTTCTGCAATAAATAACCTTGAAGAGTTTTTTCTAGAGATTCTATATGATCACGAATTGCACAAAAACATGAAGATCAGACTGAAAGGAAGCCAACATATTTGATCTGGTTATGATTCATTGAGAAGAGAACTATTAGCTCAAGAATAAAGTTGCAAAAACTCATTACAACTCAAAATTACAAAAAAAAAAAAAGGAATACTAAGCTTTAAGGTATAAAAGATACCCATCATCTTCAACATCTATATTTAAAGTTGAAATTATTTGCTCGTCCTTGTTTTGATCACCACCTCCAGGAGAGAGAGTGGAGAGGAGGGGAGGGAGAGAAGAGAAAGAGAGAGAAAGAAGAGGAAGAGGAGAGATAGAGGGGACAGGAGCGAGGAGAGAGAGGAAGAGGAGGCATGAGGGAGAGAGGACAGGAGGGAGGAAGGGGAGGAGAGGATAGGAAAAAAGGAGGGCAGGGATAGAGAGGACAGGAGAGAGAGGAGAAGAGGGGAGAGAGGAAAAGGGGGAGGGGGAGAGGAGGGGAAGAGGAAGGAGGGAGTTAGAGAAGAGGAGGGAGAGAGGAGAGATGGAGAGGATAGGAGAGGAGAAGAGGGGAGAAGAGGGGAGAAGAGGGAGAGGGGAGGGATAGAGAGGACGGGAGGATGTATATACATACGTCAAGCAGATGATATTATTGATTACCTCTCAAAAAAGGGAACTGACTAGTGAAACTCACATTTTTGGATTCTGATACGATGTGATAATTTGGAAGGCATAAGAGAAACGGAGAAAAGTGAACGAAAGGATATGACTCACTCCTTTGTTGTAGATCCCGTGATTTCAAATTACAAATATTGTTACTATCAGTATACTTCAGATAAAACAATGTAAATGCAATATTGACAAACCTATATTAACGATCAGAATCAATTCCTGATCCTGAATATGTCACTGATTCCATTAGATCTATTCAAGAAAGCTTCAATCACCTCCTTTCCTTTGTTTATGCTTATCATTGTTTATTCTACATGGAAAATCCATGCTTTTTGTACAAAGATCCCGATATTTCACAAATTTTTAAATGCAATACAGATTTAGTTACTACTAAAACAATATAATAGCTCTTCGGGGTGATTAACATAGTTTTTGTCCATTTTGTTAAATTTTTTAAGTTTCAGTGTTACTCAGCAATGAAATAATTTTTCCTCTTTTCAGTTCATCAAACCAGATCCAATCTACGTCAATATTAAGTGCCATATACTACTAGTAGTATTGATCATTATTTCGGTACACTGCTGCTGATGTTGCCTGGTGCTGCTAATCAGATGCATGTTTGATTTTTCGATTTTGATTATCATATTTTTAGCAAAAAAGAAAAAAATGAGAAGCAATAGGTAATCGATAAAAAAGAAGCAATAGGATAAAATTTGCTGCTGAAAATTTCTTACAGTAGGTAATATCGATAAAATAGTTCAGTGCATTTAATTCAATTAAGTGAAATCTTGACAAGAATCAAAGTTTGAAAAAAGAATTTTGGATTTTCTCCTTCGTATAGCTCATCGTTCTTCCAATATCCATTTGAATTACATTGTTCAATCTAATTTGGTATAGAGAATTTTTCACTTTTATTAAAAGAAATTATTTAATTCTCTCGTCGACGAAGTTTCTTTCTTGTCAGATCTCATTACTAAACATTACCAATTATCTTCTGAAATTTACATTTTCATTCTAGAACTTGAGATAGAAAAAGCAATGCGCCCAATGATTCTTTGACCATTGTTATTCACCAAATAAATTTTTTAAAAATTCATTTCCCAATTATTATTTATGAGGTATAATCTTTACAAGATTATATATTTTGCAGTGACATTTTCCGGTAGAACTAGTACTCAATTCTGGTCTTTCTTTTTTTCATTTTCTATCCTACTGCTCATTTGTGTAGATGTTGTTATGGAAAAGTCACTGAAGCTTTCTGTTTCTTTCTCTTTGCTGGACAAAAAAAATTTCCAACAAAACGTTTGCTTGGACATAAAAATGCAAATTGGAAAGGAACACTCTTCGAGAAATTATCATTTTTCAAATTTCGAAATTCTTTATCAAAATTTCTGATTTCGAATCCTGTTTTTTCTTAACCTACAGGTAAAATTTGCTGTTTTTCTTGAAGCTTCTATTTCTTATTTAGCTTTGTCCACCTTTTACCTAATTTCTTTAAAGCTCATTGTTGATTTGTACTCCTAAAATTTATCAACACACGTATCAACTACAACTAAAATTAAATTTCTTAGAAATGAGCCAGAATTCCTGCTGATTTTTCTCAGGTTCCCTACTTTTTTTCCCACTTGGCCGTACTCAAGATCAAAATAATTCAAAATTTCTGGACCGAGACGTTTTGCATATCATTTCTAACGAGCCAGCGTTTTTAATTCAAATTACCAGCCGTATTTATGATCCCTTAAGTAATCAGAGTGGAGATCATCTGTATAGTCGCTGTTGCTGTCATTAATGCTGTAAGAACAATGACATTCAAGGTTATCCAACTTTTATTTCATCAAGCACTAAAATCTGCTGGAATAAAAATATTACTTTATCAGTGCTAGATTCATCCTACTATACAAATGATTTAGCCTTAAATTTGAAAATAATTGAATGACTTCTTCGCTTTACAAATTAAATTAAATGAGATCTGCATAACGTCCTAGATCACAATTTCCAGGGTTAAATTACAAAGACTTTTTAACCGCATCATTTGATTTAATCTCTATAAAAAATATTTGAATGAAGCATAAACAAGCAGGATGTAATATAATTCTCTCTGGCATGTTACCTTTTGAAATATTTTATTTACTTATGTATTTGTGAGTGATCTGAGTTTTCTGTTTAGTGTAAAGCTAAACAATAATGATTGTTGTTATCGCTGTTGCGCAAAGGAATTGGAGGACTTATTCAAATATAAAGATATTCAATATCATTTACTTCTAATCATTAAATCTACCCAGATATTCAGTACAAATTAATGGGTGATCAAATATAGACAAGCATCTTCGAATAACTAAAACACTGACCATCCAATAATTCGCGATTAATGAAAAGAAAAAGAAAGGAACGATTTACATATTGTGAAAACTATCTATTTACTAGTACATTGTTACATATTGGACAGCACTTCACACAGGCCTTCTGAGACTCAAGAGACATTAGGCATAAATATTTTGGCAAATCAGCCAACCAATAATCAAAATGCGAGTGATTAGTGGCATCCGTGAAAACTAAACAATATAATTAATCAGTTGAGAAATTTTCCTAACGAATTCAATCTTGTTGTTAGTAAAAAACTTAAATAATTGTTTAAAAAAAAAAATTGAAATAATTGTTTTGCAAATCATTTCTTCATTCGACTGCAGTCGAAGCACATTTGTAATTGAAAGTAAACCTTACCTATTCATCATCATCGCATATGTATCGAAATGAAAGACAAACCAGACAAATGAGCTCACTAGAAAGATGATTGTGTTTGGTCCCATTCTCTCTTATACGAGTTCTCTCTCATCCGTAAGTTTTTTAATAAATAAATGCTAAAAACGAGGATTGTAGTAAAATCAACAATGGGCCACACTGTAACAGTGATTTCTTTTTCTCCGTGTACATGAGTGTCCTTTCATTCAGTCACCATTATTGACGTCATCTCTTCCGCATAGAACAGAATGACCATTACTGATTTCGAACTGCAGTGGCCATTCCATCATCGTCTACAAAATTCAATTTAGCATTTTGCACAAGCCGGTCAGTTTTACTGACTACTTCCTCATTAATCTATCCGATTCAAGCTAAAACAGGTCTTCATCCTCCTTACTCTTTTCAAATTTCTTTCTTCTTATTCTTCTTTTATTATAATCCGCGCCATGAATTTTGCATGATTTCTTTTTTTTTTTTTTTATTGCATATTTTTGGCATTGCTCTTTTCTATATGAAACTCGCCAGAAATTTGTTGACGCTGTCATCCTATGTAAGAAAGACTGCAAATTGCATACGATACTCTCCTATTATATCAAGTTTAATTTAACTCTATCAGCACATGTAATTATACTTCCTCGTACTATTCCATGAGGTATTTTTCACTCATTTCAACCAAATCCGTCCTCATAAATTCTACCTAAAAAAACTACATTAATTATAAAGCATCAAATTTGCCTCAAGTTTGCAGTTGCATCAAAAATAAATTTCAAGTTAGTTATGATAACTAATAACAATGAAATGAAATAGTGTTGGAATACCAGCACAAATGCTGCCAGTTGGAAATAAAAATAAAAGTTTACTCAATTCCTATAAAAATTTTCAATTTCCTATAAAAGACATTCATCTAGTAAATCTAGAAATACCTGTATTACAAAAATTACTTTTATTCTCTTCTTTTATTATTTCCGTAATAGACGCAGTTTATTTCATTAGCATGATAATTAATAATAATAATGCTGAATTACGCAGCAAACATAATAGGTCGAAGGCCAGCTAACTTTTCAATACACAAAGCTAAGCCCATAATTACGGTGTATCTTTTCAACAAAATTATTCCTCCTGACGGTGAGTCATTTCATTTGTCGCCTTCTCTTCCTTTTCCATTTATTATGGATGGATGATTCTGATGCAAACAAGACCGCCGTCACGCTTATATCATTACGGGCTTATGATTTTTTTCTAAAATGTCAACATATTGTAATGAAGAGAGAAATGGATTTGAATTCGTAAGATGAAGTTACATGAACAGAAAAGATGTAGCCAAAATAAAGAGATATGAGTCAGGAGAGCAGGGAAAAGGTTATCAACGATTCTCAGAAGCAAGAGTGCTTTCTGCATGAGTGCAAAGGAAGTGAAGAATCCAATGTTAGACGTTCTGGTAAGATCAAAATGAAGACGTGTAGATTGCTCGTATTATTTGAATGTAGCATGACAACAAGTGTTTATCTTGTTCAATATTTCGTTTCAACTAGAATTGTTTAAAAACTGTACCACTCATCATGAGCATTTTTCGAAGTTACTCTCTTTTAGTTAAATAACCATAGGATGAGACTTAAGGTTCTGGCATCATCGGTTAAGCAGCTTGTATAATCATTTGATAAAATTTAATACGAATTCCCGCATACTTATATCACAAGAAGATAAAGTGAACGATTTGAGGAGCAACACTGATAATGCAAGTAAATGATGACCTTCTGGAAGTTAATGTCGGTCATCACCTCATTACTGTCCCAGCCACGTCCATTTCCTTCCTTCTCTAGAATGAAAACTCCATTTATCGTTTACATAAGATTCAAAGAAATATTTGTTGTCAAGATTTCACGTTTCCAAATCATCATCCTCCACTTTTCCAATGCAAAATTGTTAATGTGAATCTCTTCGAAACTTGAACAGAATGATGGGTGAGAGAGATGAAATGTGAGTGCGAATGGCATTATGAAGGATGATGACTTGGCATAAAATGCTAGCGAGAGTTGGCCTTAATACTCCAACGATAAGATAATCAGTGGTTCCCGCAAAGACAGAGCACTCGCATACACCTCCCGACTGCGGAGATCTCCAGGTTGAATGCAGGGACAATTCTTTGCGCACTGCAACCTGAACCGCGGTCGTTCGAATAGGGAGCAGCAGATGGCATGTGCGCGAAAGGCAGTACTTCTCCTTCCTTCCTCGCCTCCTCTCCTATCCTGGCACAAATACACAGTGTATGACAGATGGGCGACAGACAGTTTGCATCGTCCAGTGCACGAGGCACGAGCGCAATGCACTCTCCCTGCACCTGCACCATGCACGTATAGAGTATATCAATACACTTCGTCAGACGATGGGTTGTTGCGGTGGATGGGATTCGACTCGATTCGATTCGGTTCGGTTCGCTTCCTTGTGGCAGTTGTGATCTACAACACTTCATTCCTGGCTGTATACCGAGGTGTCCCATCTGTCTGTCCTTGTTATTCACTTTGCACTGTGTGCACTATAGTTTATACCATAATTAATGGATATGATTAATTTATCCAAATTTCGTTTGTGGGAGCGATGACATCATGCAGTTAAATTGTGTCGCACAGGTCCGTCTCAGGATGGCATTATCTCTTCTAACCTTTACAGTGTGTGATCACTCCTCTTTCAGTTACTAACTGCCTGAGAATTCTTATAGTAAACTTACCATTAATATTTGAGAAGTAATCATCACCCTCTTTTGGCTGGGTATTATTCTAATTAGATAATAATCACTGACAACTGGCTTCCTTGACAATCTGAAATATCTCACATATGTTATGTTTTACCATTTGAGTGTTCATTTGTATTTCTCCCACTCGGTGCTTCTATACGAGAGTTTGTTTGCAATTAGCTCGAAACATATTAGGGATTTCTTGGACACTTTTTTGGGCAATGTTTTGACTGTACTGGATAGCATAGTATGTCATTTCGTCTTTAACTGTTCATGTACCCGACCGCGATGTATGCTTTATGCTTCACTTCACGACTTAATTAAATTTGTCCTCACGATTTAAAAAAAGAACAATTTTTGACAGGTTATTTACTACTTCTTTTCATAAATTTTCTGATTTTCAAACAATGGTGAATGATTAGATTCTGAAACAATGTTTGAAATGAAATATGCTGATAATGGAGACGCGCTGATGTTGGCAAACAAGAATCGTGTGGCAAGTAAGAAAATCTTCGAACAACTGCAACAGGTTTGCAAGTTATGAGTTCTAAAAGTTTGCCAAATTTCGGGTTGTGAATGACATGTTTTTTTGTGAAAGTCGAAAGGATTTAGTGATTTTGTTTATTCTTATTTCTAGTAATTCGGTTGCCAACTTGAGTTCTGTTTTGCTTTTCAGGACCTTTTGATTAAGTTTGTTTTTGTTGACGAAAATGAACAGGACCATAACTTTATGATTCGAGAATGATTTGTAAACCGAAATTTCCTCTGTAGCTTGATAAAACAAATGTTTTTTTTTTTTCAAAAAATTTAATAAAGAAAATGTTATCTCCCTAAACATGGCATTATCGTTTCCGTTTCGATAATACTGTTATGAGAATGTTGATAGAGAAGCGCCGAAATACCCTGAAGTGATTTTTCTTCCGGAGTGGACTCTACATAAAATCTTCGATCACAATCAGTAGTGTTAAGTGAATAAAGTAAGAACTTGATAATATGATGCTGACTTAATAATTGTTAACTCGATATTTGGAGTTAAGAGTAGAGTTTTGAAGTTTAGTTTCAGATTTAGAAGATTAGATTTTTCCACAAAAGTTTTATTTGTGTAAGTGGGATTCAATATTTCCATTTAAAACTTTGGACTAGAAATACGGAGTTAAATGCAAAAATTAATGAACTTAGTTGTGAATATAAAACTCATCTGAGAACAAGCACTCCATGACGAGCTTTTATTTGTACTATCTCTTTGTCCTACTATTTTCATAGGAACAAACATGTTTTAAACTTATCTGGAAGAACATTAATAAATAAAATAATTTTATGACTAGTAATTTTGAACTTTAATTAACAGTACTTGGGAATATATATGACGGTATGTTAATTACAATCATACTTTCACACGACTAACAGTTAAATGTCCCATCATGTTTATTAAACTTTTAGTTTTTTGTCATAAGAGTTTTAAATTTCAACTACTCTGTTAGTGTGAAGTTTTTGAAATCAAAAGTGAGCTTTCAAATTTGAAACTGATCTCGAAGTTTTGTCAAAGTTTAAACTTTTGATTGTAATTATGTAAGAGTTTTCAATGGTCTTCTTCTTTTGGACTCAACGTTAGCAGTTATATTGGTACCCATAAACTTCCGGAGTTCACATACGTATTTTTTCAGTCATCACGTACATCAACTCACATTACTGAAGGCCATATGTTACACAGGCAACCCTCTGGCGCACAGAAAAGAATACGACAGCGACAGGAACAAAAGTGTGTTACTTTCCTTTCGTGTGGAATTTAAGAATATAAAGTGCTATAGAGCTTTAATACAAATATCTTTAATGCATTTTTCGCAACAAAAGTTTACAAAGAGAATAAAAAGGCTGGGTAATTTATTAGCGAACATTCATACACTGTAAGAACCAGGTGTTAAGAACTTGTTTCGTCATTTTTCTAATTAAATAAACTGGTGGAATAGAATTTTCATTTGCTGATATTTGCAAGAACTGCATGAGTAGACGAAGTCCAGATGAAGTAATCAGTGAAGTTTCCGAAATAGTAAAACTAGGACTGTAGTGATAAGTCTCAGAAGGGTACTTAATTGATCGTAACTTTTCCAAACGATAGAGCAACTGTCAGCAGTATTTCGATTTAAAAAGATGTACTTGAATTAAAAAAATAAACGATTAATAAAAGCCATAAAAAACTGCAGTTGGTGAAATTTTGTCATTCAAATTTATTACTGATCCATAATAAGAAATGTAACAGTTGAAAAAAAAAAAAAAGAAAAAAACAGTGATATGGTAATATAATAAGGCTAAATATGCCGCTAGATTATGTTCTGATTAAAAATTTTGGGAAAAGTCGTTTTTGGTTTTTTGTTTTTGAGACTAAACTCTACATGATTAAGTCTTTCAGTTTTAAAATAAGATCCAAATTAAACGTTTGTTTACTCATCCCTGTTTTTCAAGTGTGCTCTATTAGCATATTTTCTTGTCCTGGTAATTTTTATCGTATACAAATATGCTACAGATGGTTAAAAGCTATTTCGGCAAATGTTAACTCGTACGATCTGGAACATGGCCGTGCGCAGTCAGGATCAGAAAAAGGTACTTATAGATCCTTGATTGATTCTGGCGGTTACAAATCAATTTTGCCAGAAGAACTGTCTTTCCCCGTCTCTTCTCCTATCGCATCTTTGTCTAGGTTTGTTCATTTTCATGGATTCAAATTTTCATTCATTTTGTGCTATATTTATTTGAAAGTTTCATTACTTAGTACTAAATATAGACTTTTGTAGGAATAGCTTTTTGCGTTCATCATCAACAACTCCTATAGGTAAGAATAGTTCCACTTCATCGACGTTTACGCCTGTTGCATTTCAAAACAACACCGGCATTGCTTCGTCAACAGTTACGAGTAATTATTTTTTCTTTTCACTGATTTTTGCTTCTCTGTCTCGAAAATAAAACACAATGATTTGTTGCTAAATGAGCAAGCTACTATGATGGCTGAGTAGTTATTTATTTAAAAAATCTGAGGAACCCAATCTTTTTGGGCATATGAACTAGCGACTTCTGTCTACGAAAATGCGCTGGCTTATTTGATTTGGTTATCTTATTTTATCAAAAAAATCTGAGTAGAACTTTTTGTTTTTAAAGTTGACATATGGAAATCATAAGATAAATATTTTAAAATATGCCAAAAAAAAAAACTGCTTTTCAATAGGTCAACTTTACTTTTTACATAATTTGCCAGAATGAGCAGTATTGAGCAGAGATTTTCTCAGAGTAGTATTTTTACTCGTAACTTTGTTTCATTATTATCTGTTATTTCAGTTCGAATTTGGAAGACTGAATTCGTACATTTTATTGTAAATACTTTGTTACATTCGTTTTTCATGCCATAATGACAAATTATTTGTTGTTTAAACATTTTAATTTCGTTTTATTACAAACCATTTGGATACTTCTTTATTCTTTCTGATACTTCTTTTAATAAACAATGTAAGAAGCTCTTTATTAGTTGAATACGCTATTATTTAATTCTAGTCAGATTGGTGGTTTAAAATTGAAACATGATGACAAATTTTTTTCCTTTTCTAATGATTATTTTTTTTAATACTGATTGTGGTGTTTAATTTATCATTCCAAATTCCCAAAAATCTTATTTATTAATGGAATTTGTTTTTTATTATTTAGATCATTGTTTATTTTGCTGTGGTTGATCAAAACGTTATAGGGAAAATCATTTTATTTTATTTATCATGCTGTTCATTTTTAGTGCAAAAATTTATTAATATTGCAATTTCATGCCTTTACAGGTGGTAAACCAACCGTACAGGTATATCCGATGCCATCAAACTTACCAGCCAATAATATAGTTAGTACTGTGGTGACATCAACAAGTAGTACTAATATTGATATTACATCAGAAAAAATGCGCGAAAAACCGGTGGTACCAAAGAAACCAGCAAGGTTAATCCTGTCTTCGGCATCTACTCCCATCGAAACTGCTCCAGTAACTCCACTTTTGAGTATATCGAGTTTTAACCTCTTTTCAGTTTCAGCGCAGTCATCACCGTCAGGTAGCAATAGGTTTGCACATTTCTTGAATCTCTTTTAAGTTTGTACTGTAAATTGCACTATAAAATAATCTTTTTATGGCGTGTCAAGTAGGAAGAAAGAAGTACTCTGTGGTTCTATGAGGGGAGTGATCAGTTTTAAGCTTATTGTTCGTGTTTTCCAAACTCTTTTAAAATGAAGGATTTTTAGGAAATCTTTTTTCGAAGTTGACAATTTTGATTAACTGTGTTACCATTTTTTTAGCATAGAAAACGTACATGCAATTACTGTGGTCTTGCTAATTTAAATCCTTATTCTGTTCTGTTTTAGTTTTCGTCTATTTTCCACTCCATCCTTTATTTCTCTTCATACTGCCCTGATGCAGTCCAGTTTAACAGACGAAGAAGTTGAACAGCTCGAAACAAAACGTAAGAAGGTAAATTAAAAAATCGAGTTTTGAGAAAAATGAATGTCGAAATTTTTCTGAACATTCATGTGGTTTTTTATTACTATTTGTAAATATAGCGATTATTCACTGCTTCGTGTATATCTTTTTCACTTCTCGGATCTTTATATTTGCACCATAATTGTTTCTTTTTTTTTCTAGCTTTTGAGCTTGTTTTATAGCTAATCGAATCAATTTCGCGCAAAATTATAATATTGGACGAGGAGCGAAATGCGATTGATGAAGACTTTAATCTAAACGAAGTTCTGAAAAATGAAGTGTTCAATGACTTAACACTAACTGGTGATCCGGCTGTTCTGGAAAAAATCGAAAAAAATCTCTCACAAAATTCACAGTTGTGTAGGTGAGCCATACATGTGTTCGGATTAGAATGATGATAAAAAGATATTTTTTGCTCACTTTCATCGGAAATAAATCTGAATTCGAAATACTTAAAAAGCAGAACAAAAGAATGGGATTGAAGGATGAACAGTTTATTTCAAGTCGTAAATATTTATATCAGAGTTGATTATTTCTCTCCAGTACATTTTCCAGCATTTTTTTAAGTGCTTGATTATCACAACATATATAAATCGCATTCGTTACATGTTTGTTGTGTAAATATTTGGCTATAATCTCAATACTTGGAATTTACTATGCTCTTCAGAAATTTGTATTTCATTGGAGTTTATGTGTCATGAAACGGTAGTTCTTCGGGAAATAATAAAATGGCAAAGATTATTTATTATTAACTAATAAATAACTCAATGAGACTGTATTCTTGCCAATTGATTTGAATTGAAATACTTACATCTAATTATTTTCGCTTTTTATAATTATTTATTTGTAAATATGTTCTTCAGTACACTGTTTTAGTTGTCTTTTTTTCTTGACTGACACTTTACAGTTATCTATCATGTTTAGTCCAGTTACACTGATGCTATATATGTGACTTACGAAACGTTACTGTCCTATAAAGGGGTGTTATTTCTCAATAAGTGATAATGCAGTATTCCTGCTTATTTGTATTTTAATAGACTTTCTCAAATGTTAAATTATTACTCAAGCTGCTTCAGGTTTTCGAAGTTAATCTGAAGAAATTTGTTTTTCTAGACTTGAAACAAGGTTACGGATGCAATTGGATCGCCTACACTCAGTTGCAATGAGTAATGAAAATATTGATAAAGAGCTTATTAGTGCTCGCATTGAGCGTCTAAAACGACAGCTTGATGACCAGACTGTACTGAGAAAGGCTTTCGATAGACGTGACGCTGAAGTTGATAGATATATCTTTTCAATGTTGAATGACGAGCGAAGGTCACAATGGAGGTAGATCCTTTTTCTAAAGTCGGGTTTTGATCGATGAAATTTTGGTTCAAGAGATAGATGGATAATTTAGATACAACCTATAATTTTATATATGTTGAATTTTCAAATCATCTGTTCTGTAGGATTTATAAAGAAACTTGGAAACGTCTAACAACGGAACGACAAGAAATTGACGAGCGGCTCTTTCTTGGACGTGAACAAATTAGTGCCTTACGAAGTGTGCAACCACATATCTAATTGCCTTCTGTTAATAAATGAGCGCATCTTTTATTAGTGCAATTACTGCTTTGTATATCAAATTTTAAGCTGATATTAGGTTTTAGATTAATGCGTTACATACTTTGTAAACATCTGTGAATTGTATAAAACGTAATTTCCGATTTTCTAATTTCAAAAATATTGATAAATTCATCTGCCCTTTCTAACAAGAGAGTGGTTTTCGGATGTCAGAAAGATCAAACGAATAAATGCTGTTTATTTGCCCAAATTTGGAGATAACCGTATGTATAAAGTACTGGTGAAGCTTATTTCGGAATATGATGGTTCATGGCGTGCTCGTAGTTTGAATGATTAACTTATACATCCTGACCGGATCTGAGGAGTTGTCGCTCTACCTAATCGATTGGTTCGAGTTTACTTCCAGTTCAGTGTGCCTCTTGGGAAGGTTTTGATTACGATAAAAGTAGGAGACCTCATGCTTGTCAAATTGTAGAGAAAGATGTTGGCGAGAATGGTGAGGGAGCATGACTCCTCTCAACAAGTAAGAAGAGAAATGCAAGGTAAACATTTTATTTTTCTTCCTAAAAGGTGTCATCTCCAGGATTTTTCGTTTCACTGCTACTTTAATTTGCCCTGTTCAGCAAGTTTAATATTTCGTATTTTAATCCTTTAGTATTAGAAAGTGCAATATCCTACAACTTAGCTAACTAATATAAGTCATTTTCAATGGAGAAAAAAGGAAAAATGAAGCCATCGTAGCTGCGCAAAGTTTAACAGGAGCTGTCGTCGATCATCTCAACCATTCGTTAGTGTTTTTAATCAGTATGTAAAAAAAAATCACAGATTTGCAAAATCACAAACTTGTATTTCTTCATCCAGACAACTCTTCAGTATGTCTTTTTTACCTCGATTTTCATTTTTTAGGCATCAAATTTCTGAGTCTTTTAAATGATCGTTCATAATTAACTCGTTTCAGTGTTTCTCAAGCTTATAACAATCAGAAACGACTGGATGTGGAAGTGAAAAAGTTGGAGAAAAATGCTGTAGAACTTGCGCGACAAACAGAACAGTGGATACAGATTACTGATTCACTCAATCAAGCTTTAAAAGTTTGTGTTCCAAAAGTCCATTGAGACATTAAATGTTTATGTTCAGATTCGTTATAAAATTTTTAAGCATAATTATTGATCGGGACTCAGTTAAAGAGAAAATTGACATCACGGATCTCACGGCATCCAATTTACGAAAGTTTAGGGAAAAATCTAGAACTTCAAATGGTGTAAGGTATATATAAAACACTGTTGTTAGCTATATGACACTAAAAATTAAATCTACTGAAAGAGCAAATCTCAACAGACAAACTTTTGTTTTTAATAAATTATGTATGCATATATGTACATGTACATGTTTGGTCGTCATGATTTGTTTTCTTACTTATTATTATTCAGGAAATTGGAGACGTTGAAAACTGGGCAAAGACAATTGAAACCGATATGAAAATTATATCGAGCACATTACAAGCAGTTTTCGAGATTAGCGGTAGATTTTCCTCACTAATAATTCCTTTTTCATAATTTTTAAGCCAATGTTTTTGTAAGCAAGCATTTGTGAGGAAACACAGAGTAACTGGAATGAAGCTCATTTGTTAAAGGAACATTTTAAAAAACCCATTAATATCTCTAAATTAACAGATTCAGTTGATTCTTTTAATTCGTTTGATTTCATTATGTTCAGTAAATGAAGACCAAAAGTGTTTTAAATCCAAAATTTATGCAGTTTATCCTGTTGCTGCGCTCCGCAAAAAATGTAGATTTTGATTTTTGGTTAAGGCTACGCACCGTTCGGTGTGTTTCATTTTTGCAAAAAGATTAAAATGCTCACTATGCTCCCAGCTATTTTCCTTCTGAAGTTGTATGAGAGTAGTTATATTTCACTTCACAATTTCTGGGAAACTTTTGATAAGGATTTTCTGTTTCTATTTTTACTGCATCGCCAAATGTGCTATTGCAGAACACACACAAAACTCTTCCTGAGTCCTTTGACTATCAGTTACACTTTCCAAAAATTTAAAACCGCTTGAAAGTATTCGAAATTTTGGCAAATAAGGAGAATAAACTGGAGAACTTAAAAGAATATATGAGCACTTCCACTTCGTCTCATTATTATTATTAGTTTTATAGATTTATAACACATCATTTACAGAAAAAAATCATATAAGAAGTTCATCATAATGAAAGTGGTATGCTAAAATATCGCTCACTTTTCAGCAGTCTAAAATGGAAGGTTCCGTAAGAAATTGGTTTCCTAAATATAGAAATATATTTAGAAATTGCGACAATTTCGCCGCTTTTTGGGTCAAACTTTCAAATAAATCGTTCTGATCTTTGTGACTGACAACGCTATATGTATTTTAGAGCTCATAAATAATAAACGAGTGAATTCACAACACTGACATTTAAATATATAATCACTTGAAACAGTTATGCTTCACTTTATAAATAACATACTCAGATTATATCAATCAGAGGGGTAACCGTATTGTTTTGATCTCAGATTTTTTTCTAAATTTATTTTTTGAAAACAGAAAAGTAGTCAGATCTCGACAAAAAAGTGGTACGATATTTTGTGAATAAATTACTTCTAGGAGCCCTATTTCTTTGTATCCTTGAATTCACTCAATCCGAAACATTTCGGTGGTATATGTTATAGAAGATGTCATTTGTTTTGCTGTATATGATTTATTAAAAAAACTTTGCTATTTACAAAAATAATTTCAGAAAAATAATCATAATTTTTCGATTTCAACAGTTAACCGATCAATTTCCTTCGTAATTGTTTCTCTTCGCGCGATTTTTTCGAGTTGTGTTTTCTCTGGATTTCCCAATACTCCACTTTTGATTCTTTGCTGCAGTGATTTTTACTAGTTTACATGTATGTAATAAGACGAGTACGAGGATACAAAAATAAAAACCCAGTTTACCTCTAGTATTTCTATATCTCGTAGCTTTCTGTTCAAATTGTTAATCTTCTTTCCAATACATTCACGAGGAGTTATAGGAGCGTTTGGCCTCAGTGCTGCAGCAATCGGTTTTTTCAATTCTTGTTCTTCAGTTTTCTGGAAACCTTCGGAAGAAAAAATAACTAAGTTGACAACGTAATCAAATAGATGTGGATAAATCATAAACAGTATTTAATTTAAAGAATTACCAACTAATTTTCCTGAACAACTGAACAATGAGATGCTTAAATGACGTTTTGTCAATTCATAAATTAAATAAAAGTTTCCTTCGTTTCATGAGTTGGTCATTACACACAGGATTAACTCCAACATAACATGTACAAAAAAAGCATTGCAGACAATAATTACTTTAATAACTTACAAATTATCAAATATTACATAATTGGAATAAGAAGTCGTAACATTCATTCTTACTTTTTGATTTTTTTAAAAATCACTGACACCCTTAACAAACTCCAACTTCAAGATTTTAATTTGAGCAGGATTCAAATGTTACCTCGGATAGATTTCCAATTCACATATCTTACCACAGGATAAAAAAGTGACCTTTTTAGGTTTCACAACTTCGGTGGGCGACCAACCAATGGGATATGTAGTTTTGTTGCTCATTTGTTGACCGCGTGATTCGTACCTCGGTTGTTCTTCCTGTGGGATGTAACCGTCCTTCACTCTTCTTGCCTTTCTCCACGTTCCATCAGCACGTTGCGAAGCTGCTATGTAAGTTTCACCTAAAATAAGCTTTTTTTGCAAATGAGCAAAAGGAACATCAGGATAACCTAGTGCAATTCCCTACAGTTGTAAGGAATAAAAAATATCGTTTAAAAATTATGTGTTAAAGTGACAGTCAATTAAAAGTTCTGGATTTACATGATCAGTCAGTCAGCTTTCGCTGTAAATATGTCAGTTGGTTAATAAAAGTTCATGTGTACAGCAGTTAGTCATAAGCAGTGAACTTAAGCACCACATTGACTCACCAGTTTTAGTTTTTATACGAACGTCTCCAATGAAACCTTTTGATGACATAGCAACATGAATTTCTCGAATGCTGATGAGTTCACGATCTAATACCTGAAAAGGTAATATATCGGGAATAATCCAACGTTTCCGTTCTGATCTCTATGCCTTATAAATTATGTTATTTAGGAAATAATGAGCCTAAAAAAAAAAAAAAAAAAAAAACAAACAGGAAAAAGCTTCATGACAAGAGTATTCCTTTAATGCTTTCAATTGCAGTATCGAAAATGGGAATGCTTGCACGTTCGTCCGCTCGTCATAAAACGCAATATTCCCATTCAAAAAATCGTAATTGGAAAATATAATACAATCGGAATCCATTTACCCATCCATACATTCAAAAGACAAAATGAACAACATGACTTCTGAGATTAGTACACATTTTGTGCAATCTTTATTTCCCGTATGACAATGTGCAAAGTAAAAGAAAATAAAAGAAAAAAAAAACCTTAAATGAGAGTAAACCATAAACAATCCTAGATAAGATTCATGGTATACATTTCCCATAACAAAACGTTTCATGCAAATATGGTAAATATAAAATACATAGATGTACAATTACTAACATCATAGTTTTATGAAGTCGCATAACTCGGACATACATGTCAAAATATACATCATCCGTCACTAGCACGAGTTAATCGTTGCTAAAATCGACAAGATAAGATATTAGTTTAGTGTAGTCAACTGGTACTAATAACCACTACAGCTTTGTCTGTATTAGCTTTGTCTCACATTTTGGCTTACAACCACAAATGATCTGTTAAACAGCAATACAACATGCTACAATTTCAAAACAACTATTTAAAACAGATGATATTTAAAATGATTGAAACAGATAATGTGTAATTTATACAGCAATTCTTGAATTTCTTATTCTCAATTTCGCACCTAAAAGAATCACAGGTCTATGCAAATAAAAACAAATAGAGCAATGAAAAACGGAAAATTCAACTTTACAAAGTAGCAGCAACTCAATGTATACAGACATTGGATATGCAGGAACAAATAAAAACAATATCATCTGAACGAAGTTGTAAAAAAAATGCGAAAAAATTTCTCATGCAAATCAATTTAAAAACCCCTCAAGAAGCATAATAACATGGAGCGAAAAAAGGATCCAAAATGCATCCACAAATATTTTTAACGTCGCAATAAGTTCTACAAGCAAGAAAGTTTCAAAAACATCTTAAACATTTTTCCACAATAAAACATGATCAAAAAACAAGCTTCTGTTCTTTTGAAAAAACAAAAAAAAAAAAAACATTAAGAGAATGAAAACTGGTATGACCTTCGTTTTTACCCGAATTCACGTAAATGTCTTAAAACAAAGAAAAATAACAGAATATCCTGACACCTAATGGAAACAAGTTTTCAAAACGTTATAGCAGCTGCCAGCATGGGACGGCTTAACGATTAAACTATTCATCTCCTTTCCTAAGAATTTAGCTATGAGGAATAGTGAATAATCACAACCATTTCTCAAGATAAGCCAGATGATTGCAACTGCAATACGCACACATACATAATCTAACGATTTACAACGTAGTCAGAAAATCAGAAAAATCTGGAGCATAAAAAAAAAAAGCCAAGAAGTAAATCACAAGCAGTGTTCGACCTGAATTCTTAAGATGTGTTGTTTTAATCCATGTTTAATATTAATTTAAAAAAAAAAAAGTACCCCTTTCCTATTCTATCAAATCGGGATTGATCACATCGCATCGATCTCCACGACAATGTGGGCAATACCATTTACCTTTCGGTTTCTGTCTCAGTTGAACACATGGGAAATGATACCATTCGTTACATTTTTTATTCTCACAAAGAATCATATCACCATACGAAACCTGAATAATTCGAATCATAGACAGGAGAGGAATACAAGGAAAAAAAGAAGGCAGCATCGAACAAAAATTGAGGTTAAGGATTGTTTTATTATATTATAAATTATGTATATATACTTACTTGCCGGCATAAGCAATATAAGGGATCGAGATTATTTTCACCCTCTGTTATTTCTGTAACAGCAGACGTTGCTTGGCGGGGTTTCCTTGGTAAACGCGGCCTTCCTGCACCACGCTTCTTTTGCATCGAACGTCCTTCATTTAGTTCCTGCACTTTTATTTTCTTCCGTCGTCCTGATAAATACTAAACGGGAACAATTCAGGCGTCAGAAACTCAAAATTACCTTTTAAATGACTCTAGAAAAATTCCAAAAATTCTAACTTTCTACTTGAAAAAGTAAGAGTCACATGTAAACGAGATAAGCTTACTTATAAGAAAGTAGCTTTAATATTCCAACAAAAATATTCTTTATGAAAAAATAATCTTTTCAAGAAGAATATTCCTTATGAAATGTAAGTTATATCGATAAGTCATTGTTCGACTAATAATGACTAGGCATTATAACCAAACAGAAATTTAATCAGTAAATAGGAAGAGTTTGACAGTGGATGCTTAAAATGAATAGTAGCGGTCGCAGTTCTTGTAACTTACGAAAAAAGAACACATTTTACACAAACACACTAGTTGGGTAGAATATTTTAAGAGATAAACGTCAACCTGATCTGATACGGCTGGTGGAGACGGAGACTCTTTTGCTTTTCCCTTTACAACAGACTGGGATCGTGTGTCCCTTTCGATCCGTCGTATATTTTCTCTTGCTGTTGGAGCTTGACGTTTTGATCGGAACCCTTTTGGTTTGGCTGCTTGTTCTATAAGTAATGTCGTTTCGTAGCAATTAATATGTTAAAGAACCTAATATCCCAACACGGCACTTTTAGGAATGAATGAATATGGAAAGTTTGTTCTAGACATTTCACTTTTTTTTTAGGAAAAATTGAATTTTGAATCCAAATTCTTGTTCAAAAAGAACTGAACTTTTTGGAACTGTGCATATGTATGTAACTGTAAAAAAATTTAGTTTTGAACTTAGAGAATTAAAAAATTTAGATCAATTCGATAAATGACTTGGTTGTCCCTATATTTCACCATTCACTATTATTCCTTTAGCAGAGAATTCATGCCATTTAAAAAATATTGAATAGAAATTCAAGATTTGACTATAATGCTGCAGAATGGAAAAAAAAAAAAAACTCTAAGGATGATCAGCTATGGATATAAGAAAAAGCAGCTAAAAAAATTGGAAAGTCACAATACCCAGCCTTACAATAAGAGTATTCACGCTGGGATATTTGAGCCCATGATATTAAATGGCAGAGGGGTCATTTTTAATTCCTGAAAGAAAATTTCTCTTTCTCCCTCTCTTTACCATCTGGGTCTTATTCTTCTCTTATTTTTTTTTTACTTTTCGTTCCCTTTATTTAACTTCTCTTGCTTTCTAATTATAAGTCCACTGACTTCTCCCTCTTCTCTTTCGAGTTGCTACTTTCTGCGCCTCTCCCTCTTCGACAACAGGTTCTAAATTGACGAGAATTCCTATTCAATCATTTTAAATAGAATTATTCAACATTTTAACTGCAAAACTCACTTTCTTTTGAATTATTTTTTCAAAAGCATAAGACAAAAAAACTTTATAACCAATTAAAAATTATCTTCACTAATTCTAAATTCGGCAGATGATTTCCAATTACGAATTTTCCATTCAAAACAGCTCACGTTTAATTTGTTGTGGATCAGTTTGGCAACCAATTAAGTTCTGTAATTTCGTATCTACATCAAACATTACGCCTGATTTCCAAAATGCTAAGTGTTGTGCCATACGCAACTCATTTTCCAACGTATCGAACATTTCATCAACTTGTTCACGACTCATTTCCATCTTAAATTTTACAGATTTTCATTTTTTTTTTTTGCGGAATTTTACAGATTTTCCACAATTTTTCATTTTCAGCTAAATTAATGTACCATTAGGCTGAAAAATTAATGGGATCTTTTACAAATAATTTATATAGCTGAACTTTGTTAACTTGAAAGAAAAACGAAATATGAAAATTGTATCTGCTGCTTTATTTGATAAACAGAATACTTACCAGTCCTTCATTTAAAGTATCCTGGATTCTCTCTACTTCTCGCATGACTGCTTGATAGATGACATCTAATTCAGCCATTTTTTGTAACGGTTTCTAAATTTCCTTTAAATTTAAGCATGGAGAAAGCACTGAATGTCATATATGCAAACTGGAAAGAAATAATTTGGGACCATAAAATAAAAAAGTATGACTCGACAAAAAAAAAAGTTAATAAAATGATAAAATCTTATTGCAAGAATTTACTGTTGAAGTCAGAATAAAGAAATTGTAAGCAACAGCGTAGTGTCGATTAACGGCATAAATTTTAACAATATCTCGATACAGGACTTCCCTTTCTTAAATCATCGTTACTGATATCTGAAATTCTTGAAAGTCCTATCTGAAAAGTTCCAACCTGGACTATATCTACCGCATCAAATAGACGTTTCACAAGATTTTTCGCATCTGGAGGTACACTGTCGAATCCTTCATAACTTGTAGACGGTTTAGTTCCATCCATCTCAAAAGGTTTGTCAACAATCTTATCTCATCATATTAAAACACACTGAAACATTTCAGAAAATCTGAACTCCAATAAGCAAAAAGAAGCAGCAAACACCTAGACTTAGTGCTTCGAGATCATCAACACACGGAACTGTATGCATAGAGAAGAGTGACGGTTATCAATCTTACGAAATCTTGCTGCAATAATATGATAGAAAACCCTGCAAGTAGGTCTAAAGTGATCCGAGAGCGAACCTGATTGCACTATATCGGCTGGGATCAGATCGTCTATGGTTTTTATATTATGAGCATAGGAAAAATTAAACTGGACGGTAAAAGAACCGCTATCCTAAATCTTCCCTAAATAATAAAACAGATGGATAAAAGACACAGTGATAAAAATCGGTGACTATGCAATCAACCACTGCGATTGACTGCAAGGTTACAAGACAGACTGATAAAGTAAACGACAAATATATCGCTACAATTCAAAAAAAAAAAAACAAGTACTACATTGAAATGGATAACAATACTTGGAGGTAAGTATTCGAGATTTTCTCGTCAGCATCGGAAGATTTTCGAAATACCATAAACAACACTCACCACACCTAGAGAGGGATAACAAGTATTCTACTCCCCTCCCTCATAACCTTTCAAACTTCAGAAAATGTTGCAAATGGTATTTGTACCCTAATGTCAAAACGTACCACCTTCCTATGCTACAATTGCAAGTTCGCAATGAAAAATATTTGTTCCTTTGATGCACAAAGAAATTGGAACTCTCATTTGCTGTCACGATAGTTATTCGTGAAAGTAAGGTTTTGTTCGTTTTTAAGCCTACTGCTAATTAATATTGGAAATAAGAAGTTTTTATGATCTATAAAACTTAAGATGCACAAATGTTTCCATTAGGTGTCAGGATATTCTGTTATTTTTCTTTGTTTTAAGACATTTACGTGAATTCGGGTAAAAACGAAGGTCATACCAGTTTTCATTCTCTTAATGTTTTTTTTTTTTTTGTTTTTTCAAAAGAACAGAAGCTTGTTTTTTGATCATGTTTTATTGTGGAAAAATGTTTAAGATGTTTTTGAAACTTTCTTGCTTGTAGAACTTATTGCGACGTTAAAAATATTTGTGGATGCATTTTGGATCCTTTTTTCGCTCCATGTTATTATGCTTCTTGAGGGGTTTTTAAATTGATTTGCATGAGAAATTTTTTCGCATTTTTTTTACAACTTCGTTCAGATGATATTGTTTTTATTTGTTCCTGCATATCCAATGTCTGTATACATTGAGTTGCTGCTACTTTGTAAAGTTGAATTTTCCGTTTTTCATTGCTCTATTTGTTTTTATTTGCATAGACCTGTGATTCTTTTAGGTGCGAAATTGAGAATAAGAAATTCAAGAATTGCTGTATAAATTACACATTATCTGTTTCAATCATTTTAAATATCATCTGTTTTAAATAGTTGTTTTGAAATTGTAGCATGTTGTATTGCTGTTTAACAGATCATTTGTGGTTGTAAGCCAAAATGTGAGACAAAGCTAATACAGACAAAGCTGTAGTGGTTATTAGTACCAGTTGACTACACTAAACTAATATCTTATCTTGTCGATTTTAGCAACGATTAACTCGTGCTAGTGACGGATGATGTATATTTTGACATGTATGTCCGAGTTATGCGACTTCATAAAACTATGATGTTAGTAATTGTACATCTATGTATTTTATATTTACCATATTTGCATGAAACGTTTTGTTATGGGAAATGTATACCATGAATCTTATCTAGGATTGTTTATGGTTTACTCTCATTTAAGGTTTTTTTTTTCTTTTATTTTCTTTTACTTTGCACATTGTCATACGGGAAATAAAGATTGCACAAAATGTGTACTAATCTCAGAAGTCATGTTGTTCATTTTGTCTTTTGAATGTATGGATGGGTAAATGGATTCCGATTGTATTATATTTTCCAATTACGATTTTTTGAATGGGAATATTGCGTTTTATGACGAGCGGACGAACGTGCAAGCATTCCCATTTTCGATACTGCAATTGAAAGCATTAAAGGAATACTCTTGTCATGAAGCTTTTTCCTGTTTGTTTTTTTTTTTTTTTTTTTAGGCTCATTATTTCCTAAATAACATAATTTATAAGGCATAGAGATCAGAACGGAAACGTTGGATTATTCCCGATATATTACCTTTTCAGGTATTAGATCGTGAACTCATCAGCATTCGAGAAATTCATGTTGCTATGTCATCAAAAGGTTTCATTGGAGACGTTCGTATAAAAACTAAAACTGGTGAGTCAATGTGGTGCTTAAGTTCACTGCTTATGACTAACTGCTGTACACATGAACTTTTATTAACCAACTGACATATTTACAGCGAAAGCTGACTGACTGATCATGTAAATCCAGAACTTTTAATTGACTGTCACTTTAACACATAATTTTTAAACGATATTTTTTATTCCTTACAACTGTAGGGAATTGCACTAGGTTATCCTGATGTTCCTTTTGCTCATTTGCAAAAAAAGCTTATTTTAGGTGAAACTTACATAGCAGCTTCGCAACGTGCTGATGGAACGTGGAGAAAGGCAAGAAGAGTGAAGGACGGTTACATCCCACAGGAAGAACAACCGAGGTACGAATCACGCGGTCAACAAATGAGCAACAAAACTACATATCCCATTGGTTGGTCGCCCACCGAAGTTGTGAAACCTAAAAAGGTCACTTTTTTATCCTGTGGTAAGATATGTGAATTGGAAATCTATCCGAGGTAACATTTGAATCCTGCTCAAATTAAAATCTTGAAGTTGGAGTTTGTTAAGGGTGTCAGTGATTTTTAAAAAAATCAAAAAGTAAGAATGAATGTTACGACTTCTTATTCCAATTATGTAATATTTGATAATTTGTAAGTTATTAAAGTAATTATTGTCTGCAATGCTTTTTTTGTACATGTTATGTTGGAGTTAATCCTGTGTGTAATGACCAACTCATGAAACGAAGGAAACTTTTATTTAATTTATGAATTGACAAAACGTCATTTAAGCATCTCATTGTTCAGTTGTTCAGGAAAATTAGTTGGTAATTCTTTAAATTAAATACTGTTTATGATTTATCCACATCTATTTGATTACGTTGTCAACTTAGTTATTTTTTCTTCCGAAGGTTTCCAGAAAACTGAAGAACAAGAATTGAAAAAACCGATTGCTGCAGCACTGAGGCCAAACGCTCCTATAACTCCTCGTGAATGTATTGGAAAGAAGATTAACAATTTGAACAGAAAGCTACGAGATATAGAAATACTAGAGGTAAACTGGGTTTTTATTTTTGTATCCTCGTACTCGTCTTATTACATACATGTAAACTAGTAAAAATCACTGCAGCAAAGAATCAAAAGTGGAGTATTGGGAAATCCAGAGAAAACACAACTCGAAAAAATCGCGCGAAGAGAAACAATTACGAAGGAAATTGATCGGTTAACTGTTGAAATCGAAAAATTATGATTATTTTTCTGAAATTATTTTTGTAAATAGCAAAGTTTTTTTAATAAATCATATACAGCAAAACAAATGACATCTTCTATAACATATACCACCGAAATGTTTCGGATTGAGTGAATTCAAGGATACAAAGAAATAGGGCTCCTAGAAGTAATTTATTCACAAAATATCGTACCACTTTTTTGTCGAGATCTGACTACTTTTCTGTTTTCAAAAAATAAATTTAGAAAAAAATCTGAGATCAAAACAATACGGTTACCCCTCTGATTGATATAATCTGAGTATGTTATTTATAAAGTGAAGCATAACTGTTTCAAGTGATTATATATTTAAATGTCAGTGTTGTGAATTCACTCGTTTATTATTTATGAGCTCTAAAATACATATAGCGTTGTCAGTCACAAAGATCAGAACGATTTATTTGAAAGTTTGACCCAAAAAGCGGCGAAATTGTCGCAATTTCTAAATATATTTCTATATTTAGGAAACCAATTTCTTACGGAACCTTCCATTTTAGACTGCTGAAAAGTGAGCGATATTTTAGCATACCACTTTCATTATGATGAACTTCTTACATGATGTTTTTCTATAAATGATGTGATTTGCAGTCAGGTTAAGCTATTAGTTATTACCGTACTTATCTGATAATTTTCTTAATGTACTCTGTTTTAATTTATTGCTTATGCAATATTTTATGAAGATAATTGAGACGATTACTGGAACAAAATGTCGAAATTTTATACGAAAACAATAAATGCTGAAATCAATATTCGCAAACACAAAATAATTCATATCATTCAAGAGATGATAATATTAAAGCATTATATAATTTAAACCTGTAAAACAATTTGTATTATTTTCGGGTTCTGATAATACTGGTGATAACTGGAGACGAACATTGCAATTTGGGTTTGCAGACTTGTAGAATTTGTAAAATGTTGTTGAACATGCTTTGAGAATTGAGAAGAGTGAATGACGGGGATACTATTGCAAGAAATTTATTACGAATTACGAATGAGGCCTCAAGAGTTTTCTCATTATTTTGCATTTGATCACTGATAAGAGGAACTTTTACCACTGATAAGATGATTTCTACACTTTCTGCTTATTTTTTTGAACCAAAAATTTGGAAGCGGGAATAAAATCAGCTGAAATGTGATTGAAATTTTAGAGTTATAATGGAATTACATTCCGGAAACGGTCTTCTCTGATTTTTACGTGTAAAATATGCAAAAGTTACATTCTTAGATGCAGCATGTTGTCCATTTATCTATGAATCATAAGATTGACTTTGATTCAGAAGGTGACTGTAGAGGAATGGATTCAAGTGGTTCTTGGATACGGTCTTGAACTGTTTCAACTGGTTCAACGCTAATAGCAGCTGGATTGGCATGTATTGCTGGTCGAGGTACTATTCCCACATTTGTTCCTGTTCCTATTGCTACTGACCCGAGCATTGATCCACCGGTAGCGAGAAGTGGGCGTGTAGTACTGCAAGAGTTTTTCGAGAGCTCAATATTAAAATTTAAGATTTGAAATGAAATTATTCAGGAAGCAAATAGTTTCACTGCTACTTGCTTACAATGCACTTAAATCCAAGTCCGCGGTACGTTCTCTGTAATATTTTTCTAATCTTATAACTGCGCAGTTATGCAAGGAATTAAAAATCCTCTATAATTTCATAATTTGTTAAAGGATGAATGATGAATCCAAATTCAAACTCTTTAGAAATGCCTAACCTCGGATCACACAATTTAGGTATCAGAGATGACCTCCAAGCTTCATAACAAAATGGATTAAGGAAATACGCAGTAATGTGATGATCGAAGAATGGCCAGTGTAGAGATGCCATCTTCTGCCTTTTATCTTTCATACGGCGATTTTGAAACCATACCTGGAATAACTTCAAATCTAGTTGTTTTACAAAGTGAAGTTGATAAATCAAAGATTCAACAACATTCATTTTTTAACTTGTGATGTACTGTTTATAATTAAATAAATTTCGGCGGAAGGTTTTAAGGTAGTACTTTAGCAGGACTCCATCATTACTGAAGTATTTTTTGAGCAGATAAACAGGAGAAACAAATCAGATGAGAGATGAAGATGAAGGTGGGATAAACTTACTATGTAGGCAAGTCTAGAAATGAAGATTCGAAGTTCCACTGCTTAAATCCTTAATTCATTTAATGTCGTTATCATTATCACTTATTTACTAATACTATTCTTGAAACATATTATTTATTTCGTCCTGCACTCCTTCTGATCTTTATTGCTTCTGATGCCCTACCAAAAATTAATGAAATCAGCATTTTGCTGAAAGTAGCTCGTCGGATTGTCGATTTAAGAAGTGAAATTACCCCAAGAATTTTTAAGCTGTGTGAAAATCGAATTAATAAAGGGATTAGAGTAAAAAGAGGAAAAATTGAAACGGGGAGGACTAATAATGAGATAAAGAAAGTTTTGCATTTTTTCATTGTCCATGAAGTTGAAGATTTAGTTGCTATTGAAATAAGTCTCATTCATCCTAATCAGGATTGTTTCGATTGTGGTTATCATTCAAATCATGATTATGAAAAGGCCACTTATTTGATATTCTTCTATTTATCTGCATTCTCGATATTTAGCAAAATGCAATCCGTTATTTTAGTAAGATTTTGGTTGAAGTACAATATATATGAAAGAGAACAAATAATTTTAATATATTGTAAACATTTGAAGCGAAAAATTAGTGAATGGTTTAGGATGTCTATTAAATAGGATGGATGCGTAGTATTTTGATAAATTATCAATTTTTAGACGGATTGTGCAAGAAGCATTGGGAGTGGTTCCTAAATATTCATAAATTTAATCTCTCTCTCTTGCCCTCTTTTTCCTCCTTATCTACTTCCCCCTTCTCTCTCTCCCCCCCACCTCGCCCTCGCCTCTACTGGACTGATAACGTGTCAGGAACAACGACAACAAAAATGATGGCTTAAAATGACGAGACAAGCACTAGTCCTCTCATGCAATTAAAATAAGAAAAAGTGCAAAAAATTGAATATAGAGTATTGAAATCTTTCAGAATCAAAATAAATTGGTTCAGGATTTAAGCTGTTTAAATGAAAAGCCTAGAAAAAATGCATATGATTTCAATATCATTTAGCTCAATTCATTTTGCTTTCGCAAAGCATTCACTTACAAATTGAAGTCTCATGGGGAATAATTCCAGCTAAATCTACAGTAACTGCTTCTAGAAGTTGCTTAGTAAGCGCACTAGTTTAGTTGAAGTGACTCTAAGAAATCCTATTAATCATGCATAACCCTGGATGCCAAAAAATAAAGAACTTCGTTTCTATTTTTAAAAAACTCAATGTTGATTCCAATTGTGCGAAACTCCAAATTAATACCTTTAGAAAATTGAGAAACACTACGAAAACGACAAATTGTACAAAAGAGGTACAGTAAACCCGTTATATTCCCTCAATGAATTGTCAGAATACAAGATATTACAAATTAGAAAGTACAATTTGTCGGAGAGGTGATTCACAAATGAGGTAAATTATTGATTTGCTTCAATGAGCAATAATCAAATAAAGGATTGTTTTACTTACCTTTATAGTGCCTTCAGGTAAATTAAGTTGTGTCGCCAATTCACATCTTTTTGGTCGTGATACATAATTCTCACGTGCGAACTCCTTTTCTAATCGGCTGATCTGTTCACGGCTAAATGCTGTCCGGTAGCGTCTCATTGTACCATCATCACGAGATTCCACTGCAGGTATGCTTTTGTTATTTGCATTTTTAAATTTATCAGGTATGATATGAAATAGAATTTTGCACTTAAAATAGAAAGCGAAATTTAATTAAATTTAGAGACTCTTCAATGCACTTTAATATCTAATTTATTTGTTTAAAAGCTTTGTTTCATTGAAGTTACAGAAAAGTTAAGAACTTGAAATAGCGTAGGTATATACATTGAAATGATGCATAAAAATTTACGTATAATTTTTAGGATATCAGCGTCAGTCTATTCTGATTACCATAGGCTGAAATGTGCTCCTAGGACGATTATTGTTTTCCCATTCCTAATTTTAATGAAGGTCGTCTCATATCATCAAACAATTAATGTTATGAATATCGAGGTTGAAGGTAATTGTATCACTATCGTGCGCCTCAACAACCACCTGACAGGTATGGGGAAAGAGAAAATCACGACAGTACGAAAAGCAATTGCATATTTGATAATTCCGCCATCGTTCCTTTGCGGTTTCTTTTCAACGAACTTTTTACGAGCACCGTTATTGTCATTTCAAGCAAAATGTCTCTCATTTCCAGACAATTTAGAGGATTGGTACAACAGTTGTCATACTGTAACAATCCTATTCGATGGCATCTCATTCCATTCAATTTTGTTTCATTCCTGAGGCGTTAGAAAAAGCTGTTGGATCCATTTGAATATAATTATGTTATTGTTTTCATAACATTTATTATCAGAGCCATATAGCAATTATATCATTTTTACGACATGTAAATCTTATGTTTATGCGTACCGCCATGTTGCGCCATTTGTTCAGGAACCAATTATGTCTTTAAAAATTCTATAGACAGTCTCATCTGTTTTGTATTATTTATTAAACCATTAAAATTCTTTTTATCTTCATTTGCTTCACATTTACTACTTCTTATTCACTCCAAATAAATTAAATAAAAATTGAGTTTCACACATAATTCATGCCAAAAAATGATCAGCCATATGACATCAATACAATAAATCAAAAATAGAAATAGCAATGAACTAATGTAATTAGAAGTATCAGAACAAAAGCGAAAATATCGATAAAATAAGAAGCGAAAAAGAGATTGCCAAACCATTTCTTAATACTTGAAATTGTGATATTAATGCGGTATATAGCACTTATCGGATATTTGGCCAATCTTTAAGATATAAGCCAACTGAGACATTACCGTATTTTCATGTCTGCTTGAAAATATGAATACTGCCAATTGTACGATGAGGAAATGATGCATAATGACATTTTACCTCTTAAATAATTACAAATAAAATGGGCCAAATTTTCAAAATTTGAAATTTGTAGATTGTAAAGGAATGTTTTCATTGTTACCATTATCGAAACAAAGTAAGAAGAACTTAATGTTTATTATGACATATCTTTAATAATAGAGCAAATGAAATAATGTTGAAAATAATAGCAATGATCAGTCAATTCTCAATTCATATCTCTTTAATTGCCCTTACAATTTTTTAAACAAATGCAATGCATGTAACAATGTTATAATCTATGTTTTAAGAAGCGTAAATTAGTATTTCGAACTATTTTGATTAAAAAACTTGTAGGTGAATGATTCGAAATAATATTTCAAATCTTAAGAATTTCCAGTTATTTTCCTTTGCAGTAAATATTTGCAGGGAAAAATCATATAAGTATTTTGACACTTTAATTTTCAATTATTTTTTTTTTTTTTCAAATAAATCTCTTGCGGCAGCCAATTTGTATTAAATCTATCTGTTAGAGAGTTTTCCTTTTCATACTAAAATAATATCAGTTATTATGCATGACAGAGTATTAAATCCCGAAGGCAAGCTATGATCTATCTTAATCTAGAACTATCTAATAGCTAGTAGGAGTCTTCCTTTCTTATCCCAGCAAAAATATTATCATTTTTGCATAATATTAGATAGAGAGGACATCGTACAAGTAGAAATGGATATAATAAGTCAGTACATGATAAGATCTGGAAATGATGAATTCATAGAATCAAGCAACAACGGGACTGATTGAATTTGAAATTCAAATCTTAAAGAGTGCATTGTAAGAATGTCAATTGAATTTTCTCTCTTCTCTTTCATTAAATCTTCACTTACAGCTTTAACCCAGTTTAGCATTTGTAGTAATTAGTCATATCCTTCCAGTACCTAATTTATTATTCCAACTGGTTGGATTGATGATTTCTTTGTTTCCCATTAACGATATTATACATACATATATATATATATATATATATATATATATATATATATATATATATATATATATATATATTGATAGATATCACTTCAATAAGCAAAAACATCCTCCACTGATTAAATCACTTTGACGAATTCCATTTTACAGAATTATTACTCTCTCTCTCTTTCTTTATTTTCATCATCTCATATTCATCTTATTTTAAATTCGATTACAGAATTCATTTTAAATTTGATTGCAATTCTTTATCTTCTTTTCCCTTCTTTTGTATCTCACATGCTATTCCTTAAATTTCGAGAAATCTGAAACTTTTCCATAAAATTGGAATACTAATTTGGTTATTAGATCTTGTTAGCATTCCCACTGCTGTCAAAGTAAACGTAGGATACAATCCTGGAAGAAAAAGTAGAGATACTTTGCTTTTAATCTTACAGTCATATTGTATTACCTCAGTAATGTTCGCATCAAAGAATAACGTCTTGAAATGAAATGAAATAGGAAGGAGAAAAAACAAAATAGGAAGAAATTACATCAGATGGACTATAAACTTTTGTGCACTGATAAAAGACATTTAAGGCCCATTTAAATGTAATTCTATTGGTCGTAACAATATTGTGATCTACTCACAATACAGGAAGTTACGGTAAAATCGTCTAAATTAACGCTTAAATTAACCCTCTCATAAAATATCGTTATTTCTTTTACTCTATGAAATTTGGATAACAACCAACTTTCAAATACTACGTGAACTATAAGAAAACCTCCTAAATTTAAGGAATTTTAAATCAGTTGATAATCAATTTCAATTATTATGCATCTCCTGAAAAGAAAGATTCGAAATCCATATTTCATACTTAGTTAAAATACATGATGAAGACAATTTCTAATATCAAAAAGCATTCTTCAGATTTTTTTATCACAATAGGGAAGATTAACATGCCTCACAAAAATTTTCCTGAAAAAATTTTAAGAAAAGGAATTACCATGAAAACTACAACTACTGCTACCACGAAAGCAATTTTGCTTTCCTTTAAAAAAAAAAAAAAAAAAAACAGAAATCTGTCGATACTCTACAAATATTGAAAAACTATCAAAGTTCAACGAAAACATTTTAATTTCAAAATGATTATACATTTCAAGCAGAAAGAATGAATATACCTAGTGTGCAATTAAATTTTAAAGAAATAAAAAAAGACTTAATTGTTTTTAAAATAGTTTACAGATAAATGAATTGCTAGCATTCATCTTAGTTAATCAAAAATTCAGTGGTCATGCAATTTGATCGTTAACTGAAAATGACGCAATTAACCTACGATCCGTTGGCAAAACCTTAAGTAATTCCTCTGAGAGAAGCAATAAAACAGATAATTTTTGAAATTTATTATGATACAAAGCAGAAAAAAATATTATAGTTTGCATCAACAAGTTTTATGCAAAAATGTTCCTAAAATATTTGAATTATTTGCGATATGGAAAATGTATTATAGATAATTTAAAATTTAAGAAAAATAATAACTTTTAAATATCGATTGCAATTTACAGTATAAATAGATTCTTTTATAGTGTTTGTTAGTTAGTGAGTTAATAGGAAATGAGTTAGAGAAATAGTGAAAAGATTAGGTGACAGTTTTAGTGTTTAAAAAAGATTAACGTCTATTTTAGCTACAATGAATGATTATCATTGATGGAGAAAATGTCTTTAAATTATTGAAATGCTTCTATATTTTAATTATAGGATAATTAACTATATTTCGTCTAATTTTCACTTATATTTTCAATCTGCTCAATAGAATAAGATCGATAAATTTAGAGTTAAATAGAAAGTGCGATTTTTGGATAATCTAATCTCCAATATTTTTGTGCCGAATAGTAAAGTTAGGATATATTTCTCGTCCTTATTGCTTATTTAATCCGAACGATTTAAATTCATTAAAACTTCTGGTTCAATTTTTAAGGTTTGAAGTAGTGCTAACCTGATACTGATAGAGAGGATGGCACACACTGTGATTTGCCACCGGATACGCAGGGATAAGTGTGGAAAGCAGTGCCTAAACATTTCGATTCCGGATCTATGGTTCGAGTTGCGGATACAGCTGATGCACCCGGACGTTTTCGAGATGATGTCGAATCGCACAAGAACTCAGATTTTATTAAACTTCGATCAAAATTCAGATTTGTTGTGCTTACTTTAGTATTAGCAACAGACGGAAGTTCGTTAATAGCAATAGCAACTGCTTCCTTAGCGGTTTCCGTTTCTGGAGTTTCTTCAGATATTCCAGAGAAGCCATTTCGTACCCTACCTATGCCAATAAGAGATTCGATATCAAATGACTGCATAAAAGCATACAAAATGATTTCCAGAATTCGCCGTTCCTTACCACTTCCTCATCCGTAAGGCGAGCAACAACACAACTAACTTCACTTCCTCTTATTTGCAAAAGTTTACGGTAATTTGTCGGTGGTTCTCATGGCCGAACTTTTCCTTATAGATCAAAAGCTCCGCCTCAACCAATCCTTACTAACCAATAGATGGGATTCTCGGTCGGCACACTTAAGAAATAATTGACACATAGGGAGACAAACGACAGTTGAACAGAACCCGTCCTTCTGCCCATAATTCCTCCCTTTCGTTCCCTTTAGCAAAGTTTCGCAAATGATACAGTCACCTCTCCCCACTTCCCTTCTTCTCTCCCTCACTTCATGTTCTATAATGTTTTCCTTTCTTGAAATCATAGCAAAGATAAGTGCCACCAATTCGGCTGTCAGTAATTAATTGCAACAATCCTCATCCTGATTGATTTTTCTCTCTCTTTCTCCCTCTGTTTCTCTCTCACATTGGTTTTCTTCTCGCCTGCTATACCTTTAACTGCGAGCGGTAGCAAATTAGAGATGAAATGAAGGGGGAATAATAAGTTCAACAATTCAAATTTTAGTTTCAATTATTCGCAGATTTGTACTATCTTCACATCCCAATGCAATTTCATTTTACAATACATTTCGGATTGTGCATACATTAGACAGCAATCATTTAAGTAAGAGAAAGTTATTATCCATAAAAATCATGGAATGTTGAACTAACTTGTTTTTAGAAGGTGACAAAGTGAATCAGTCAGGAATGCTGGAAATAACTGATTGATCTGTAACGAATAGTTGCTAACAAAACTTCTAGTACGATTTCATCGCAAAAAAAATGCATCAAAGAATTTGAAAATGCTTCGAGTCGTCTCATTTCAACGCATTACTTACCACATAAAGTACATTATTGGTCTAGCAGCAAATTTCCAATTTTAATTCAAATGCCCGTTTTTTCAATACATAATAGAATTCATGCGTGCTCAATTCATTACTTATCAGCATCAATAAAATACTGAAAAGCCGTGTCTTTATCTGTCGATGTCCCTTACTCCGTTACTGTTGCCCATACAAATTATGTTCGTACACATGTCGCTATATATAATTTTACAACATTAAACAGTCATAAAAACAATGTACCGACTTGCTTTTACATGCCGGAGACCTTTTGGAGTCTTAAAATCATTTCCTCATTGCTCCATCAGTCATAAAACCATATTTTATATTTCGGCACCCCAAAAGTCCAACTGTTCACTTCCGCTGGGCATACAAACAGAAAGGAGAGCGAAAGCGAAAGGAGTACGAAATTTTTGTTTTGGAATGTAATTTATCGCTCCAATAATAGACATATCACACCTGACAATTGTATGTCCTTTACAACCAATAACAATTATTCAGTCATTCTTATCTAACTTCACCGTTTTTATTCGCAAATTTATTGATACAAAAGCACCAGCTCAAATGAAATGAAAAGAAAAAATTGCGATAAATACGGAAGGAAAAGCAACGAAAAAAATAAGCAGGTATTGTCAGCAAGTTTTCCTTACTTCATCATTTTATGCTTACACAGTTAATTTAAAATGTTTCAAACATAAAAAAGAAAAACTCTGATTTATAAACGTTTCTTCACAAGCTTCATAAACAGCTTCAACTTCAAAAGTTTAATTGTTGGAGAAAATTTCAGCATTTCCTACTCATCAAACTCTATATTCAATGAAAATCTTGTTTATGAACATATTCCTCAGCATAACCATCATTAGGCACATGGCAGTTCTGAGCACATGTATATAGCATCAATGTAGCCCAGTCAATACTTTTACCGAGATCATCAACGCCAATAAGTGCCAAAAGATGGGGCATAAGTTGAAGCTCGAATTGCCGCTCCGATCCACAAAGAGAACACGGTGGAATTGCTTCAGGTGGTGGTGCATGATCAGTTGCTAGCAATGGTTCACCACCCCGACTATAACGCAACACTTGTTCAGGATTCAGCGATACTACCTAGAAATATATTTAAAAACATAATTAACTGTAGACGAGAAGATATTCATATCTATCGAAATACTATTGTTGTTTATTTAAACAATCTGTGACATTTTCTTCATAACCTGCTGACATTTCTTACAAACTGACATTTAGAGAGAGATATTTATCGAATTATCTGCTAGACTAAATATTCTAATTTTTTGCTATTGCCAAAAACATGGTACAATAAAAACCATAATAATAATAATATCTATTTGATTTTATAACCATTTGACTATTTGATTTGACTATTTGACCGTAATAACTACTTTATTTTAATAAACAGTGAACCTTATTAAAATATTTGAAAGCAGTATCTTTATCAGCAAAATCTTCTAAATCTTCCAAATCACCATTACCATAATCGCACGGGCTCTGAAGATATTTCCAGTCAAATACGAGAATTCATTACTCTATTACAGATACATTAAAAATCAAAAGATTATGAAACCGAAAGGAGAAAGAAGCAAACTTGAAGTCAATTAGAATGTAACATAAGCTTAAAGCATGATAAATTTAAATATAGCGCACTGAACTAGGAAATTTTAATAATTTCCATTGATACTGCTGGTGTAGAATTTTAATAATTACATTTCTAACCTTATGCTTTATTATATATTGCCTGTATTCCTCCATACGTTTCTCTGCATTACCGTCATCACTATCACTATTATCATCATCACTATCAGTATGATTACTTCCTGGCAAGTGTTCTATGCCCATTTCTATTGCATATTCTGGGAAAACAAATGCATTTATCGCAATACTTCGTTTACGTTTCATCCAATCATTTTCATTATCTCTGGAAAAAAATATTCCTAAAATTCTGAGAAGACTTCTCTCCCTCCTTTTTCCAGTGATTTTCTCTCTCCTACTCTTCACATCAATTTACCATTTCTATCCCTCCACATTGACAACAGTAAGACTCACTTTTCTTCACTATCAGGAATTGTAGAAAGATGCAACTGCAGCTGATCCTCATTAGAACTCTGTTTACAGCACTTTTTTTTATGTGTCGAACTCCAATCAATTGCCTGATGTTCGCGACTACAATACCTGAATAACCTACTTCAGTACCAATTAGAAAATTGTATTGTAACAGGAATACTTAAAAAGGGATATTTTCTATTCCAGTGGCAATGGGGGAGAACCTTGCTTTAACAGAATTCGTTCATCTTTCAGATGAAAAACATGTTTATATAACTATTCAGAAAAGAGCAAAGAGATTAAAATAGGGAGAGAAAACAATATTATGCCTAAGAATTCTAAGAGCATTCTCATAAAATTCAAAGTATATAAAAATAAAAGAATCCGAAAATCAGAATTAGCTTCTTCAATAAATGAAAAAATTGGGAAAGAAAAAGTACCACGCAGATTCGCAACGTGCACATTTCTTTGTAGCACTACAGCCACAAATCTGGCATAGATGAGGATATGTTTGCTTCCAGAACGGATCTGGAACATCACCTTCTAGATCAGGATCGATGGGCTGTTCGAAACCATAAAAATCATTGAATCGCGGTAAAGTACACCGGAAAGCGCGAACGTTACTGGCATCATTATTCTAAAATACTCCTTCAGTCACAATTTCATATTTAGTTAAACACATTTACCAAAAAATTTGAGGGAAAGGAAGTTTTTAAGAAAAAAGAAATAAGCAAACAAATCGCAGAAATATAAAATCAACATAATAATGTACTTGTGAACACTGTGAGTTTCGACAAATGAAGAAAAATAAAGTACGATGGAAGGAATAATCTTGGTCATTGGGGCTTGTAGCATAAACTTGAATCAAAAATACCATTGGTTTCTCGCAAACCTTAAGTAGAAGGTTCTGATTATTCAAATTCTTTCCGCTGCTTTCACAAACTGTTATTTAATGATCACTGCTAGCTTTCAGAAATCATTAGGTTTAGAAAAAGAACTAATTGCAGCTTTTAAAAAGCATAAAAAGTTACGGATATGTAACTTTTTGAAAAAAAAACAGCAAATATGTACCAGCATTTGACATCTTGTAAAGAACTTCGATACTCTCACGAATAGTCTATATTAATCATAAAGATTGTAATAATGTAATAAGACGAACTCGACAAAGAAGAGAATTATTAGCAGGAAGACTGACAGGATTTAACCAAGCGGGTTTACCACCAATTTTACCCAGTGGCATATAATGTGACGACAAGCGATAGGAAAGCTGGGGCTCAAGCACATTTCCAAAGCCCAAATATACGGGATACTCTGTAATTAAAAATAAAACAGGATTTTAATTTTCAATGATAAATCAGGTATCTGTCAGAAGTTATAATTTTAATATAATTTCTGGAATGAAAAAAAAAAAAAAAAAAAAACTGCTGAGAGATAACTATATTTGACAGACAAACGATGAATAATACAAATAAAGTAATTTACTCGAAAAATTCGCCAACATAACTGCACTACTCTTCCTTCTCCGGTCTTCCATCAGACTGATAAGCTGTGTAAACGAATAAAAAAAGCAAAATGTGAACAAGTACAACCGCAAGAATTGCAGAATACAAAATGGATTTCTGATTGTCGTAACCAAGAAGCGCTGTGATTTACAAAAGTAAACAAATACTCAAAATTCATTAAATCTGCGTTCAAAAGACTTGTAATAAGTAAAGTAGATTATTTTCCTAGAATTTCAATATTTTAAAATCTTTTAAAAAGTATACCATTCACTTAGGTTAGTAAAATTTTTATATCAAAACAGATATGACACTGTATGTAATACATCTCAACCAATAATACGATGGGAATTCTCAATTATTCAAATCCGTTGCAACATCTTTCAGTCATATGTGGTGACTCCCATCTGGAACGAATATTTACCTTCAAAAACGAATTTTTTCAAAAAGAACATAGATCCCAGCGGAACTACTATAATTGTCAGTGAATAAGTGAGTAAATTTTTTACTGCTGTTTGAACAGTTTCGTCGCGAAGATTAGGAATAAACTGGTCCATCAAATGATTTTAATCGTCCGATAGTTCAATTTTTAGGATTGAAAAATCCTGCAAAAAATTAAGTTTTTTTTTTTGTCTCAGTCGCATTTTTTCATTTCAAAAATGCGACTGAGACAGCTTTTTTTACTATTTAATTTTTCCCTTGAATGTAAGACGAAACATGTTTGTATATGCAGAACTGTTAAAACAGAATTTCTCTCTCAAAACAAAACAAAATGAAACAGTGTTTTATCACCAAATTTTTACCAACAAAATATAAAACATCGACAGAATATATTCAACTATGATAAGAAAAACCCGCAAATGTTGCATTAGGTACTCATAAGTACTTGAAAACATTATTTTATATACATCTCTTAATATATGAAAAACCTACCCGTCCTAATGATGTATGAAAAACTCAGTACTAAAAACTCTAGTAAAACTAATAAAGCACGGACTGAAGAATATTTTCTAAATTCTTCATCGTTAAAAAAAGATTCGTTTGTTTAGCTACCCGTTAGAAAATTCTAAAGATTTACTGTAAAATTAATCATGAACTTAATCAAAGCTGAATGGATAAAATTCTCTGTACTTTGTTTTCAAATAATAATATACCAATCTCATGAAATTTATACAATGAATATAAAAAACTCATGAAGTACAATGCTTATTGCATGTCCCAAAACAATTTTTTGTAGAAAATGGTCGATGGAAGATTGACAAGAGACTCGCAACTAAGACACGGACTGCATATTAATCAGCCTGTAAAAATAGACTTCAGGAGCTCAAGACAGCTAACGTGGAAGGAACATTTTCTGAGAAATCCACTTGCATTTCTGACGGTTAGAACTTTATACATCTCCCCGTTATATAGTTTTTATAATTAGAAATTATATAAGATCAAGCTAATAGTAATTCTAAGAAAAATGTTTCATGTTAAGAATATTAGTCTTACGTAATCATTAATTAAGATTAAAAGCTAATAATAACTAAGCAAATAACGTATCTATTCCCGTTTCTTCATAATTTCTTGCAGTTCCGCATCATTTTTTTCTTCTTTGTATGCTACATATACAAACACAGCGATCACCAAATAAACGACTAAAACTGCAACAACAGCAGCAGGTATAAGAGCGGAAGATGGTGACCATCCGACATGATCTGAAGGAATCATACATTAATTTGAGGGAATCATATTCATTTTGAAGATAATTTTCATGGGAAAAAACGCACCATTCTCTATTACAACTGGATGAAATAAAAGACAAGAATAAGAAATAAGATACGAACATTATAAATTCTGGAGCTATTTCAATTCATGGAATAAATATTTCCAAAACCACAAATTGGTGTAAGCCGAACATTGTATATATGGCAATGAAGTAAAAAAGCCTCAAGTTGGTAGAATGAATGTGTTATGCTTCAATTAATCCTAGTTAGAAAATGCTCACCTTTAATGAAAAGATAGAAAGAATACATTGCAATGAATGGTAGCGTGAACATCAACAGGCTGTATTTGATAAGATTATAGAAAGCTACTGCCTGCACATTTGGTCGGTCTACAAATTCCTTGCAAGCATCCTTAAACCTTACGTCTTTAAAATATTTAAAATAGCTTCCAGATGAAAACAAATCTTGGTTTACATGTTTTTGCTACATAAAAATAATTGTTACCATGAAAAAAAAACACAATGAATAAGGAAAAGCCAAGACAGGTATCTGAGCATTATGATCCGCACTATTATAACATTTGAAGCAGTCAACTTACCCAGCTAATTTCGCCAGTTTTATTGTAAGATGCAACATCACGTAATGCATCACCAAGAATACTGTAATCATCATCATCCGAACTTTCACTTGAAGAATCCATTCCCTGCAGCACTATAAGAATTTTCAGAGAAGAGGAAACAACACATTTATGCACATTGTTTTTTCATCCCTGTCCTTTCATTTAATTAACATACATGAATATGCATATCGCGATAGCACGTTTCTCGGATATCTGGAAAAGAACATCTATATTTGTCACCATATGCATACAATTTAATGAAATATGACACAAAGGGATGAAACGGAAAAGAAATAGACTGAAATACCGTTATATAAAACTATATTTCGGAACTATAGGCAGGAGATCCCTTCTTACCTCTCCAACTTTTCATGATAATCCATCATTATTCCCTTATAAACATCTAAACATTTCTCGCCTATCATTATGAAACATTATCAAATATATAATTCTAGGATCATCCGATCACCTTCTTCTCATATCTATCACATTTAACCAATGAACCCTAAGAACTATGTTTTGCAACATACATATTCTTTCAAACAAACCAATATTTAAAATAACTTCATTCATTGATAACACTGACAATGATTAGAGAAATGTAGAATACTAATAATTACATTGTCATGATAGAGAATATAAGGCAAAAAAAAAATCAAAAATAATTTGGAGGCCACAAAAATTTCCCTTGCATAACGCAATGTCAACAAGAAAGCATTTCAATGAAGAGATCTGGAATACAAAGAATAATAAGCAATCAATGCCGTAATGCAAATAAGTAATTGCACAACCTTCAAAACAATTTTAACCTTTTCTCGGGAAAATATAAATTTAACATTCCTTGCATACAGTCTGCAGCTTTTATAAAAACTGGTGGAGGTATTTCTAAAAACAAATTAACATAGTGAAAATAAATAAGGTATCGAAGATACAATGTAAACATGGACGACGCAATAAAACAGACCTTTGACTTATCTTCTAAATAAAAGTCTGAATTATTGTCAAAATAAAACTGTGAAATATCCAAATGAAAAGAAACAAATATTCATAGTTAATAATAAAAAAAAAAAAAATCAATAGGTAACTGTATGAGGAACATAAAGAATATTGACTTCATCCCTATTCCGATCACTAGCTGGCTTTAGAATCCCCATGAATTCCAATTCACCGACACATCGGAAAAGACGTAACACTGGACTGGTGTCATTCAAATCCACCAAATACTCCTGAAATCTTGCTAGCCAACGGTATATTGGAATGTTCTTGCATTCCAGTGAAAGATCGAGAAGAGATCGGTAAGCAAGGCAAAGATCCATTTGAATTCCACTTCGCTAAAATACAAACTATTCCTGCCTATATTTAATTGATTAAACTGCAACCTTCCTAACCAACAAGATATTGGAAAATGTTTTTTTTTTTTTTTTACATATTAGTTAAAAAAATGAAAAAGCAGAAACCCCTTCCTTAATTTCCGACTCTGAAAATTCAAGGCTTTGAACATACGTGTTCATTACGCAGTTTTGGTTGCAAAAATGCTTTTTCCAAATTCGTTGTAGTAGAAGGAATAACCAAATTCATCACGTTCTGCTTCCCCACAAGCAGTTTTTTCTCCAGACTAGGCACTTTATGGAAAATTCTTAGCGTTTTAGACATTATCTAAAAAAAAAAAAGAAAACAATATGGACATAAACAGTAGTAAAATTAAATGCATTTTTTCTGTTAAACTCTTTATCTATAATTATTCACTTTAATCTACACACCTGTGTGAGTAGCCTAATAAATCTTTGCCGATCATGAGACATCACATCCATATGCTTCTTCAGAGCTATTTTGTCCTGAAATGACAAGTTACAGTAGTGGAAAATCTTCATGATGAAGATGACTTACATCTAATGATGAAAGAAAAATAAAAACCCAAAATCTTCTAAGATTCTTTCGCTAGTTTTAAAATCTTTTGGGTCTCACGCATATCCACATCTTCTACTGGATTACATTACTAGGATACAATAAAGACGAATTATTTCTTCTGCCAGAGATAAAATTATACCCTCATTCGTTGCTGCATTTCATGAAGCGACAGTCTTTTCTTACAAATACCAACAACTGCTGTTTCATGTTCCGGTATGGCTTCCTTTTGCAGTGCAATTTTCCGTTGATCAATTTCTCGTAAATCAACAAGCAATTTCTGCAGCATATTCCACGATTTAATAAGCATTTTTTAATCGCTCATCTCTGGCACATGCTGACCAAACAAGTTTAACCATAATAACCCCCTAAAGCAATTAAATTACTTTTCTTTAATATAGAGGAATGAACAATCGTAATGACCACATCTGTGAACATAAAAAGACTCATAATAAGGCAACGATTAACAGTAAAAAATGTAACATTAATAAAATAAGCAACATTGATTATAATACTGAAACATTCCTCTATATTCTAAACTTTGATGATATACTTTAAGCAACATACAGCCACATACACACTCTGTGAAAGCATTGTTTACTAATTTTTACAAGGAAAGAAAACCTGCACTTCACTGCCATAATTGGTTATTCGTTTGACTGGATTCCACAGCTTTAATAAAGAGTCTACCATCTTCTCCACACTCCATGTTACCCAAATACTCTTCCATGTTCTGGAAATGACTGTACTTTGCACAATATATAGATCTCATTTTGAATGCCTATCAAAAAATTTTACACTCGCCAACCATACTCCTCCCACTAAAAACTTAATTAACCCAATTCTCAGTCCTAGTTTAAACTGACTTCTGTTTAAAGATTTGCTTAAAGATTACTAGACATAAAAAAAAAAAAAAAAAAAAAAAAAAAAAACAGAAATTATCTTCCCTAAAGAAAAGTGAAGTTAAACCTACGAATATGGTCCTCCTTTTTCAACGAAAAAATTCGGATTCGATTGTATCCAGCTATGCAACTCATACACATTTTCTGCATGATATGGAAAACCGGTCGTTAACTCGTGTAAAAGATACAAAAATGTATCATAAGATGCCAGTACAGCTTCTGTCCCAACCTTCAATAAGAAGTTAAACTGATCTGAACTAAATGTTTTGAAACAGTTGTCATAATGGTACGATAAACTTACATTTCCGCTATTAACAGCTATATCATTACCAAAATCTTCGCATTCCAACAATTTATGTAGAAGCGTAACTTTGAGAATTCTCTTCACTTCACAGACTGATAAGCTATCCCTCAGAAATCTTGCTCTAAGTTCTTTATGAAATGTACCATCGACAATCATCTGAAATATTACCATTTCATATTGAGATACTACTGAAATCATTATGCGTCTAACTTTTAAAATATACAAAATCAAGAACATACATAGTTACTGGGTTTGATTGCAATAGCTTCACATATAGCTTGCAAGGCATAAGTTGGCGTTGGCATATGAAAGCAGTAAAGCGTCAATTTCCAGAAGCTTTCCTGCGAGAAGCGAGTAAAAATAACATTGAAATCTACAGCTACTGTTACCACCAAAACAATTTTCCTTTCCCTAAAATGATCTTCTAAACTGAAAAACTTAGCATACTCTAAAAATACACGAAAAACGTCAAAACTCAAACAAACGCTGGCAATTTTAAAACCACTATACAGGCAAACTTAAAAGCCGAGAATGCAAATATCAACAACTGACCACTCTGAATCAGTGAGCACTGAAACTAAACCATCCAAGTATGGACCTGCCGTGAAACACTCCACTTGCTTTAGCATTATATATTTTTTATCCTGAAAATGACCTTATAAAAAACCTAACTGGAAAAATGAAACAATATTAATTCAAACTCGTTATAAAGGCGAACTTTGAAAAGTTAATTACCCCCATTTTCCGAAGCATTTCGTGGAGATCGTACAACTGCATTGTCTGCGATGGTGATATACAGATTGGTTTTATCTTTAAAGCGTTAACTAAAGCCATCTCGAAATCATAACCATCCAGTGTTTCGCATCGGACCACTGCCATTGGTATTCCTGAAACAAATTTTAAAAGTTAATTGAGGATATGAAGGAAATTTTGCTGTGGACATCCACATTAGCAACGAAAAACACTGCAATATGACATTAGTTTTTGAGAGAGCTTATTTAAGTACAAAATGATAGCTGACATATGAAGGAGATGTCCCTTGGTTCATAAAAACAGGTAGCAATGAATAATCCTATATTCCACTCTTAAAATTAGCTGTTTTAGAGGTTGGAATTTCTACAACAGAATAAGGCAACAACCATTAATGAAAAGGGAAATAAGTAAAATATCAGTGAAAGAGAACTCCTAAAATGTATATTATATACTAATAAAAAACGACTTTTCCTTTGATATCTCCGATGACAAAAAAGTGAAGCAACACTGCAGATTCATCAAATTCCATAACCAAATCCAAAAATTCTACCGCGATCCAAAAAAACTTCATACTCAAAAGATGGAAACTATCATACTGCTGGGTTGCGAAAACTCTGTTGCTTACCTTCCATGACCCACCTTTCTTCTACTCCTACCACAGCAAAAAAAGAAAAAAAAAAATCACGAGAAATAGAGAAGCAACACTACGAAGTATCAACAAATAATATTCATTCGCAAGCTTTATGAAAAAGTTCGAAATGGTAAAAATTAAAAGTGAATGGGTAATTGAAGAGCTATTTATTAAATTTAATAAACACAGACCAGGTGGTCGCAACGTGTTTTCCCAATATGACTTTGTGAATGCAGCTACTTCAAAGACGACCTCCTCATAAAGCTTGTTAAGTTCACAGTCAATCTGGAACATTAATTTGCTGCATTTGGCGTTAAAATCGTTAAGGAGAGTACCATTTTTCCGACCATCGACGGGTTCGCTTTCCAATATCTTGCGTTTACCTTTATGAAATGTACAGTACTCCATCAGCGCAACACTGAAATTACGCTTATCCCTGAAATTAAGTTTATTTTAATGAACATCCAAAATAAAATTCAGACGCAAGTACTAATATATGCTGAAACCTAACTCAAATGTTTACACGAATGGAATTAATGAACAATGCCTTTCTTCGTAATACTCAGGAAAACACTTAATAAATAATAGAATATTTACTTTTGCTTAACTATTGATAATCACGAACTGCTCTAACACTTGCACTAGAAATATCAGCAATAATAAGCATATAATTGCAGAGGGAATGTGATATTGTTTCTAAATCAATGAAAGAGATGACATATGATTACGTTGCATTACCGATAAAGGAAAGGTCAATATAAATGCATATGCCAAAGATGCAAGCTAAATGCATGCACCTAATAAAGTAAAATCTAGCATTAACAGAATGCTGCTCATTCTACGTAAATTGTTATTTCTTTCTTTTCCCTATTATCCTGTCATGATCCAGTTAACTTTTTCATGAAAATGACTGGTAATATGTAAGTGTGGCACCATAATGACTGAAAAGTTGGGAAGTTATGGAATCTTAATTAAGTCTGGTGACTCAATGACTCGAGAAGTTATAATGGTACTTACGCCTTAAAAATTAGCAAAATTAATAGACCATCACTCCTCTTCCCCCCTACTTCTATTATTTCCCATAATCAACAAATAAAGTCAAATAATCGAGACAATGGCAAAATACAGATATGTTTGAGAGAGGTCAGAGACTAGTAATATCCGAGAAATAGCATTGGTGGGTTTCAAGGAAAAATAGCACAGATCATTCATTAGAGCATGAGAAAGAAGCAAAGTTGCACTGTGCATTGTACATTATGGATTGAAAGATAGAATAAGTTAGTAGCATATGAGAGGTGCAGAGATAATGACAATAACTATAAGAACATGTTGCGATCCGACTGACTTCAACAGGTATTGGTTCAACTTGCGAGCATTGCCTTTCTGTGTCCCGTATTTGGCGAGTTTGGGGTGAAGGCAGATACCGGCTGATTGCTCTCGACTAAATGTATGATTCAGTTGATGGGAGTACTTGTATTTGTACTATTCCCGTGATTTCATATGTGCGATTAATTCCTGAGAGAAAGGTCCGTTTTCATAATAATTCGGTTTATTCCAAGTGTTATGACCAAAGAAGAAGCGAAGAAATGAAATATTTTTTAACGTATCAAAAGTGGATTCGGGATGATTGAACATCATGCAGCTGTTTTATCGATTAAAACTGAGTAAAAGTTCGCAGATCTTCCATCATGTAAGATGTTCTGTCCTCAACAACATCATTCATTGCTTATTTTTAGCGTGCTGAATTTGACTTCAAGGTAAATATTTTGTGAAAAGTGGGACTTTAGCCCATTCGCAGTAGAGAAATGGAATATGAAATTAGGTTAATATATGGAAATGACTGAACAGGTTTCTGATGGGAAGCCCATGTCACTATTATGGCTGAAATGAATCAATTACACCCTGCCATTACCCAAACCACGGAGTTTAAACTCTATCCGTTTAACCTATTCACTGACTTATTATTCTGTAAATAAGCCGTCATATTTTCAGCATCACGCTGCCGCGTTCACTTCGGCGTCTTACCGTTATTTCTTGGTACCGTGGTTGACTATTACGCCTTATATAACCAAAAAGTGTGTTTTCTGCAGTTCTCTTGAACTTTTTAAACAGATAATATATTTCTGGAATTAGGATGTTTTCCGCTTATTATCGCTACAACAGTTTTTGCAATTGTATTCTAGTAATACTATCTTCTTACTACGCTGTTCCTTTTCTCCGTTTATTCTTTATATATAACTCATTTCATTCCCAGAAATTATCGTACAATTAACTAATTTAACTAATTAACTAATTTTCAGGCATGTCTCAGTATATCTTCTCGTGCTGCAACGTATTTATTTTCTTCCTTTCCATTCACTGGTCTTTGTTTTTGTGTTTTTTTTTTTGCTTTGTATAGCAATTTTGAAAAAGCTACGGGGTAAGTAGTACTTTTTATTATTTATATTATTATTGTTTACTTTGATGTTATTTTTGACTTGTTTAATCGATTTCTTAAACCTTATTATGTTCATTCTGTGATTGGCTGATTAAAACATCAGGATATCCAGAGCATTTCTTAAAAAAGAAAATATAAGTTTGGTTTATATATTTCTTGATTTCCTGTAAGTGAATTACACATTTATTAAGAAAGAGTAGAAGTAGATTTTTTCAGTCATAATTAGAAATTGTTAATCAGTCATTAATTAATCAGTCATCTTTTTTATCAGTCATCTTTTTCAAGGATAAAATTAATTATGCTGTGAAATGCACAAATGTACATCCTGGTTTAATTGTGTTAATGTTTTATACTATTAATTTGTTTGTAGGACTCATTGCCGCATTCGAAATGTTCTTCCATCGATATCAGTCGCTACTGGTGATTTCTATTTGGGGCATTTAATATGGAGGATTCTAATTTTCATTCATCTTATACCGCGGTAGGTTGTTTGTGAAAGTTAGAACATAAAATTTAAAATTAAGGAATATGAGTAGTTCTGATGGTCAGAAGAAGTGATGGTGTGCTAAATATCTTGGCTAATGCTGAAAATTTACAAGAATCTACAATATAATTTATGAAATCTAACAATTTGAACAATCGGTATTTTTTATGTATTATAGTAGATAATTTCAGAGTTGTAGCAGCATTTGCTTATGCACAGTTATTCAGGATCCCGTTAGAAAGTGTTGTACAAAGTACTTTCTGTTATCTCACTTGTTTCTTTAACATATTAGAATTATTTTGCTTAGTAATGGTTAGCGCTATCTCATCCAGAGATAATCATTTTCGACATGTTATCGCTTTCTCCATCTTTCAGGTTTTCTTTACAATTCACTTGGGTTGGTTGAATTTTGAAAAAATGACACAAAAGATTGTTGAGTTTAGTTGGTTTTTTTTTTTTTTTTTATTGTAAATATTTTATAGGAGTCATTCATGGTGCGTTACACATTGTAATGTATCTGTGATTATAGTATTCATACTAGAAAATCTTACAGGTTATTGGCTTCACTTGTTGTTTGCTAAGTTACTTAGTTATTGGAAAAGTTGATACGAATTAGTAGTTTTCTAACTTGTGAAGAGTTGCAATTTATTTTTTTTTTTATAAAATTCTTGCTGTCAAGCTCAACTGTAACTCAAAAATTGAATTTACGGAAATAAATGAATCTTTGTATATTCTTCTAGGTAATGCATGAATGGCATGTACTGTATGAGTTTTAAACAAACAGAGTAAACACTGAGCTAAGTAAATTACCTGATTAGCGGATTGTTACAAGCAATGACTGAATATTATAATATAAAATTTATATCTCATCATACTTATGCTTATTGGTGTAAAGAAGTACATCATGAAATGCTGAGTTTTTCATTATACCATTGAATAAAACGGACAAAGCAAATTGCAGGTTGAAGAAGACGTGTTACAAGTGGTCAGTATTATTTCTCATTATTTGTGGTCTTTTGTATTACCATCATAACAGTCGCTGTGAGCCTTATGTCTTCTCAGCATTTGCATTTTTTGAATACCTTGTTGTGCTAACAAATATCTGTTTTCATGCTACATTTAGATTCGATTTCTACGGTTTGCGTATTTTTGTATTTTGAGATCAGTAATATGAATTATTGTTAAATAAGGCTAATAATAGAATTGCTTAGGAGTGTATCTTGTTTTACAGTAAATTTGGACGTAAATGCAGTGGTTAAATAGAGCAAGTAAAGAAATGAAACATAACTATTTGGGCAATTGAGTGTACCATCACTTAATACAGGTAACGATACTTCTTAGCTGTGTATTGAAGTATTAAGAGTCGATGGCTAAATCGGAAACAAAAACTCAAAAATGCATAAGTTAACTGCAGCTATTCTAAAAACATTCAAAGCAATAACTACAATAGCTGCTTTAACCAACCACATGCGCAGCAACTTACCCTATTTTCTAACTGAATAATAAAAATACTTCCATTTGACATACATTATAAAATCTATGCAAGATATTTTACAAGTGAGGGTTCTAATCAAAAAAGACTCGAAAAGACTATTCCCACTATTTTTCTAGCTGTTTCTACTGAAAAAACTGAACTTTTCTAATGCATCCTTCTTTCTCCCTTCACTTCTATCAGTGAACAGTGATTGACCGCTTTCTTTGCCTATTGGCTTCAACAATTAACTGCACTTTGAGACTTCCTACTAAAAACCACGAATGGAACAACTGATATAATCCTACTGGGACTTACTCGTACTTCTTTAAGTTCGCGTTTCCCAATTAATAAAACAAGTTAATTGGTAGCAATTTATATAACTAACATCAAATTACCGATTCTAGCTTTACGTGTAGTAGCAACAATAATCAATATTGCAAATTCGTTCAGAAAGTTCTAAAAAAATACTTTCGCAATATTTTTACAAATTCGAGTATTTGGCAGCAACAAAATCTACTGTACAAAATGAAGAAATAATGACCGCCCATCCCATTCCGAATACAATTATATTTTTAAAAAACAGCGGTGTAAGAGCGGAACATTCATTGGCGCTTTATATTAAGAAGTGGAATTACAATGTAAAGAAATCCGAAATTAAATACAATCAAAAGTACATTTCTTTAGAAATTTTAAAAAAGCCAAAAATTCGGTTTGAGTTACATATTAATCGAAACATTCACAGCCCACTGATAAAAATTAGTCTAAAAGTAACCATTTTAGCTTATTTTGATCACTCAAGCAGACCTACCAGGAGAAACCAATCTAGCGGGATTCTCTTCACCATTTCGATAGTAAATCAATATATTCTAGAAAAAGAAAAAAAAAAAAAAAAACCAAAAAAGAATCCCTGAAGCGTTTTCAGTATAAAAAACTTAAAGACTAACAAAATAGTGCGAGAGGAACTGAAACAATATAGAACCAATCACCAATAGAAATAATAAGCACAGGATAAAATTAAGATCAGTAAGTTCCGTAATACTCTTCACCTGTTTCCACTTCTCCAGCTGTTTCAACCTGACCTTCGTCTACAACATAAACATTTTCATACTCATCAGTAGTACGCAGTGGTACATGCCTGTAATACACTGTATCTTCATCGTAATCTTCTGTGTCATACATTTGTCGTCGTTGTTGTCGACTACTTGTCTAAAACATTACGAATAAAGTCAAATGACAAATTTGAAAATAGCTGGAATTGAAATCCAAGTTTAAGAACGGAATCTCTAAAAATATACACCTTGAGATGGCCAATCAAAAAATTAGAAAAAAAGGTTCCTATTTTTTATTTTTATGAATGCACCAAACTGTGGAGCCAATAATTGTTGGCAAAGTGATTAGATGCAAGAATTTTCAAACTGAAACATAAAAATCTACCTTTACAAAAAGATTTTAACTCGACAAAGTCAACAGGAATTTGGACGCGATAAAAATTACTGAAAATAATAAAAAAAAACACTTACTGAATCTGTGCGTATTCTATCCGGTATATTTGCAAATGATGGCAACCACTGCGCATAACGTGAGCCTGGTCCACGTCGCTGAAATTTTTGTACAACATCAGGATCACCCTCTTTGATTTGTATCATCATGCTATTCAAGTTCGAAATTGAATTCTGCGTTGTACGAAGCTGAAAAAAAATAATGGTCAGGAATTTTCTATAAAAAAAGGATTAAATAATCCCAAATAATATGCCACAATGTCACAAAAGTATGAACCAACTTACTGCTCTCAACACCATATCCATTGTTTCATCATTCAAACGATAAAGTTGCTCAGATACGTTATCAAACAAGAACGAACAAAGCCGATCGATATTTTTCATTCTTATATCAATTTCATCGGAATTCGGATGAAGCGGTCCGTAACGTTCTTCCAGTGCAATTTCACTTTCGCCTCTATGATGAGCTCTACCCTGAACTAGGTAGTTTCTACTACTTAAATAGAAATTAAAAATCCTATTACAAACATCTTCGATTACTAGAAAGTATAAGCGCGAATTAGAACTATGAAAATAGTCAATTTATCAAGACAACATACCTCCCCAAACCCACTTGTATTATCATTATCAACATTGATAAAACTACCATCATCGCTTCCTGCGCTTTTATTATGATCTGTAATAGACATCTGATAAACTCTGAATTCTATAAAGATTGTTAAAATGCTGATAAACAAACCTGACCTCATTGTTCAGTTTAAAATTTTAATAAAATAGTCAAAAATTCTTAAAAAGGCTAACCTTGCAAATCTACTGGGACACTTCTGTGCAGCAAATCTCTGTAATTACTCGAGTCTCAAATAAAAATATTAATATCCACAAATAAAAGTATGAGTTTTTAAGAGTTTCGAAAACAAAAAATAGTAAAGGGCAACGAAGCGAAAAAGATATGAAAACCAAAACGTACCTTTTAGGACGTGTAAGCCTAACACGTGCCGATACTTTCTCAGAGCTGGTAGCTGGAAAAACAAACCTAGGATCTAGTGCATGGCCAAAATGAGTTAACTGTCCATTAACTTCGATAGACCTACAAACATGCCTGTTTAATACTCTAATTCTCTGGAAAATAGATTAAAAAACTTTTTCAAAAATATAAAAAATTATATATTCAATTCCTTACCCATCGTCACATTCTGTGTAAAACAAGTGAGCAGGGCACATTGCACCAATTTTAGCAGTACCTTTTCGAGGACGATTACGCAATGAACCTCCTTTGCTTACCCTATAAATACAAATAATAAATTTCTAAAAATTTTTCGCTGAAATTCATGAACTAAAATTTATCCAAGAGAGCAAAAGACTATAAAGAACGCTTCTTTCTTCTATGAGAAAAAAAAAGAAACATCCATGAGTCTTAATAAATGACCTTATCGCTCCAGAACGATTGCAATATAACTGTCGTTTATTTTCCGACTTCCTATGCAAAACAAATCCCATATTTCGAGTTACGGCTAAATCATCCAAATAATTCTAAAAATGGAATTCTTTTCAAGTAACTGATATGTATAAATTTGTTTTCCAGCTGGAAACTGTCCAATCTTTTATTGTTATCCACGTACATATTTCTTCCTTCTCAAGTTTTCCTCATTTTTTCTAAATTTTCTTCACTTTTTGTAAATTTTTTCTTCTAAAAAAGAAAATATCAAAAGCCCGTCAAACAAAAAAAAAAAAAAACTTTTTTTCAGATGCGAATAGAAATAAAAAAACCTGAAATTCTCCAGTGTTTTTGAACTTTCTTTTGACGTACTGCAGCTTGATACCATGTTCATCAGCCACATGTTCATTCAATGTATGAATTGTTGTAGCACGATGTTCACAACCTGGGCATTTAACGGAAGCCTAAAAAAGTATTAATTTTCGTGAAAAATTTGAAATAAACAGTTTAGATATTCAACAAAGAGCAAGACCAACAAATTTTTTTTTTTTGTGAATTCAATAAAGGACAGGCCAGAGCAATTACAAGTTTAAAAAAGAAGCCAGCAACTGCAAGACTTCCATGTCTTCAATATACTTGCGCAAATACTTTGTTGAACGGTTATTTAGACAGAAACTTACACGTATAACAACCCGGTGTACTTTGAAACGATGAGCGTTCATGCTATTATGATTAGCGAAATAACGACTACAACGATCGCACTGCAACTTTCTTTTTTGCCCACCCACAGATTTTTGATTTCCATCCTTCTTTATACCTTCGGCAGTCTGAAACCAGTGCTTTTTACAAGCACATGTTTTCCCTCAAAAATTAAGAGACAAAACTCAATTTTGTCGGTTATAAACAAAATATCAAGCTCATATACAATGTAGAGAAATGAGGCTTTTCAAGTCGAGGAAAGTAAAAATTAGTAAAAATACTTATTCCTCTATTCCATAGACGAAACTTAAGAAATATTTCGCAGATAAGAAAGAGGAAATTGACCACAAAGAATGTACAAATATTTTTTCTATCCCTTCAGAGTATTCGGGAAAAATCAGACAGATATATACAATTGCAATTATAGTGGCACTAAACCAGCACTAAACCACTCAACTTACTTCATTAAACCTTTCTTCTTCTTCGCGTCCTTCCACGTCAACCATCTCTTCGTCTTCGAAAAACTCATTTTCATTATCATCTTCACCTTCTTCGTTTGTTTCCTCCTGTCCTTCAGACAAATTTCCATCAGAACTCTAAAACTAATTGCTATTAATGATTTCTTACAAGTATCAGCAGAGAACTTGAAATTTCTGTAAATCTTTAAAATTAGTACATTTGGAAATGAAAACTAGTTCCGAAATTGACTGACACTCTCCCAACATGAGTTTCACCTTTCGCATGCCAGCTGAATGGCTTCTTCGTGACCTTTCTCCTTCCCCTGATCCTTTGGCTTCAGGTTCGAAACCCGAAATATCGGATAAATTTAAATGCGCGGCATCCCGATTCGTTTCATCGATATAATCTCCGTATCGTTGTGGGGCCTTGTGGGGACGTCTAGGCCTTCTATTTCGTTCACTCTCAATACCTAAAGGAAACTGAACTAAGTAAATAAATTTTCAAACAGAAATTTTCAAACAATTTGGGAGTTTTTGGAAGCTCCTAACAATTAATTCCTAATAATTTCGGGACTGCAATTCAAATTACTACTTTAGCTTACTTTCTTCATCACTAGTAGGTTCGGACTTCAAATCCTTTCGTTCGTCCCGCGCAGTCATTTGTCTGGTTTCAGAGGGGTTGACAGTGTTCTGAAAAAATGACTGCATTTCTAACAGCATATAAATTTCAACTGCTACTATCGAATATGAAGAAGTTTGACTGCTTTCTCATTATTCAGCTATCTGTAACATATAACATATAGCACAAATTTCCGTTCTATTAAGTGAGTGTACTTTTATCACAGAAAAGCGTAGAAATCTGAAATGAAAACCTTATTTTTCTTCATTACAGGCTGAATAATTCGTCGTTTGCGAGTACGTGGGATTTGTACTGGCGTACTTTTTTTTACACATTTTCGTAGGGTTTCAAAAGCAAATCGAAAATCAGGTTTTGAGGGGTTTTCTACAGGTTCCAATTTCACCAGCCTTGGTTTCTCTCCTGGTGTATTTGATTTCATCAACATCATCACTTTAGCATGTGGAGGAAGAGTTGCGCGAGTAGTGAATGACGATCCAAGACGATATGCATCATACGATCCAGCAGCGTTTTCTAATGCTTAAGTGGAAAAAATGCTGTTTAATTCGAAAATTCATTAATTGCTCATAGCAATATGCCTTTGATTAATTTGTAATGATAACGTGTCACACAGTATTATGTTTGATACTTACGAGGGTTGATACCACTACTTTCATCGATGGTTTCATAAACTTCACAAGCAGGCGGCCCATCACTATAAGCGTCATCACCGGTTGTTTGACCACGCTCAATATGTGAACCGTTAGCGGGATCCATAGTTTCGTAAAGGTAATCTTCCTCCATCACCACACTCTCCAGCTCTCCACCTGTTACTTCCTTCTCAATGGTTCCACTCGCCTGTTGCATCCTTCCAATCTTTGACACATAATTTATATATTCACGTGTATATATATATATGGCGACTTATTACAAAATGAGGGTTACATATCAACCATACTGATCTCATTTCCTAACAAGCAAGAACGCTTACCATCATGATATCATCCAGTCATGGTACCATGCATCTGCACCAAACCCTCTCCTCCCTGCATGACACCATCCGCCCTCAGCTCATATGCCACCCACCGGTACCAATCAGTCACAGCCTACAGCCCCACCCACCCAAGAGTGCTGCTACCCACGACAACCCAGCGAATCGTGCAGCGCTACTGCCTAATTACAGCCAACGGCAACTTACAAACTTCGGATTCAGCATCAACAAACTTCGCACTCTACAATACACGGAGGGCGCTAACAGTGTCTGCTTTGCTCCAAATTGTTTTGTTAGTCTCATTTTTAGTGGTGGCAATATGTCTACAGTGGCAAAAGTAGGCGCACGAGTGAGGAAAAGGCCTGTTATCAAAATCATCCATAATCCACTATACAAAGTGATTGTTAAGTAAGTTTATTTTATCATCCACTTATCTTGCCACCTGTATGTATTACGCAAAGAAGATGTAACCAACTATAATTTGACACTTTTAGTTTCATCCGGATGGTTGCTGTATGCTACCGTCATTTAGCCTTTTTGAATCTGAAAGGAATGAATCATTAGAAGTTGTGATAGTAATCGTAATTAAAATTCAAGAAGTTTTGTTAAAGATACAAATTGTTTCAAATTTCTGTAGTTTAATGAAGGTTTTTAATAGCCATATCGTCTTCGCAAAGGTGTATGTATATACTTTATCTTTTTGTTTGTATATTTCTCCAACTTAGTATCCAAGTTTTCTCTTCGACAGTATGATTATTCAGAGCGCAGATGGCAACAGCTGCGCCACCTCTGGGACCTAATCTAGGTAAAAGGGGCATTAATGTGGCGAATTTTTGCAAAGATTTCAATCGAGCAACAAGTAATATTAAACCGGGTACTTTTTTTTTACGTTTATCATGAATTCTGATCAAGCTGTAGCAAAGAATACAAAATATTAGCCTGGCTTTTTAAATCTTTAATAGATTGTTTAAACTGTCAACTTATATGATATTTTTCTAATCAAAGAGAACAAGAACAGAAACATATAGAATAGACTTTTCCCTTAAGTCCTTGAGAATTTTTTGACATGAATCTGTCTGAGTTCACTCAGAGTTTTCCATTATTAATTCCTAGAAGGAACTGAAAATATTTGAACTCTTGAAAATTATGCTTGTTACGAGCAGGTACTCCATTACCAGTACGAGTCACAATAAAGCCCGATCGTACGTATGATTTGGAGATTTGTACACCGACATCTATGTGGTTGCTGATGCATGCAGCAGGGATAAGGCGCGGAGCCACATGTCCACGTGAGTATCAGTGAACGGTGATTGTAATTATGCTTAGATTTCAAAATGTTGAATGAGTTAACTTTTATTACTTAATGAGTCTCAGCTAAGTACTTAATTATTGGATTTCTCAGCTAATTGATTAATGAAGTAGAGTAAAAAACTGAAAGACAAACTAATTATTTTATTGGCTTTATTAGATTTCTCAGCTAATTGATTAATGAAGTAGAGTAAAAAACTGAGAGACAAACTAATTATTTTATTGACTTTATTAGATTTCTCAGCTAATTGATTAATGAAGTAGAGTAAAAAACTGAGAGACAAACTAATTATTTTATTGACTTTCTCATCCAGTTTAGTAATTATTGTGTTTTTTAATTTGTATAAAAGGACTCATACAAGTTTATTGTGTGATGAAGTTAATTGTAGACTTTCAGGTGAGGAAATTTCCGGGATGATTACCGTAAAACATATTTATGAAATAGCCAAAATAAAGGCTGCTGATAAATGTTTACTTGGTGTTCCATTAAAAGTTAGTTATTTTTGCCTGAAAAATTAGCATTGTAGTACGATAGTTTCGTTATATTAATTTATTAACTCTATTAAGTAGTACTTATTGTTCTTCTCATTGTTAAATATTTCGTTGTGTTATTATTAAAAAATTTTTTGTTTTAGTTAATTTGTGAACAACTTATCAAGACAGCCCATACAATTGGTCTTAAAGTTGTTCGTGGAAATCTTGACCCAATGGAATATCGTAAATTTCTGGAAGAACGAAAGGTGGTAGTTGACAGGGAACTGAAAAGGATGGAAGAAGAGAAGGCCGCTAAGGTGCTCAGGACGACACCCACTCAGTAGCTGTGCCTTATGATTTAGTCTCATTGCACTATTAATGTGAAAAATTAAGTTCCTTAATTTCAAGTGTGGAACTGCATTCGTTAGTCATAGGAGAAATAAATTTAAGGGATTATTTTATTGAGATTGCCTTCAGTTTTCCGATTGGAATTCCAAACCGAACTCACTGGAATGTATGGCTATGGTGCACTGTGAATCCCCTAGCTGTGAACAATTTTCAAAAATGATGAAATGAAATGCTCCAGGATGTGTCGAAATATAATCCTTTTCTATAATATATAAACATTTAATGAGAATTAGCTTTTGTGTGGTTACTTTTCGTCAAGAATTTGCATGCCTTTAGTCATTGTTCCCAATACCATGTTTATAGGCGATTTGAAACGTTTTCGTTATTTTTCATCAATAAGCTCATCTTTTAAAGCGTTTTTTAGACGATAGAAAGTTGCATTATTGCTTATTTATATTTTGATTGTTTATATATTATGGAGTTTTTCAATTTTTCGCATTAACTTATATTTATCTTATATTTGAAATCACGAATTATTAATATAGTGCTTCGAGGTGGCATAATTTTACAATGAATATGACCTAAAAGCTAGAATACTCGGAGTGCATCTAACGAAGCATACTCTTGAATTCACTGGTTTTAGAATGTTCGGCCACGAGCTTACTTCATAGTTCTATTCTCAATGTGTCCATTCTCGCCATACTGTTGAAGTTTGGACCATGAAAGAAATTTACCTCTGTAATTTAGAAATTTAGCTCCGTAAAACATGGAAATCCTTAAAAGTCCACGTTATTAAAAATTAAAGAAGGACTGCTTTCTAAGAGCACATGGTGAACAGAGATTTGTGAATAGTTTACACCAGATGTACAGAAGTATTCTCTTACAGCTGTTAGAGCAAACAGTAGACAAACATCTTTTAAATTTTAGGGTCTACAGAGGTGTATCATTGTTTATTTTCTATAACTTAGTGATATGTAATTATTGAGAGCTAATGTTTTGTAATTTACATTTTATATCTCCCACAGATTGACTCGTCATTTAGTTGACGACATAATAGTTGACAATAAATGTCCATGCTATGGGAGAAGAGAAAAGTAGTGTTCTGTGACATTATTTATTTCCATTTAATGAGGAAAGTATGAAAACTTGACGGTTGTGAGAAGTTGGTTTTGTAGTCCTCCAGTATAGTGTGCTGATCTCTTACATCCCAGCATAGTGACTGATCGCATTCTTACAAGTAAGGACAGCAGAATGATTATTAACAAGGCGATCATTTGCTACATGATCTATTTGATATGATTATTATTAACCATGCTTTCACAACATGGAAATTCTTCTTTGTGTGCTAGTTTTGCTACTCCAATGGATGCAGCAGAGTGCATCTTGGGTGGATGAGCTAAGTACAGAAGTGGACGGAATGACTAACCTAATACTCACGGAAAGAGAAAGGATAGTAAGAGTACGACCTGCTGTTGAGAGGAAGTGAGGTATTTCGTTCCTGACCAGTGTGCTGAACAGTTATTCCTTCCCAACCATACTGCCTGCGTCACCGGCACCGCTTCATTTACAGTTACAAGTGGTGGAAGTTTCTGGAACGGACTACTACGACGCTGCGGGGACGCCCAACGCATCACATCCACAGGCATACATGTATTGAGCGTGCTGCTGACAGAGTAGCAGAGTTGTACATACAACTGTGTTGGTATGCTGGGGTCATCGTTCGGTTAGTGTTTCAAATTGGTATTCTTCCTGTTTCAATAGGAAAAACTCTTCTTCGGGATCGGGGTACTTGTTAGCTCATCTGTATGTAAACGTTAATTTGTTAATATTGCTATTTCTTGCTGTCAACTTCCAAGTATTTGCGCTGTTTTAAGTGAAGCATAAAAGTTTTCTTGACAATCGCTAATGTTCTTTTCCAGATAATATGGTGACATGGAGGACCATGCCGCTGGTCAGTGAAAAGAACTAGAAGCATAACCGGTTACGAAGCAAAATTTTGTTTGTTTTTCCCTCTTCGAAGCGCCAATTTCATTTCCAATTATTTAGATAAATTTAAGTTGGATAAAGTGTGTTCATTGTAAGTTGAGGATATCAGCATTTGAGATTAAGCGAGAAAATCCTGAGTTGAGGCTTGCGGAGTTTTTTTTTTTTTTTTTTTCAGAAAGGATGTATGCTAGAATGAAAGATATCACTTGTAGGTCTTATCCTTTTGTTTTCTTTGTAATATATACCATTTGATGATTGAAATGGTTTAGGAAATAAACTTTTGAAGCATGTTAATAGATTCTTAATGCATCAAATAAAATAGCATGTGATTAGTTTGAAGCCATGAACATCTTTGTCGTTTAAAGAAGTGAGCAGAAAAAAAAAAAGATTCAAGAGAACTATGGTGAGATTTTAAACATGATGTTAGCTCTTAGTATTTAAAAGCACAGCTTTTGAAAATGCTCTTAATCTAAATGTTCAATTTAGTTGTAATTACATCATCACTTATTCATTAGTAACCTTTCTGAACGGTTGATAGACAAGTGGTAAATTATAATGACTAATTCGAAATAAAACTAATTTCCAAGGACGTGGAAGGAGATATGCATAACTGGAAATGAAAAAATAGTACATTTCTTAATTTCTACTCTAACATTTAAGGAATGTAGTATTTTTTACTTGTGATAGTAGTGTCCAAAAAACACTCGCTGCAGTATATAAAAAACACACTCTGTATTATCTCGAAGGCAAATGGAAATAATATGAAAGTATATGTTATTTGCAATCATCCAGCACCGTTATTAGAAATGGATATAGTGTAGAGTCTATGCAGAAGTAATAATTACGGCGTAATGGTTGTCGGATATCAGTGGGAAGCAAAGTATTGTTTTCTTTTGCCTTCCCCGATAGCTTTTTCTTTTTTCAGGATGGTGAAGATACACATTCGAGATTATTCTATAGTGATCACTGCCGAGTGTGTTAGTTGGTTTCTAGAAACAGCAGAGCAAGGACAGTAATTCATCACTTTTTTAAAAGTTATTCCGCGAATTAGGTCGTCGTGAATTTCGTGAAAAATTATTTCTCGAAATTAAGTACCATGAATTTTCCCTCTCTTCCCTTCCGGATTTTTCTTGTGCTTTGTAATGAGTCAAGGTAACGATAGAAAAAGACATAACCTATAGTTGAGACAATAGATACCGGTGCAGATTTGAGTTGCATCTCGGAAGATGGTGGCTATGTGAACAGCATTCAGGAAGTAGAAGAGAAAGAAATAAATAACTGCAGAAATGTTTCGAGCTCAAATTAGAGATTTTATTTAAAAAGGAAATTATATCACTTGTTAAGAATGCAGAGGAGAAGATTGCTTCATGAAAATGTTCGGTGAGGCTTCAGTTAGGAGAAACTTGGCATCAGAGTCTACAATACAATAAGATCTCAAAGAACAAATATTGTTAACTGTAAGGCTTAACACAACCTAGCTTCTGCATGAGTTCCCCTCATCTTCATCTTCATAATTTTGTCGATGACAGCAACAAAAATGGTCGAGTAAATCATATAGATATTATTATCTAATGACGGGACTGGAAGATCTAGTCATTGGATGAATGAGTTCAACGAATGGCGGCGCTCTGAGTTTTCATCAATATGTGGATAGAACAAACAGGTGGGATTAGCATTAATTAGGCTTGCATAAATTTTGCTGTAGAACGATGCAAAGCCATGAATTAGCAGTTTTTGGATGATAATGTATCCAAGTTTGAAAGGAATAGCTAACGCATTCCGTGTTCTAATTATCTGGCTTGCTTTCTCTCAATATATTACTAAACATTTGCCGTTCACTACTAGAAGAATCAATGGCGAGGACAAGTAGATATAGGTTTTTGAACTTCAAAGGTATTTTAAACTAGCGATTGAATGTTTGTTTTCTGCAGTACTTCATGATCACCAAATAACCAATCTATTTATTATATTTTTTCTTTTTAAAATATCATTTGATATTTAGATTATTTGAGATGCAATCTGCTGACCCATTCAATTTTTCAAGTTTTATCTTATTCATGACGACTGCGCATAAGCAATGGTATAGTTATATTACAGTGTCATAGGAGCAATATAAGAGTTACAGTAAAGTAAATTCCTTCTTGTTGTTTTTATTTTCATCTGTGCTGCCATAATTGTGATAACAGGATTTATAGATCATAATTTTTTCAAGAATGGCTTTCAATATTAATCCAGAAATATTGATCATTTTTGATTTACAAGCAATTGGCGTTCGATTCTTACATGTAACTAAGCGGCTAGATAGGTTTAATTAGCGGATTAATTAAGTTAAGGATTTAGAGCTAACATTATTTCATTACTTACTGAATGACGCTGATTCTATGACATTTTTCATATCTAGTATCGAAGTGTTCAAAAAAATTCTTGCTATTACAGTTGCGCAGAATTGCGAAAAACACTGAAAAAAGGTCGTGATATGGTTCTTTCTAATTCAACGAAAAGCAGCCAGGCTGCATTTTCAGAAAGAACATTAGAGCTGGAATCTGGATTGAAAATCAATTATGTGGCACCAGCACATGCAGTTCCGTCAAAGGAAAATTCATCGACTGAGAATAGTACGGGCTTAGTTCCACGTAAAAGAAGCTTTATAGAAGGTGAAATTTATCTATTTGATTAGGCGTTGTGACTAATAAGAGACTTTTCGAACATTTGAATTCCTTTCCCACAGAAGTTCCATGTTATCCCTTTGTTGTCATGAAGGTCTTTCTCACACTTTTAGAATTAACTATTCTAAAAGCTCATTTATGCTTATGTTTTTAGAATAGTTAATAAGATCTTTATATTTGTCGTCATTTTAGAATTCACTAGTATGAATAATGCTAGCTTTTGAAAATTTAGGAAGTAGGACTGCCCATACACACCAAATCTTCATATTTTCCATACGTTGTCATATTTGTTAAGTTGGTACTCAGAGGTAAAATTCAATAATAGAAGTTCCGAAAATTAAAACCGTCGCTCACTGATATTTGAAAGTTCTATTGTCTCTTTTTATTTCCGTGAAATATTTTAAAACTTTGAAAAGTATGGAGACATATCAGATTTTTAAAATCATATCATGAAATGCAGTTTTAATGATTGCATAAAAATGAAATTAATTTTAAAATATCATCTCTCTTTTTGAAAAATGGCTTATGAGTTGTGGAGTTTTATCTGCAGGAAGTGATCCATGGGAATATTGGGAAGGCGTTTTTGAAATGTGTTACGCGCTGGATCATGCAATACAGTTTGAAACGGATGACTTAGTGAAAGGATGCCAAGTTCTGGAGGTAAACGTCTAGCTCACTCAATTCATCAAGATTCTAGTCATGAAGTGAAACTCTGAAATTTATATTTCTTTCACACATTGTATTGCAGATCGGTTTTTGTACTGCTCTCCCATCAGTCTTTGCTATAAAAAACGGAGCAAAACATATCACTTTGCATAGTAATGTAAGTTTCCCTCTGATTTTTTGGAAGCAAAATTCTTAATTTTTTTTTTTTTTTTTTTTTTTGCTTGAAGAGATATTCAAACATGAGAAAATAGAAATAAGTTAAGTTTATGGTAAGTGACAGTTCGAAAAGCTTTTGAATATAGAACACCGAAATGATGGAATCGTGTGTCAAATCGACGCTTTCTCGGAACAAAATCAAAAATGTGCAACACAGACTCCTTTACAGTTCCTTGGAAGACCTTCGAAAATTGGTGGGACGAAATGAGTAGGTTTTAATGTTTCTAAGTATTATTCTGATTTACAAATATTCGTATCGTACTACACTGCACAGGAAAATATTATTGGTATATATACATTGTAAAGTTTGCAGGAGCTGATATTTTTAGAAAATCTCTGATTTTTCTGGACCATTAACTGTAGTGAACTGAAGTAACAGAAGTTGAAATGAACATTTTGCTATTTCAGATTTGAGGTTATCTTTGTTGTGGAATTTTTTAATAGCCAGAAAAATCAGTTTGAAGAAATTCATGATTTCATCGACTATGCACTAGCTAATAATGGCATTTGGTAAATTTTAGTTGTTCAAAAAACAAGTAGTTATCCTAGAAAATTTGACAGTCATCTTGGGCTGGAAGAAAGAGAAATGAAGAAAACTTCTCCTGAGGTTTCATCTTTGTTATTCAAAATTAAGTAATGAATTTTTTTTTTAATTTTGGATGAATTCTAGTTGTTTAAATTCATGTTTTAAGTCTAAGTTACAATTAGTTCAACAATCCTTCAGTTTGTTCGAATCTCGAATGTTTTATATCAACTGCGAAAGTAGTTTGCATGAATTTTTGGATCTGGTTAAGATGAAAGGGAAATTTGATATTTATACTCGTTGGTCGACACCAAAATCAGAAATTACTCAACGAAAAGTAATCCAGCTGACTCGAGCTATAAGATGAGTTTCTCTATTGTGTTACCAAAAGATTTTCTTTTATAGCAAACCTACCTATTTATGCATAGTATTTTAGTTCAGGTCGTAATGTTTCGGTTTCGTTATTCTTGTATATTTGTTTCGGATTTCGAAATAATTATTCCCTGAGAAGCTGTATGTTTTAGATTACATTTTCGACCGACCCGAAAATAGACAGATTTCAAATAATAGATTTTCCTCAGTTTTAAGCAGTCCAAATAAGTCTCCATTCAATACAGCTTCTTTATTTCTTCTATTTTCTTTCATATCTCGTGCAAAAATGGATTTTTTCCCACAAGGAGAAATATCTTCTAACCTTTTATTTAGTCAATTTATATATATATTTTGCTTTCAGAACTTGTAATAAACATTTTCTTACTAAACTATGAATCCCATAAAAACCTCTCAAACTTAATTCTTTGGCTGTGAAGCTGCTACTCAAACTCCCCTTTTGTGTTTTCTGCCTTCTACTAAAAATCTCAGTGAGCAAAATGTAAAACGCACCTAATCCTAATTCACAACATTGTAGATGCATACAATGAAATAAAACAATTTTCCGACTTTTGGACGATAATATGAAGCTTTTTAGATAAAATAAGTGTTATTTGAAAAAATATTAGGTCAAGGAGAGTCTTACATTGAATTTTTTTTAATGAAGTGTTTGAAGTTTTGCAAAATTGTACATCGAGAACGTACGCAAAAATTCAATTTTTGAAATAGGAGAATCAGAGCCCTACAAAGGAAATTTTAAGGATTAAAGTTAGATCTAAAATGCAGAAATTTTCAAAAGAATTTGAGTTTGGAAGAAGCCTACAGATCCATGTTTGGAAGTACTTATAGGGCCGAGGAGCAACAACTTGGGTGCATGCATTGTTAGCATAAAGGTTGCTGATAAAAGCACACTGCAGTCAGTACTGCGAATCGCTTTATCATTTACCGTAATTTTATCATTTAGTCCTAAGGAGACGGCAGGCTATCCAAAAATAAGTAATAGCTTTCAAAAATTTCGCACGATAGAAAAAGAGACAGGGTGTGGCGGAAATTTAAATCTTAATAGTCAACGGAATTAATCGTCAATGGAAACAACTGTATATGATTCATAGTAGGATACCAATCACCATCTGACCTTGACTCCTACATATTCTGGGCTCCGAGATATGAATGGTGCAACTCCGGCTTCTCAACGAAGGATAATATATCTCCTTAAATAATAGTTTCTCAAATTTGTCTTTTATCTCTTGCTCTTCTTGCCTTGTTCCTATATTTAATGAAGGGAATTCTTTTATTTTCAAGCAGTAGATAGCAAAGCTGAAACTAATATTGTTATAGCTATTCATGGATAGAAAAAAGTTTAAAATTTCTAAAACATTTCTATAAGTACCTATTTATAAAACATTGCGAAAGGTTCGGATCTCTATAAGATAGTATGAGTAATCCTTGCTCCGAATTTCATTTGGGTCACCATAGCACTAGCAGACAATTCTTACAAGCAGGAAAGGAATAAGATAAGTTAGATGGAATAAGTTAGAACAATTTGAAATAAGGAATACAGGAAGCGTAAAACATGGGTAAGCAGGATACCACACTTTAGTAAAATAACTTGGATACAAAAAGACGATGGATTCTGGAAAGAAGTCCAAACAATCATATACCATTTATAAAAAAAGTAAGAGATGGATTTGGAGCATCCTATATCCCATCTGATTTTTGAAAATGAAATGTGTTTTTTGATGAATTTTAATAGCAAATAAAATTACTCTAGATGAGAAACAAATCAGATGAAATTCGAAAATTTGCACGCTTTTTGTTTGCAAAAGAAATATTTGCTCATTACTAACAAATTTAAATTAGAATGTTAACCCAGAAGCGGTGGCCCAATATAGACCATAGACACTTCAGTATTACCATAGACAGCACACATGGCTGGAAATAGTTTCAATGGGGGCAAACGACTAAAAGCAATACCTAGAAATTCACTGCCTTTTTCGAAATACATAGAATGTTGCTCACAATCCACTATCATTCGAATTCTTTCTCCCATCTGAAATAAATCAAAATGCAATTCTTACAGCAGCGATCCTAATATTACTTATTTCGAAACGAACAACCTCCGACAGATACCAAGTTCTCAAATAGAAGTACTGAACCTTTAGACAACACTTAGGTTAATATGTAATCTCACCTTATTTCAAAGATAAAATCTGAAGAGATAAAGAAATTGCAGAAGACTAAAATCTATGTTTTACTTTTTAGAAAAATGTCATTCATGATAAGTTTCAGATTTTTCATGAGAATTTCTAGAACATCGATTACAAGTTATTATACAACATTAACCTGGTATTTTGGAGGATTATTGATATGCGGGTAAGGAGAGATCGGCTTACTGTTATGCAACAACTGATTGTCTACGAGATTCCAGCCCCAGCTTTGATCATCACTTCCCAGTAGAGCCACATAACCCTGACAGTGTAGCGCTGCATGTCTGGAAAAAACTATTTCTATATACAATTTCCTTAATGCATTACTGTCATAGCTTGATATTTATTGATAAATTATATAGATTTTTTCCAATCATATCTATGGGTACTTTTTTCGAAAATTAGTTCACAAAATAAAGTCAAACTTACTTCGTCGCTAAACCTATACAGGCCACGGTTCCCAGTGGCCCCTCCCACGTGAACTCCCATGCATGTATCCCACTGTTCACACCTATTTTGCCTGAAATCTCATAAACAATACACTTATATTCGCCATACAACAAATCTTTCAATAAATTCACTGCACTGAGTGTCACTTTTATACATATCTAGTGGAATCAAGATCTTGGTACCTCGCACACTATCGGTACTCTGAGCAACTGGATTCCGATGCACCGTAAAACCATTGGGACGTAAATAATTATTTCTAAAACACTGGAACAAATTTTTTTTTTCTTTTGCAGAAATAATAAGATTTAGTAATATAAGCAGTCTTGATTACATTATTCACAAACAATTATAATTTACAAATACAGTTACTGTACTTGTCTCTACACTTCGAAATAAGCATTGCTCCTTTACAATGCACAGCAAAGAAGAAATATAAAATTTAACAAATGCAAAACCACTTTGAAGAATCATTCGGATTCCATGCATAGCAGAATGCTCGTAACTTGTCCTTGAAAGAAGGAATTTCTGACAGGAGAGAGAAATCATTAAGAGCCTCATCTGGGATAACTGTACGTGCCAGGCGCCTCCAAACAAAGCTATCCTATAAAATTTACAGTACTAAATAAACAATGAAATAACTAGACAGAAAAGTGATGGTAAATGAGCCTTACAAAATAATCTATTTAGGCTAACCGGATATTGCAAAACAGTCAACCAGTGCTTGCAAACTCGCATACACCGGGCCAAATCTTTAAGATTTAAATATTCAAACACTGCTAAAAGCACAACATGAGGTAAACGAGCAGCTGAGACAGCACGCATTCGACGAGTAAAACAAGTGAAACTTTTAGAGTGACAGCAATCTTGCGCATTTCGACACGCAACATCAACTGAAATGAAGTGATTTAATAAAATCGGAATCCGATTTCAAATGAAAATATGGAGCGACACACACAACTTTTGCATGTTCAGTATTAAAACGCTAAAAATATTACCGGCTTGCTCTAAATCAGTCTCCACCACTGTCTGATTAAACTTATCTCCTTCAGTGAACATTCAAATAACTGTAAATTGAATCATTGTAATTCCATGCAAATGAAACCCATCTTCGAACATATCACCAACACCGATCCATCCGTAGCCAAACTTCCCTGGCTTTTTTATAAATGACTAGCAAAACCATATTTATAAAAAAGCACACACAAACAGTGGAAGTGGATTTAATAATGTTAAAGGTTTATCATGCCAGATTTAATAATGTTTCAAAGGTTTATCATGGCTCTTACATATCATTTATTTAAATAGAATATGTAAAACATCTGTTGTTTTGTGATTGTAAATTAAGGTGTAAACTCCTCAGTCCAACGGTTTACGAAGCAATAATGAAACTTCAGAAACAAAATACAAATAATTCGAAATTAGAAGAGGTATGACAATGAAACAGTGACAGCAAACACTACCAGCTGTTCTCGTGCATTAACGAGAAAATATAATGATAATGAAATCAATGTTCTATATTTATTACACACTTATATTTCATAGTAATACAAACTTCAAAAAAATGATGCAAAAAAACATACCAAAACTATTTAGTACGAAACCTTTCAGAAAGTGAAAGACTTGAAAAGTCGAAATCTAATTCCGAATTCATACTAATTTTTATTACGAAATCCAATTTCGAATTCATACTGATTTTTATGCACAGTTAAATTTACAGAACAAAGAGAAAACGAAATGCGCAAATGTCTAAACAACGAGATGCTTATCACATTACATAACAAAAGTGATGGCTTATAAAAGAAAGTATTAAAGGCAAACAAATTCAGATTAAAGACAAGATAAATAGAATGCGATAGTCTGCTCTTTCATTCTCAAGCTATTACGAGTAACCAAGCAAAAAAATAGGAAAACAAGATAGTTATAACTGTTGACTTCTGAAAAAATGACGCAAGCAATGCCGGAAATTATTTCTTGACCTTGGCTGTTTTTGCTTTTGTTTTATCTCTTTTTGTAGTTTTGAAATTTTCAGGTTCTGTGAAAACTATTGAAGGCATCGTCATCCTGGAAGAAAATGGAAATATGACAAGTAATACATCAATAAGAAAAAAATTAAATAATTCATAGCTAATAAAAATACAATCCAAAAAAATATACATAATACTAGAAAAGTTATAAATAACAAATGAAAAAACGATAGAAAACAGCAACCTAAATAACCGCCGAGCGAAAAATTCACCATCTTCATAAACGAATGGTGAATAAGGATCATCATTACAATTTGTTTCAGCTTCAAAATCCTTTTCATAAGAAAAAGTAGGGAAATGTGGATATTGCACTTTCTTTTCATCGTGATAACAGTCCTTGATGAGTAATATTTCCCCTGTTTCACCCGGTACCGATCCATTAACATACATTACCTACAAAATTCATATCAACCCAATAACATATATTACCTACTTCTTCATAATCATCATTTGGCAATGACTTTTTTTTTAATAACTAATTAAACATTAAACTCCTTTTCTGTCAACACAGAATTTTCACATCTTAACTAACAAGAAAGTAAGAAAAAAGCTTTGAAAATCTTTGCGAATATTGAAATTTCAAAAAGTGATATTCTTATTTTGCAAAAAAAAATTTCCATTTTTTGGAAACTCGAAACCTGTTTTTCAGGATTAATCCTCAACACTTCAAGGCCTGGGATGGACCGCCATTCGTAACCCATATGACCGGGCATTCGTTTCCCAGGCCTTACCCGGGCATCGCCTTTTGAACCGATGGCACCGATACGACGATGAGATTTTGTAGTCCTAAAAGCAGTGAGTGTAGAGAAAAAAACAAATAGTATGACGAAGCAGAAGTCCTTTATTTCTTCATAAAATCAAAATGCGATATGGTAAGGATATGCTATCTATCAACCAGTATTGACAAGACACAGAAGAACTTACCCTCGAGCAGGCATTCCTTTGAATCCCCATCTGTGCATTCCGCCCTGGAAACCCCAATCAATAGTATGCCCCGTAATAGTTATGTACTGGCCAACTTTAAAATGGCACACATGCAACTCTGTTCCTGGCTGCACCACTGCATCCTCAGTAACCAAAAACGATGCTATGTGTTTTTTAACAGGAAAACCTAAAAAATCGAAAGGTTACAATTATCGGAATATATGTTGCTAAATATATTTGATCTGAAAACCAGATAATATTAGGAAAATAAATACAGCAACAAAATTAACACCATGTCGCTCAAAAGTAGCACGATATCGTGCAGTAAATTTTGTCGGATCACCATCTACGGCTCCAACCGTGACTCGCCATCGAGCACCATAGCGACCATATGCTTTTCGCCTTCCCACCATGCTTATTCTGGAAATTTCGAAGTTCGAAATTTTTTGATAGAGACTTTAATTTAGTTCCTCTCCTTACGCTCCTTCCCCTTACAACACATTCTATTAGTTTAAATCGTGATAATAAAAAACTCCCACGAATAAAGACTCGAACAAGAATTAACCGATAGTATGTTTCAGGATCAATTGCTGAGATGACGAGATTCTTGGGAAACTCTAGTAATGTGCAAAGAAAACGGGTCCCATCCACAGCCCACTGAGGAAACATTCCAATTTTTCTGGCCAGCATTCCAATACGATTCGATTCCGGCGTCCATTCCGGTAGATTAGTTCCTTGAGGTATTTTACATAATGGAGTCTTGAAAGACATATGCGGATTTGTTCGCGTGATCGATACATGCACTACAGTGATCATCAAATTTGAGAAATTTAGATAACCGATTAAAATGGTATGAACAGCAAATAAGATGATGTCATTCATTGACTATGTTATAACGAACAACTTATTATAACTGAACAAAGTAACAATTTTTTAGAGACAGAGTCAATAAGATTGACAATGAATTAAACTTGATTTTTTTGAAGTTTTTCGCATTTCATTATTCTCGAATTCCATTTCAAAAGCTACCTTTCCTCTCCAGCTTAATAAACTGTTGAAGTAAAACTCGCGTACTGGATTCAATTGGTTCAACAATATTTTCTTCCTTTTTTGGTACCCACGGTGGTGGGGTAAGTGTTCTAAAAGTAAAGGTTTAATTAAAAATAAGACAACTGGTATCAAAAATAAGAGTTGCAAAAATGCGCTTCTAGCCTGTGATAAATAATTCCTCAAACTTTTTGAATTATAAATAAAACAAATCAGTTCAAATAAATTAGTTCTGTTGTTACGAGAAATTAATATCTTAAGCATACAAAATGCTACATCACAAACAGAACAAAAAACAGTAGAACTATAGAAAATTTTTCGAAATAAAATTAATAGGAGATTCAGCGGCAAAATAAACCTTCGCCTCATCCTTTTCTGCATACAATATTCTGCATAAGGGCTACACAGCAGTCGCACTATGACTTGCTTATCGGTACACCACAGTTGACCCAGTCGTTCAACACAATGCAACATCTAAACGACTAGAATTAGAAATCTGGAAAGATTTGTAAGAGTTATCAAACCGAGACAATCAGCTGATTAAGCCTCATAAATATGCGATTGTCAGTATTAGTAGAAAACAGAAAACTGCTGGAAACTATCCAAGTAACTTGCTTCTAATTCAAAGACTTCTTTCTAATTGAGACAGTAGAAAATGTCAAACCTCTACTACCATGTTTGAGAATTAAAATAGTAAGAGAATGTCAGCAGTTAACTTCCCGACGGTTACAATAAAAATCATTACAAAAGAACCATATAATCAAGTAGCTTTGAACTATAAATCAATTTCCCACACTTCTTTTATTATCTTTGCTCTTTTTATAATATTTTATTATCCGATTTGTTTGTTAATAAGACATAAAAATTGCCATTTATGAATTACAAAATACAAAACAAGGTAACAATTCTAAATGCGAAGACATAAAACAAAACAAAATTTGATTTTAAATGACAATAAAAGGTAATCATATCACCTTTCTCTCGGTATGGAAAAGTGTCTTCCATAATCAAACTAAACGCATGAATACAAATTCTTCAAGGTGATAATGTTTTATTTATCTCAATTATCTTCAGCACTTGGTTACCGGTTCATTTTCTTTCTTCTTACTAGACACTAACTCACGGCAAACTTCGGGTGTTATTTGATAATGATTTTGCATCTAAAATAAGCTAAAGTTATTTTATGTCAAATGTATTTAATTTAAACAACAAAGTCCGCCTTTATTTAATGATCTGTATTTGTAGAGACTAATGCAAATTTAACGTAAGTCACACCACGCCAGAATGGAAATCTTTATTCAATGAAACCTTACTTTTGTTAGCTCCATCAAAGCTCCGCGCTGCTCATCGCTGAAATCATTTTTATATCGTTCTACAAAGGCTAGTAGTGATTGATGCCATAGAACGGGTAACTTTCGTTCTTCCTCTCGAAACCTAAAAAACTCCAGTAAGCCATAATGCTCTGAATGCAATTCAATTATCGATGAATTCATTTCGATCCGAAGAGAGAAATGGCAAATGCTGGAAAAATCAAATCATGCAAATTATGTTAAGCGAAACTTAACACCTTGATATGTGAGGCTTACCTTAAGTAATGCTTTATCAGTGCATCGATGACTCTATACGGTAAAGCATATTTTTTATTAATCAATATCCTCAAAAACAACGAATTCGATCCAGTGTATTCCATATTTGCGATCTGAATAAGAATACAGAAATGCAAGAATACTGGTGAAACTAAGTGGACAACTTATAATCATAAACTAAATAGTATTTCAAGAAAAAATACGGCATTGATTTTTTTACCTTAAGCATCGCGACTGCAGCATGCATCATTGGTATCGATGCTTTTGTTAACACAGAACCAAAAATCGTTGCCTCACGTAATGTACATGTTCCCGACTGCAAAATTAATTTATCTGTATTCCTTATTATGATAGAAATGGCCCTATCCCATTCGTTCCTTTCTTGCAATCATCGCCAATTTATATAGAGAAATAAAACTGCAGAAAAACTAAGTCGATAAGTTTCCCTATAAGGAAGTGAATTTTTCATTCTCTAAGTAGATAACTTACAGCCATAAACTAAATAATATTTTAAGAAACAATGCAGTTTTGGTTTTCCACCATCGCAACTGCAGCATATATCATTGTTTCACGTAACTCTCAGTTAAAGAAATATTATATAGTTTTTTTTCTTCCAGTTCCTTTTTACGCTTTACTGAATCTTCACTATTCATAATAAACTTTTAGTAGTAAGAATTACTTCGCAAAGTGGCAGAAGAATTCCTTTGAAAAAAGCTTGCGGTTTATAAACTGCCTTATTTAGAGCTTGAAATAGATGAAAATTGAGCTTTTTATATTCGGCAATATCATCCCTCAACCGTGGCAATAATATCAAATTGTAAAACCTGAAAAAGTTATGCTTCGAAATGTAACCTTATATCAACTTAGAACACCAAAACTTCAAAGAGCTTTGACAAAAAACCAAACTCCTTTTTGTGTTGAAAGCAAGATCTCAGATGATGTCGTTCAGCCAAGTGATTCGAAGGAAAAGGAAAGGGAAACGAGAACCTATAGTGCAATAAAATTCTGGAAAATTTGACTAACCTCTGACACATTTTAGCATGAAGATTTGATGCAAATATTCTAGTCGCTTGGTACATAGCTGCTGCTGACCATTTATCAGGATTCGTAAGGCTACAAAAAACGTCAAAAAATCTACCACCTAATTGTGACGTTTGATATCTCAGAACTACCTTAGTAATTTGAGAATGGTCTGAATTTCTTTGAGATAGGTTTTTTTTAAGCAGGATTTGTAAGGCCAATCAGACTAACAGCAGTCTCATGTCTTCATAGAAACAAGGGCAATATGCCATAATAAAGCTTACTATAATAACTGTTCCCAGTTCATCATTTTAGGAAGGACTTTAAAAGCTTTGGGTATTTTACCACTTCGATAACGAGATAACACTAATCCAATTTCGCGGTACATTTCCACAACTGCTGGATCCATCTGTTTTATCTAAAATTAACAAAAAGAAGTCGAAAGAGTTTCAACACATAGAGTGTTCCCTATCTTCTTATGCAGTGTTAAATTCCCAATATCAGTGCAAATTCTCATTATTATAAATGAAAACTTTAACTCTATTAAAATTTATTCCAATAACGTTACCATAAAGCCATCATCCTCTGGACAGATCGACCGAAACTCAAGTTCCGCTTTTTTCTTCTCAATCTTTTCAATTATGATATCGTTAAGTGTCCGGGATACAGCATCAGTTTTTAATATAAACTTTTCGACTGCTGCTTCATCTTCCGGATTTATTTGCTGTAGCAAATTACTAGTAGCATAAATATTTATCATCTGTAGAATCCTATTGTAAAAAATTCGCCTTGTTTTTTCTCATAATTAATCTGCTAATGATTTTATAATTTCATTTGATGATAAAATTCATTCTCTGAAACTCATCAACATAAATCGCTTATATCAACATTAACAAACTGGTGTGTTTAACACTTTTAATAAATATTGAGAAAATATGTACTAACCATAGAAACATCGTCATAATCGTCATTATCAGAGACGATATCGCCATCCGACAGAGAACTTACTGAATCATTTCCAAGACTTACTTTTCGTATCCTTAAACTATTAATTTTATGATGAGTTATACAGTCATATAATAAATGCTGTAGATTGCACTGTACAAAATAAGCTTTGCAGAATTCTATGTTTTTAAATTGGTTTCAAAAGGAAATATAATGAACTAATACTCGACTTGTCGAAGATCTCAGCCTAAAAAGTTTTCAAATAATATTTCACGCTCTTATGAGCTACTGTTAAAACAAAATAAGTTATGCATAAAACAATATGTAACCTTTTTAATGCATCCTCGTGTATCATATTTTCTACTTGTGTTTTCTCCACTGCTTCTATATCTTGTTTTTGCTTCCAAGCTGTTTTAAGAATTTTACTTGATAGTGATTCATCGATGTACTGTAAAAACAAGAATCACATGGTTGAAGAAATCATATAATTTTCTATGGGAGAGAATGTTAATTCTTTTTAAAAGTTGTGCAGATTAGCAATAAAGATAGCATTTCTGACTATTCTCACCTCATCATCCGGTTTGGTGCGTTTCAATTTTCGTTGTTTCACTCGTGCTGTGCCACGCCCACTTTCACGTTTATTCTGTTCAATTTGCAGATCCAATGGAAGTGTTGACTTGGAAATCAAATCGCCGGCACTTGATTTCAGTTTCTTCGACTTGCCCATCTGTAGATTATTTTTTTTTAATTAAAAATCTCACAAAGACATTACTCAACAACAAAGTCAATTATTCTCCAATCCTCCTTCCTGCTCATATTTCCTACTGTTACAGAACAAAATCCTGCTGAGTTTGAGTACGGTCCATTAAATTTTGAACATTTATGCAATTACTTGATCCTACAGCAGTACTTCATGATGGAATACGACATGAATGATTTTCTGTAAGTCTCGTTAACATTTCCGCATTTCCATATAAGCATGCTAAGGACATGGAGATGCTTTGCGACGTTAGCCGAATCCTTTTCTTCACTATCTTGGAATATATATATATATATATTCCATCCTTAGATTATAAACTATTTCATATCGTTTTGCTTCCCATACTGAACATTCTGAAGCTGAACATTCTTAAAATTTTAAGGCTCTGAGGAGTAAGTTGTCTTTTTTTACTTTTGATCAGAACAAACAGTAGGACTTGAAATATAAGTATGAGTACACATTTATCAAGTTTAAATGCTTCCTAAAGTATATGCAAACAGTCTGCTTCATTGCAGTTACAATATTCCACACCTTCTCAGAGTGCACGTATAGAGAGGCACATTTTAAAGCTTATTTAACTTAGTATTTAAAGCACAATTGCTATTAACGGTGCTAAAAGAAGCTTCTAAAAAATTTACATAATGCTAATTATTTTTGATTGCAATTCTAAAACATAAGTAATGAAGAGTGAAGATTAAGTTATTGTGTTCAAATGTATAAGCTTTTGGCGAGTTACTTCTTTTTAGTCGTGGTTCGGAGTAGTATTCATTTTTCCCTAAGTTTTATTCCATAATTCCGTTTTCAAATTGGAATTTCAATTTTCATTTTTGGTGCTTCTGATAGTGCATTTCATAGTTATATTATTTTAACACTGTTTTCGAACCAATCATTTTTCTGCATGCTCATAATTCTCAAGAAATTGATCAGTGTTTTAAATTATCATTTCTCCGTCAAATATCATACCGATTGTTCTAGGAACAAAAAATATTTCAGAAAACTGCAGTACACATCTATATTTGTATCAAAAATTATGATGGGATTTGATTAACTATTTTTTTTTACGAAAGCATTAATTAATTAAGATTAGAGTATATACACTTGAACCAAAACTGAAATGAAACCACCAGTTCCTTTAGGAAACAAGTGTTTGCTTAACTGATGGCAAATTAATTTAGTGGAAGTATGTGTGCATTGTAAGCTTATATGCTAGACACGCACATATTTAATGGAAAGTTGGTGTATGTGAATATATTTATGAAATGGATGGATTACACTAGAAGTTTCAGGTTGTAGCTGTACAAATTGGCGAACATGAAGATATGATTTGTTTTGATGGGACTTTAACTTGGAAGCAAGATCTAAACAAAAAGGGAACGCCATGCTTTGGTGTTGCAAAAGTAAGATAGTTTGCAATTACATTGCATATAGTCATTACATCTGAAGTTCAGTTCTTCTATTACAGGTGAAATCAGCTATGGATTGGAATAAAGCAAATGATTATTGCAAGGAAACTGGTGGACAGCTACCAACACCCAGGAATGATGAGAGTCGTTTGCTGGAAATAATGTTATCAGAGATTGGTATATTGAAATCCATTTTCACAATAACTAAAACTTCCCTTCCAAAGAAAAGACAACATTGAATGCGTGGTCATTTTAAGAGTTTAAGAGTTTGACTGGTGACTTTTTTAATCTAATTTAGGAAAATTCATAGCAACAACTTATTTCTTCAATGTGGTAAGCATTACCTGTAGCGTATTTTATTACCGATTACGCTTTTGAACCCTTTCTTTTGAGACTTATAATTGTGCATAAATTATGCACAATTATAAGTCTTAAAAAATTTGCATAGATGTATTGGTTTCTTTAGTTTTCTATTTTTACTGGGAGAAAACTAAAACGAAGAAGCAGTTCATTGCAAAATTAAAATAAAAATGATAAAGATATCATAAAATGATTGGGGAGTTAAAGTTGAAGAAAAGTTGTTTTCCACTTTTTTAAAGCTTTTGGAATCATTACAATTATGATGTAAATAATTTATACAATATAATATATAGGCTCAGAAGCAAAAATACCGCTCGGAATTGTTCATGAGAAAAGTAAGTGGATGTATATACGTGATGGTCAAAAAAATGATTCCGATTTAACTAATGTTAAACCGTCACTGGAAATATTAAGGCTGTCTACAACAACAGCTGGTCTTCGTGCGTTTTTTCTTATCTACAAAAAATTTCTATATTTTTTCTCACGTAAATTTTCCAACTAATTTTAATGAAATACATTAAACCATCATCTATATAACTGAACTGTGATGAACTTTACCATTAGCTTATACCTTTACAAATAATGGATCAAAAATAAATATCTCTCTTTTTCAACAGGTATTCCCAAGCATTTTAACATCAATCGACTCAAATAAATATTGTATTGTACCAAAATATAATTTCAGTTTTTTTCAGAATACGAAGCTGCTTTGAAAAAAGATAAATATACAGCGGTGGTATGCGAGCATCGAAATTCAGCACGTATGTTTTAAATGCTTTTCTTAAATTAGCATTGGCACAGGGGTGTTTAAAAGAAAAAATTGTTTGATGAATAAATGATGCTCAGAGATGTTGGCGGATTATTGGTGGGTGCTGGGCTGTGGAGACGAAGGTATATTCTGATATTTTTTTGTCATTAATTAGTTCTTCAGTGTCAGTTATTGAGAAGCAGGCGTGTGATAATGGATTTGTGTTGCTTGCGATTAATAATGCTTCAAAATGTTATTTATTCCATGAGTTTCCAAATCCATTAATGGTTTGTTATTTATTAAACGGATTCAAAAAAGACTTGTAAGTAGCAGAATACTCAACAAATTATTTTCTAAATGTGACTCTCAAAAGTACGTGATTCATGCTGCAATGCTGTGTTTTAAAAACAGTCCACAAAAATTTGACAAATTAAGATTCTCAATTTTGTAAACATCATGAAATATATGTGTTCATGTATTTAGTTTTATTTATGTGTATGATCAATTAATCAATTACTACTCATATGATTTAAATCTGCAAAATATGAAGATATTTTATATATATATATATATATATATAAGTTATTTGAAAATACTGATTTTAATTTCAGGATGCTAATGATTTTAAAGCAGTTTCAAGTTACTGCAAATCTCAAAGTGGTGAATTGTTTGAACCGATCGATTCAGGCGATCTTCTTATCATGCAAAGTAAACATTCAGAAAAGATTTGCTAAAAACTACTAGTGGATTAGTGATGGAAAATAGAAGAGTATAGTAATGTCTGTGGTTAAAGAGATCAATCAGAAATAATAGTTTGTATTTTCACTATTATTAGTTGCACTGTTCAAAAAACAATTGTGTATTTGCGAGTTCTAATAAATCAGCTTTATTATATCATTTAAGCAAAATCTATTTTGATTTTTGCAGGTTTCCCCTTTTCTAACAAATTAGAATACATATAAGTTAGATAAGTTAAAGTGGGAGTTAGTGATGAATATAACTCGAATGAGAAGTTTCAAGACTTGTTTTTCCTTTTTCTGTTTTATTTTGCACAGCTTTCAGCATTTGAAATGCATACAAAATAAATTTACTAGAAATATTTCGAAAAAAATTCACATTGGTTAAGAGATGTATGCTAAATGTTAATTGTATAAGACAGATGTTATTAGTGTTTTTTTCTAAATATTTTGCATATAAAATAATTCGTGAGAATACGAAAATTCACTTCCTGATTTTGCAACTTCTCGAAATATGTTAACATAGCAGGCGGTTTCCTCAATACAAAAACTTTAGAAATCTTTGGTCAGATGTACTACAAATTATGGGTCACAATTAAGAATTGCTTATTACATGATAACCGATAATTTTCCTCCATAATAGCTTGAAGAAAGAGATGTATGCTAAATTTTGCAAATTTACCAGCCGACGATTGATTTTCAGAAATCGGTGAGGCATCAGGCTATGCCGTGAGAGCTTTTTCCAAAAATTTTCACCAACAATATGGATATATTAATCAGAAAATTAAAAATGCTAAGGAGGAACCCATAACAGCTGCTGGCTACAAATATTCAACCGTGGGGGTAAGACTGTTGCTTATTTCGTTATCTGTAAAACTGATAAAACTCTATGTGTTTCAAAAAAAAATTCCTGGAATTGATTGTTTGAAAGAATTTAAATGACTGATTAACTGTAAGTGCACCTTCATAGATTTATAGCTTTCTTTCCATAAGACACAAAATATTTAAATAGAGCCGAGAAATTCTTTGAGGTTGAGAATTAGTGGAAAACGATGCAAAAGACTTCCTTATCTGAGGTGACGAAACCTCCTCGAATGCAGTCATTATTGTTCACTTTAATAAAAAATTGTTTTAAAGTTTTTGAATTTAAAATTCTTTCAGATCAATGTCATTGTTTCAAATTCTACAGATGCATTTTGTTTTATGTTAGAATTGCCTGGCGGTTGTTAGTTTCTTAAAACTGCTTTCACTTAGCAAATTTCCTCATTTTATCTTTTTTTTTTTCATCCCATTTTATCTATCCCCTTAATTCTTTCACTTCTGCTAGAGAATTTGAAAGATCTAATTAAAAGCTGTTAAAAAAATATATCCTAAAGAAGATTCTGCCAGTTCAAATTAGGTGGTTATTGTTCACTCCAGGTATTTCCTGAGTTGAGGTTAGCAATCTAATGATGTCTTTGATTAGACACGCAGCAATGACATTTTTTTTTGATTTGCATCCTAGACTGGGTCAGACTTAAGTGCAGAAAAAAGAAAGCTTTGAATAAAAAACAAAGATAGTACTCGACAAAAAATTCGTAGATCTTTCCAGTTTTACAAAAAATATTTTTTTCGGAGTAATTTAACAAACTTTTAGCAATCGTGCAAAGCACCTGCGAAATGAAATCTGATTTTGCTCTTTGCGTTAAAAATTGTTAGTTTCATCTTTGCGTTAAAAATTGTTAGTTTCATTTATCTTCAAAATTGTTCCTCAAATTTTTTTCATACAGCGTTCACATAGATCCTTATTAAAAAGGATTTGCTAAAACATGAAGGTAATTAATTAATTTGAAAAAAATTGAACACTTTTCTCGATAAGCTGATTATGAATAATACATAATAAATAAATAAATGTGTGTTAGCATCATATTGCATACTGCAGCACAACCTGTAAAGACGGAAAAGATTCTTGATATTTTGGGAACGGACAACGTCATTATCACTGATCTGAAGCCAGAGACAACTCTGAAGGAAGTTGATGATTTGTCATATCTTGGTGTAGCACCCGAAGCAAAGCGAACCGTCAGAATGTTTGTCACATCATCTGTCCTTTACTATATCGTTATCTCTGTTGCCTTATTCATTATTTTATAAACACATACATTATGATTTAGCTGTTTAAAATTAAATTAACGCATTTTAAACTGCTATTCTGCACACACATCATGTCATCATACTTCCAAGTATATTATTAGTGAGCAAAATAATTCAGTAATATAATTATCAATTCATGCAACTGGAGATTTTTTTGGTTCTTGACATTATGTGTCAGGCGGTTGAAAAAGCTAATTTGTTTCTCCAGTATCAGTTATCGTATTTTCAGATCTTGAAAAATTCACTTTTTTATGATGTAGAGGAAAGAATGTATCAGTAATGTTGCCGAAAATATTTTGTTATTCCCAAAAGATAAATGGTAATATTTGAATGATGTATCAAAAGATTTATCGGGCATTCTCGGAAGGAAGTAGATCCAAACGGATACCTTACATTAAATAATTATTAGACTTTTGCTTTGGTCGTCTGAATATGAAATACGCGGGTATTTAAATACTATTCAAAATAACTACTAAGTGTTAAACTGGTCGATAGTCGTAGAAAGTTGTAGGCCCAGAGACGTTTACGTAGGAGAATTTGACATGAGTTGACAATCATCCCAAATGTCATTGCACATTGCGACAGTCAGAAGACAAATGCATGAATCTGTCGCGTATAGTGATGTAATGTCATTGATGAGAGATTAGAATAAACATTCTCCGTTACTTCATCATTTTGATCGGTGATCTTGCGGTGCACAGTGGTAAATGATGGAATGTGTTGTTTGCAGTAAGACTGTTTCACCAGGGAAGATTCTTCAGTTCACTCCTTGCTTGCATGTCTTTTGCAAACATTGCGTAGAACGGTGGAGAAACGCACGTAAGGTTAATTCCTTTCAATTATTCTATGTTTTACTGTTAAAATGTATTAAGTTTGTAAAATTCCGCAAAGTAAATATTTTAGATAAAACCAAATTCAAAAAACTCATGTGCCTCTCAGGAAATTGTTTCACCTATGGTCTGTTTCCAAATTTGTTATTAAAGCTAGCAAAAAACAAACATTTTAATATGTTATTGTATTTTTAATTTGCAAAAAAAAAATTCCAATTTAAAGTTTTTTCTTTGTTTTTTTCTTTCCTAACAAAATTTGGTCAAATTATATACAGTGATAAGAACATAACTTTTCATCCTGCTTTTTCATCTTTGATGCTTCTCTGCGGTATGTAAAGTGTTAGGCAGGTTGTATTATTTACATATGCTTGTAAATTTATCGTAAATGAATCAGATTTGTCTTGCATCGAATTGTTTCTCAATATTCGATGAAAGCTACTGTAGACGTTTGAATTGGAAATGTTGTGAGAGTCAATTCTGCTGCCGGTTAGCAATCCTGATGTGAATTTGCTTTTTGCCAATAGTCAGTCTGTCAGGAAATTTGCCTCGAATTTATGTTGATTCAATTAATTTGAATTGCTGTTATAAAAGGTGAAACAAAACTCCAGTGGATAACATTTGATGTTTCGTTTCAACATCTTTGAAATATCATATTTGAAAGAATTGCCGCATCTTCATTTCTCTTGAACTAAAATCAAAGTCTTCATATAGTGATGGCTTGAATTTCGTTTTAATTCATCGACTAATATTATAAAATAATCTTATTTGTCTCTTTGTATTTCACTCATTTCTACTGATAAATAAATCTTTATGCTAGAGATTCATTACGCATATTATTTTTGAAATTTGCAGACAACTTTCGGCAGTTTCATTGGAATGCTTGCCATGTAAACATAATATTTGTTCAACATGTATGGAAGAATACAAAATATTGCCCATTCCCGGTCTGTCTGTATAAATTCCATAAATAAAAGATATGACATGATCTATCACTAACTTCTAAATTTCACCTGTAATCTATTTTTCTCTGCAGAAAGTGACCGATGTTTTAGTTTGCCCAGCGGAAGATTGTTCAGGAAAAGCATCTGAGGTGGATGAGTCCAATCTGTGCGACGGTATATGTAAAAAATACGTGGAAGAAGGCAAATACATAACGACAAGTTGCTGTCAAGCAAAAATATGCTCCGCTTGTTTCGAGACTATTTCCGGTCGTAAATATTCAACAGGTACTGATTTTGATCATTCCAAGTTGCTTGTTTTGAAGAATCTCTTAACAAGATTTCAATTATTGAGGATATGCAATACTTCACAAATTTATTGATTCATTTTTAGTGTTTTAAGGAGCTTTTATGACGTGCAGTCTTACTGTTATAAAAAGAAGTAGACCTTTTAAATTTAAAATTCACTATGTTTTCCGGAAAATGTTTTTTGAAACGAAATAAAATATCCTTTTCAGGTGTTGAAGAAAGGTGTCCTTCTACTGAATGCCTTAGACATGCTGACGTTAGTGGAATTGAATCGAAATATTTGCTCCTTCTTATTAATTATGATGACTGAAATTGTCGATAAATTAAGAAATTACCTATTCTCGAGAATGATCAGATTATCAAAAATACTGATAGTTTAAAACAAACTGATTACTGTAAAAACAAAATTCTAAAAACGAAATTTGAGTAACTGCTAGCCTCTCTTTTTAAAAATAAGAGTAGTTAATTCAATGCGATACATACCTATCAGATAGCTCGATGCCAAGCTGAAGTCAAATGTAAAAACTCGCCAATTAGTGGATTCCCGTCAAAAGATGAATGCGAACACGCTATGTGCATTCAATGCCTGGAGAAGATGATCGATAACTGTGAATCTGCTGGTTAATCGTGCCATTTTTTATGCGAACTTTGGACAACTCCATAATTACTACACGCATCACTATAATAGTTTTTTTTTTTTTCGAAATGATTTTTTACAAACTTCCTCTTCACAAAGACGAGAATTAAGGTTCTCTACCACGTTGTCCTAACGAATCATGCAATGCGTTGTATAATGTGGAATCCGTAATCGCAATGCGTGCAATGCTACCGGCAAAATCGGCATTCTTCAATAAACTTTCACTGGATAACAACTACTATTACTTGATTAAGGATGAAATAGTTACTGTTAGTAATGATACAGTTCTACTCTCGTCAAATACTAGGCTTGTAATAATTACAGCAATATATGAATGTGCTAGAATTATCATTTATGTTATTGCCAGGAGATTCCTACATTATTTAAAGGAGTATATACTTATTAAAAATATATTTCCCTTCTTTCAGCCAATAAAATTTTCTGCAAATTTTAAATCGGTACAGAGATATTGTGAAATAGATGTTAAACTAAGCGATGGTACTGAAAGTAGGAAACTTCCATTCGATCGAATAGGAACAATTGCTGATTTGATCAGGGAGATAAGAAGAGAATTGAACATCGCTCCTGAAGAAAAGGTTAAATTAACTTCCTTCCTTTCCTATTTCAGTTAGAAGTACTACCGTTGCCTTTGACACCATCACAGTAAGACCGTTTGCTACTTTAATGTTCTTTAGTATTCTGATTGAACCTCTTTCTTCATTGGCAAATCCCAAACATTGCTTTCCTTATATCTCAAATCTATAAATATTCAATTGTTATTTATTACTAATACTATTATTATTAATTGTCGCTATGATTGATAAAGCTCTTTAAATTATGAATACATTATAAGGATAAAAATTTTGAATAAACTAATAAATTTTACCACCTGTTGCTGTTGACATTGATGAACAATTGAGGGAATTTCAGGAATTTCTAATGCTATTTTCTTCAGATGAACCTAATTCATTTTCACATCGTTCTTTCTCAAGACTTACCATCCATATACTGCAGAAATTTTAGTACCTATTATAACCGAACTACACTATACGTTATTTTGTTATCCAAAGGCTTCTGATTGTAATAAAGACGTCGTAGAAATTTCCCAGGTTTACGGATATTATTTGACACGACCGTTAAATGTCGAAGGTAAATCTGATGATGATGGGTACTCGGATAAACCAGCAGACAAATTAGATATTAACGCCGAATCGATCAATGAAACTGTGGAAAAGCTAAACCTTTCGACAGCGATCACAATTGTGGCTGATATAGCTGGAATCGTGCAGGTTAAAAATGATACGGCATTAAATGATACAGGAATTTGAAATTTGCAATGACTTTATTCGTCGAAATATCTTTTCTTTCGTAGTTCAAAAAATTTGTAATGTTGTACCACCACATTGCTGTCGAACTGCTAATGTCTGTATGTTTTTTTAATGTAAAATTCATTTCACTTGTCGAAGTCTAAATAAAGGATAAATTTCTCATGTTGTAGTCAAATACAAATTTTTAATACACAACCATTTCACTACTACATTAAGTAAAGTACTTGAAAGTATGAGAAGTGACTCTCGGATTCATTCAATCTCTCAACATAACTTGAAATTCTAAGTCATGAAATGACAATAAAATGAATTTAAGGATGTAATACTGAGTATTATCTGTTGAAAACAAATAATTTGATTGCATCCCTCTTGATCTCTAATATTCCTTTCTTCAAGTTTCTTATCATACACTGCCTTCTAATATAATATTCGGCAGTTTCTTCATTTCAGGATATTTAATCTTCCAGTTGAATTTCTCTATTTTCAAATACATCCTAATAGGACTTATGTGATTTTCACGAAATTAATAAAATTGTCATATTGTGTTAAGCCAGTTGGCAGTAACTTCTGGAAGTTGTGCCATACGTGTCACTTGATTATCATTTGAAAACAACCGAGCAAATGTAACTCAGTAATATGAGAGAAACACTGTTATCCATCTTCCGTCAGAAACAATAAAACAAACGTGACAAAAATAGATGGCTACTGTTAAAGTTAGTAATATCGTTGAATGGTTGCATGTATCTCTACTGCTACTTCCTTCTTTGCATTTTGTTAAAGCTGTTAATGGTACATTATGCAATCCATTTCATTAATTAATTAGATGTGTTGTTATGAAGATCATTATCTTCAACATAGAAAATTCTTAGAGATATTTTGAACCACAATTCTAATCATATGAAATTCGATGTCTCTCAAAACAAAAATTATAAGCTAATAGTTTGTTGAAATATTACAAAATTATTAAAGATGTGTTTGAGATGGCTCATTTGTCCACAGCAGCGATAGGCTAAGCTATTAAGTTTTGAAAAATCATGAAGTACAATGAACAAGGATTGCTTGCAGAAAGCGCAAACATTTTGTGAGGGATATGTTTGCACAAGGAATCTAATTACATTTCCAGCATGGATTAAAAAGACAAGAAACTGATACTTAAGATCATAAAATAATTTAGCGCTTTGCTTTTCAAACTTGCACTGCAGGAACCGTTATTCCCAGAATGGACTAAGCTTCAATTTCCTTTTTTACCTTCACCTCTCATTTAAAAAATTGAGAAATTTAGTAAGAAAAAGTAACTGAAAATGAATATTCGCTTGTTTTTATAGGTGCAAAGTCTACGAAACGGGAAACTTCGATCAAATTCAAGACGTGAAGGACAACATTGTGTGTCAATCACATAAATTTAAGAAAGTTTTGAAAATAAAAGCGGCAAATTTCAATTTGTGAACTTTGGTAGATTCTCGTGAAAGCTGAAGAGCCTTTTCATTTTGTCAGCAAGCTGTATAGGAGAGCAAAGAAGAAATTGTTTTGCCTACTTCAATAATTCATTGCCATTATTTTTTTTGGGAATAATATCTCTTCAACTTCCTTTTCGAATGAACAATTGGTGCATAGTGAAAGTGTTCAATCTTCAGTTTGATGCCAGCATTCAACCGATCAATCCTTTCCGAATATTACAACTAAGATTATTTCTTCCAAGATTAAATTCTCTTTTTTGTGCGTAACTAATATTTACTTGTTGTAGACAACAGTGGCGCAATGAATAGAACCGCTAATCCGATATTTTACGGAATGAGAATCGAGAGGAGACTGTAAGTTGCTATAGATTTCATACGTTGATTACAGTTTAGTAACGTTGATCTTTGAAATCCTGTGATACTTAGCACTAAAATATAAATGACTTATTACCGATTAATACATTATCTACGCAGAGATGATGATTACTTCAATTTTGTGACTCGATTGGCTAAAAATCAGCAGAAACAGCGGATGATTGTTTTCGGTGAGCATCTATTAAACGTCAGTCGATTTTGGCTCTCCGTTGATTTCACCTGTACGCCCGAAAAAATGATTCATTCACCGTATTTAAATGTACAAATTGAGAAACGAATAGATGATCGTATGCTACAATGTATTGTCGATACCGTAAGCATGTTTCTCCGTTTCTTCATAGCGTGATGATGATGGTGCGAGGTACTGGAGAAGAAGAAAAACTTTTGAAGGAACTTTGGGGACATTGAAACTAGACGTAATTTTTCTTAAGCTGACATTTCTCTAATTTTTCAGTTAGGTTCAAGTATAACCCGCCCAATGCAATTATGTGTCGAGCCGTCTCAGCTAATGCCGGAATCTGCTATGGAAAATATAGAATTTACACAAATTATTTTGGAAGAAGCAGTGACTCATTTGTTTCCTGTTTATATCCAATTAGTGTTGATTAGTATATGTGCCACATTAAGTGCCATATTTTCGGGTCTTACTACTGGTTTGATGGCACTGAGTACCGATGATCTTAAGGTCGTCATAAAATGACTGTGCTGCAGAAGACATAAGTGAAACTGGTCACTAGCAGAATTATTGTCCCATTGTTGCATCATTAAGCTTATTCTATATTCAATTCATCTAATTTTCTTATGCAAAACAAGAAATGCCTGCATCAATTATTTACTGACCATAATGCATCTCTAATCTATGCATTTACAATTTCTGCTTCCATTTCAGTTAATAGCGGAAGGTAGTGAAGATAAGAAAGAACGTGAATATGCTTCTAACATTTTACCATTACGTTCTCAGGGCAATTTCTTACTTTGTTCAATTGTGCTGGGTAATACTATTTGCAATACATTGGTTACATTACTTATCAACGATATGTGCGAATCTATCAATGATTATTTCGTTTATGTAAGACAAATCCGTGGATTATTTGTCTTTCGTATTTCCATTATGAAACATAGCCAATCAATCTTATAAATTAAAATAAATAGATTTTCTAGATAGTATTATCGTTGGTAATACCTACTACCATAATCACTTTGCTTGGAGAAATTGTTCCGCAAGCCATATGCGCACGGTATTTTCTTTCCACTATTTATTTCCACATCAACCTTTTTTTGTGAACTCGTTGGGGCTAAAATTTATTAATTCTTTAGTCTTTTTACATTAATTTTAGCACGTTGTATCAAAGTTATTGTTTTCAATTGATAGTTTTATGCATTAGCGCACGATATTTTCCTTTCATTACTCATTTAGCCATGCTTTGTGTATTGGTAGCCGAACACGCTACTTGACAATATTTTTTATGGTGTTTTCTGCTCCTATTTCATATCCCTTTTCACTTATTCTCGATTGGCTGCTTGGCAAAGAAGGCCGAGACGTGTATGATCGAAAAACCCTTCGCGTATTAATTACTATGCAACGAGACTTAACCAAAGGTAATTCTTCAATAAGACTGCTTGAGGTTATCAAAATTCATGACATTAGTTGCATTCTCTTTATTGTTGTTTTAAGAAAAATTAAGCAATCAAATGGATGGTGAAACAACGGATTTGGTACTGGCGGCTTTCGATTTACCAGAAAAAATAGTCAAATCAGTAATGACCCCTATCGATAAGATTTTCATGCTATCTGATCAAAGCGTTATCGATAAAATGCTTCTAAAAGCTATCGCTGCCAAAGGACGCACCAGAATTCCAATCTACAGTGGCAGTGATCGCAATACAGTTCATATGAAAACAACTTAAATTACTTTTCATTTTTTTTCTTGAAGTTATTGAGCAATTTACATATTGAAATACAACAATCTATCATTACAACTTTTTTATTGTAAAATTGAAAGAAATGAATTAGAACTAGTTTTTCTTACTTCGTGATATTTGCACATCAAATTAGTATGTATTTTAGATATGATAAAAGCTACTATTGTTATATTTTGGATTTTCAATGTACTTACTATCAGTGCATTTTAGATTATGGCCATACTAAATATGAAAGACTTGCTGCCATTTTGTAAGACAACTTTTTTAAAAGTTGGTACAATTGTGCAATTGTGGAAGCGTAGTAATCAATTCCGCTTCATTATTGATAGTATGCCAGTTTTGCAATTACTTATTGAAATGAGAACAGGGATACACATTGCCATGGTGGTTACTTATGATGAACAAAAACGGGATTATATTGTTCAGGGACTTGTCACACTTGAAGATCTCGTCGAAGAGGTTACTATTTGTAAATTTAGTAGTGTGAGCTATTTATGCAACTAATTCAAATCACTAAGTAATAATTGGATTCTTTGGTCATAGAAATAACAAATTATTAACTTAAGTGATAGTTAATAGTAACAATAATAAGTTTAATAATGTAATAATAGTCTGACTGTTCATCTATAATTGCTCTGCACATAAGTTAAAATTTGTCTTCAATTATTTTCTGTTCTATCTATTTCGTATTCTATTTTCATAAAATTTTCCCTTTTTTCGAGTATTCTAGATATTACGACAATGTATAAGAAGGTCAAAAATGACATCCACACGACTTTTTAGTTTTCCAAAGTTATTGTCTATTCAAACATCATTTAATGCTTTGTTACCATAATAACACTAATATTAAATAAGTTAGTGATGACGATAATTAACAAACCAATCACAGTGTTAACAACCTTGACATTCACATTAGAAGTAGTCATTTAAAGAAAAGATTCAATGTCAGGCAGATAGTACTGCAAGCATAATTTATGATGCAGTGGTTCAATTAGGGTGACTAAACAAATTCGAAATATCAAATTTACGTGAATAAGGCTCTTGCAATGAAGAGTATCAAAGATGGGATTTAAAAAATAAACATATGTAAGATTAGCGATGAAGAAACTGATCCAAAAATTTGTTAAAAAGAAACACAATTTTTTTTTTTTTTGCAATAACTAATTAAATCGAAATATGGAATTTCTTAGCAAATAAAAGGAAAAATGTTAACAATCTAACAGGATATTAGCAAGTTTACTAGTGTGTGAACGAATTAGGAATACAAGAAGCTTTTATCATCGGCATAACGAAAAGCAGCAGCAGCAGTCGGAATATTTGAAATACAGCAAGGAAAATTAGGAAAAAATGGTTGCAACAAAATTACAATCTTTTAGAATCATAAACTACGAGTAAAACTTCAAATGATGCAACATGAAAAGGAAATAAGTTAATGAAGCACTCAGAAGTAATTGAAGTAGAAAGAATAAATATATATATATCAATACGAAGGAAAATTGGTGTAGTTAATAAAAGAAAAACCAAAATACTCGAGACCTGAAAAAATTATCCATACTAAAACTTGTAATATTTCAACAATTATTAGTGAGACTTGGATGAATCGACAGTGGTGATTTGTAGGTGGTTGGAGAAATCTTTGACGAACAAGACGTAAGAATTCGAAGAGCAGGTCAAGTGAGCCGAAACTGGCGAAGAACGCACATGTATACGTAATCTATCTCAACCTTATGAAATAATCTCAAATTTATTTCTTTTTTCGTTTTTTGTTTCTATGACAAACACTAACTTAACTTCACTGTGTATCACCCAAACCTCTAACTTTGATTCAAAAAGGAGAGATATTTATAGAATAATTGCTGAAATGTAAAATTATATAAATTCCTTGCATAAATAATTCAACCAATGAAATAAATTGACTTTCCACTTTCTGAGACTTACGAAAAGTCGAAATGAGTGGTCAAAAAGATGGAACGTTTTTATAACATAGTGTCGAAAGATTAAGTAACAGAATAGCAGCGAGAAGCATGAAAGATGGTAAACGAGTAATACTTATCACCTTACTCTAGCAGTCGGAAGTGGAATTGAAGTAGCAATGATATGGGAGATAACTGTGATCATTAATTTTCATTTCTATGTTAAACAAAGAGCTGTAATAATTCATCATCAGACAATGTTAAATCCCAAAAGAAATTGTTATACGAGCAACTGATGAAAGAGAAGTTTGATGATATATGTTTGTGCTTCTGAGTATGGGACAGGCGTAACCAGCAGATTTTCCAAACTCAGTTATCCAACACTCTTCAAACATTCATTAAACTTCAGTTTGAAAAAATTAGCGTAAATTAGTTGTATATAATCAGAATATTTAATTCTTTGTGTTTTCCTGTGCATGATGCTCTTCACCCAAATTTTTGTCATTAGCTTATCAAGCAATACATGTCTAATTCCATTTCTCGTCTAATATATTCGCTAACTAGCAATCTTGCAGATTTCCCTCATCCTTTGACAATGAGCAAGCATTGGGAGACTGGAAAACAGCAATCCATCGACCGCGCATGTGGCAGCTCTCTATCCTTGAATTACAAAATTTCTGGTTTCCTTTGTTCCTCCCTACTTTATACTGCAACAAAAACAATTTACCCATGCATGTATTTAATAAATATGGAAAATGAAATTTTTAATTTTAATTTCGTGATCGCTATTTTGAAAAGTAAATTAGCCTCCGAGATACTGTGTTCAGAATGATCGATTTCTTGTTTGTATAGGTTTAATTGACCAGAATGTGAGAAGAAAAAAGAGGAGTGATCGATCAGATCAGAGGATGCAAAGGTTGTCATTGGTAATAATGACAAAAGAAAGTGAAGAAGAGTGTTGGTCACCACACCGTATGTATCTCTCATTTTTCTAAACATACATTATCTTCTTTCTCTCTTTCTTTCATTATTCCATTTCGCAACATACAAAGTTACCCGAGGAAGTACAGGAAGTTCGGGAGATGATGTTAGGTAATAATTTGTTCCTTTCAGAGGTTATCTATACTGAGAAAAACTTGAGTAATAGGACGAAACATTTGAATACTAATTCATCTAATTAGAAGAATTAAGATAATAGATCCCCACCGACTCATGGGTAACGACCCCCTTTAGAAATCTTCGAATTAGAAGAGGGTGAAATGTGCTTATCCTTTCTATCAAATGTAGTATAAATCCTAACCATCTAATTATTATTTGAATATTTTATCTATCACCTCACCTGGAATGATTAATTTCTTTAATTTTTTCATGCTAACAAGTAATAAGATTATATGATGCATTAGATTTGTAATGTTATGTTTAAGAGAAGTTTGATGATATATGTTTGTGCTTCTGACTATGGGACAGGCGTAACCAGCAGATTTTCCAAACTCAGTTATCCAACACTCTTCAAACATTCACTAAATTTTAGTTTGGAAAAATTAGCGTAAATTAGTTGTACATAATCAGAATATTTAATTCTTTATATTTTTCTGTCATGATGCTTTTTTACCTGAATGCAGTGGCATTAATCAGAAATGAAAGATAATGAAGAATGGAACGGTAGAAAAGAGCTTGGATTAATGTAATCTTGAAATGAATCTTTCAGTTTTAGAGAGATATTCAAGGATTCAGACAGTCACTCTCCACTGTGATATGCATTTCCATTGTTTGCAATGTTTACTCGATAACACTGTGTATGCCAGTCATGTATCTCACTACTAAATAATCAAATAACCACATTTGCAGACAAGAAAAAAAGGAGAAGCACAGCTGCTACCCTTAAAGAAAAAAGGCAATAAAGGAGGTGATATGAGTGGTGAAGAAGGACATGGCTGTGAAATGGCCAATGGATATTATTCATGGCTTACTATTTTTCAAGTGGTTAGTAGTATTATGATATCGAATCTCCTTGCATTCTCTCTATTCAGCAAAATTTTCCTGAGTTCTTCTCTAATCTCTTTAATCAGTTTTCTACTGCTGCTGAATCTGATATTCTGGAAAGGATAAGGAAGATGAAGTAACGAATGGTCCTTCATCCTTGATTCTTCTGTTATCACTCCTTTACCATAAGCGTTAGCTGATTGCAATGATGTGCAATAATTCATTTTTCTGAAAATATTGCAGCCCTGCGCTCAACATCGAATTATTACCGTAATAACTGAAAATGAATTTAACAAACACTCATTAGAAGTAAAACTAGTAAAGATGTAGATATCTTCTATTTAGTAATTATATAAGCTAATGATATGCGATATTCATTAAGAAATCAGTTTCTAAGTGAAATCTGATTATATGAATACATTAATCAGTACTGAAATTAAATTACCATGTTTCCAGTTCGACACAAATTACGATGGTTATATTGCGACGCATGATCTAAGACGATTTGTTCGTAATTCAGCTACTTCATTTGGATTATCAAGACAAGAAGCGGACGCTTTATTGCAAAATATTGATAAGAATGGTGATCATCTACTCGATTTTGCTGAATTCTGCACCCTGGTATACAATATGTGTATATTTTTTTTTAGTTTAATAACAATGATTTATTTAATTTTGGGTACGATTTTATACATCTCACAAATATTACAATGCTTTTTGCATGAGCAGTTACTGCAGATGAGCAAAGCTAAAAAGCTGCGCATGCGACACGTATTGTTTCGAGCGGCACAAATGGTGGTACCCCGGAGCAGTCGAACAGTACCATTCAACTATTTGCAACAATACAACTGCTTTCCTCCGCCGCTCTTTATGATCTGTATATCTATCTTAGAGGCAAGTTTAATCGATTTTGAAGAATACATTATTTAATAGTCCTATATGTGCAGAGAGGTCTTTCTATGTTGCTATTTCATCTACAAACTCAGATTTCCTGGCGCTAAGTGTCCGCTTCTTCAACAACGCATTATTGCTACTCATTAAATTTTAAACATGTTATTTATCCGATTGTTCAAAAAATGACCACTTCAGATAGCAGCTTACGTCTATTATGTTGTGCGACTTAGAAGCGGAATTGAACTGTATGGGCCGGTACCTCAAAAATCTCTCCTCATATTCAATCCTTATAAAACCAATGAAGTGTGGAGATATTTCACTTACATGTTTATTCATATAGGGTAAGATTGTTTCCTATCTTTCAACCATTTGAAACTGCGAATTTTGAAAATGTAAAGATGTGATAATATCAAAAACTCCAGGATAATACATTTGGCTTTCAATATCTTAACACAAATCGTTCTTGGCATTCCACTCGAATTGGTCCATAAATTTTGGAGAATTGCTTTAGTATATCTGTCTGGTGTTCTAGCTGGTAAGTGCTGTGATGTCACACTTTTCTTATTAGCAATACTGTTTTCAAGCATCCAGCAACCACACTTAATTTGTATTGCATCCGAAACTATTTATTTGATATGTGAAATGTGATATGCTGGCTTTTGTCAATTTAACGAATCTAACGAAATACTTTCCGTACATGACTGGTTTTTAGGTTCTTTGCTGGATTACGCTATTGACCCGCGAACGCACTTGGCTGGGGCCTCTGGAGGTGTTTATGCTTTGCTTGCAGCACATATAGCCGAACTACTGATTAATTGGGCCGAAATGGAATTTGCACTTTACCGAGCTCTTGTTTTGCTAGTTCTGATCTCAAGTGACGTATCCTTGGCCATCTACCATCGATACTACCTTAACACGACGGATAAAGTTTTCTTTTTATTGTTCACTTGATTAATTAAATGTCCCTTTAATCAGTCTCCAGCAAAAAGCAATATCCGTATCGCAGGAGCCTCATTTCATCAAACTTCAGGTTTCTCATGTATCGCATCTTGCTGGCTTCGTGGCTGGAGTGCTAATGGGTACCGTCGTGTTACGGAATTTTCGAAAGAAGAATTGGGAACGTATAGTATGGTGGATTGCTTTTACAGTAACAGGCTCTTCATTCTCAATACTTGTCTTACTCAATATCATACCGCATATCTGAGATGTCAAAACTCAATTCAAGAGCAGCAAATTCATGATCATTCAATTCTTCGATTGCTTCAAACTATTGTGACATGAAAACTTGTATATTTCATCAATTGAAATTTGATAACCTAAAGCAGTAGTAAACTAAAACAAGACAACAATCCAATTAGCTTTAAACTGAATTTGTCGGAAAGGCTTGTGGATTACAATCAAACAGTTGGACGTAAGAAAACTGAGGTTTCTGCTTAAATGTAAAATGCGTAAAATGTAACCTCATTTAAAATTAAGTGAGTCGACCAGAAGTTCTGTTGGAAATTTTACAAATTTTATAAATGGAAACATATCAATCATCGTCACTTCTTTCTATTAAAGCTGATTTACAAACTTCCCAAATAACTCTCGAATTCTCACTCAAAATTAATTAGCACATCAACCAAACTAAGAAAGAAAAGGATTTGGCATTATTAGTATGTAAAACATATAATAGTAAATAGAAATCCTTTACGCAGTCAGAGGATTAAAACCAATCAGTCCAATTCACCAGTATCAGTTAATAAATTGATCTGCACGTTATTATAGTCCAGTAGAACCACCAAAAAAAAAAAAATATATATATATACTGAATGAATAAATGTTCGATAGCTTCACTTCTTAGATTTGTGGCGAGTCACACACTTAACTTTTCAAAATACTGCTGCAAGTTTTAAAGATTATCCGAATATGGATGAAATATTCTTTGAACCCAGTTTTATCGATATTTTAAATTAGCAACAACTGAAACTAACATGAATGATATAGTCCACCATGGAATAACAAAAGACCCCTCAGCCATTTAAATTTCATTAGATGGAATAAACTGGAACCGACAGTTTGTTATCCCATTAAAATGCATTTATCACTGAATGGTCCCAGCTCTTCAAAAAATCGGAAATCAAGTTTTATGAGGCGTTCTTATCACAGATATTTCGTCAGTCTATCACGTACATATCGTAAATAAAAAACAATAAACTTATGAGCGAATTCGTTACTCACAATAACCTACTCGATCCCTTGGTATCAGCCTCAATTCGCTTCCATGTTTCAAAAATATATTACCAGCCGACTGTGTTGGATTTATACCTACCCCATCATTCGTTATGATAGCACTCGTTGCAGCTGGTACTTTAAATTCTTCTGCGGCAAATTTCAAAACTGCTGTGAAAGGTGTAGACTCAGGCACGCTAAGCCTGAAAACAATAAAGTTTCTTCCTGAGCCCACGGAATTCCAAATTCCTAGTGAACTGGTAAAGTTATCTCAAGTTATGGTACCTGCATTTGCTGATGAAATGACGAAATAACAAACAGAATGAATCTTAAAGACAAAATAGTAACCATAAACCATTTTGGGTTATTTAGGAAATTCTACCAGAAACCGTAGAAATAATAATAAAACGAATAATAATTTAAAAAAGTTGTCCCGCTCCCAAACACAAGCAACCAATTGGCAAAAATGAAACTATCATTCTCGTTCATCTCACAACAAGGTCCATCAATCAGAAAATATATTTCTTGAAAAATATATTTTCCTCTTCTGAATCATTTTTTGTTATTATTAATGATTTAAAGACACTGTGATCGTAGCAATCTGCATTTTACTTAAAAAAATTGAGTAACTTACACTTTAAAGGGTAGCTTTGGATCGCTTGTCAAAGTTATCTTGAATGTGACCTTGCCAACTGCATGCTCCATCGTTACCCTAACAAGCAAAACTGTTCTGCAAGGAAGCGGCACAGGACCGAATGAAAGAGAATGAATTTAACTTCCCAACAGGAAATCTGTCACAACGAATCGCCACCCGACATAATGAGAATGGAAGACCTGCCCCTAATGCTAGCAGAGATGAGAGAAATAGCACAGACAGAGGAAGAATAAAAGAGGACAGGCATGGTACACACCAAAGAGAAGAACCCATGCAGACATCTACTCCCATCTTACACACATTGTAATGGGGGTCAGCGCGGACGCTACTCCCCCAAACGCAAAAATTATGCTGTTGGCTGACCCCAACTCGGGGTAGCCACACAGGTCAGCCTGGACCCGAAGTGCAATGGCCAAGCCTCACTATGAAGCCCCCGCCTTCTTGATCGCGGAGAACTCCCAGCCAGGTAAGTTTATGAGGTACCGCTTCCATTCATTCGTACCACTGTTGCAGCTGATACTCACCCGTTTTTCAGTCTGCTCATCAAATTATGCAACTGCTGCGATATATAGTGCGAAAGAAAGAGAAACAGACATGCAGGAAAACTCTATTTACACAGAAGATGTCTATTCCGTTCAATTCGATTCAAATTTGGATATGCAAATGTTATTTCTTCCTCAGTATCAATAGTAGTAGATCATTCAAATATTCACATTTCATGAGGAAGTGGGGTCACTTGACCTTTCCAGTTCACTTCTACCGGTGTATCAACCAGTAATGTTCTAGTATTCTACTTACCTAGCTACTTCCATAATTATCTATCTTGAATGCTTCATGAGTGCACATCTTCATGACGAAGCGACCGAAACTCTTTGTCCTTGTCTTCCCATCTGAATGAATGTTTTGCTGAAACTGCCAAAATTACTACCAACTGAAACTCATTTGCATGAAAATAATTATAGATAGCCACGCTTGTTTCAAAACACTGCTTATTGTAGTTCCTTGATTGGTAGCAGAATTGAATTAAATTTTTCGACGATGTCACTGTTTTGTTGAGATGATGCAATCTCTTCATTGCATCATTCTCTTTCCGAAAGTGATTCAGTCCAATTTGATTCATTTCAATTCTCCTGCAAAGTGATTTTGATCTGAGATGTTGAGAAATAAATCCCACCGAACACTATGATATACAAATACATCACACCTGGTCTCGTCCTGTAAGCAATCAACTTATCTCACAAGAATCTTCCGCAACCTTCTTTTGTGTGCTTGGGTGCTTTCCGTACGAAATCACGAGCGGTTTTAAAATTTATTTAGAGCAAATACTGTAAATCCAATATTAAATATGCTCGGTTAAACTTTATAATAAATTCTTTACCAAATGATTGGAAAAATATTATTTCGTTTAGCTTTCAATTATTATCATATACATTGCATGCTATAAATTGACTCATTCTGATAGCTGAAAATTCGGAAATTTCCATTGCCCTTCTGCGATTTCTTCATTCAGAAATATCATCTGAATGAATCAATAAAAAAATTTCTTAAACGTTTAACAACACTTTATACATGATATGGACGTGATAGAACACACAAACAAAGAGAAATGCAATGCAAATAAATATATCAACAGAAGAAAAGCATTGTGAAAAAATTCCCCTCTCATTTATTTTTATATATATATATATATTTGTTTGCTAACTAATATCCCTTCAACAGCTACATTTTCTTGCATCGTCCATACTCACACTTATTTTCATATGACTCTACAATACCCTTGTTCATCTGAAAGAGTAAATAGAACTTCAATATTAATTTCAAGGGAACTCTAATTTTAACAGATCGTTAGAAGTGGAAAATTAGGTGCATTCAGTCAGTACACTACCGATAATTTTCTTTTATATTATAACTTTTATTAGAAGACAACTAAAACAGTTAGGGATTCCTTTGCTAAATGAAAAAATAGTTCATAAATCAGTGATCATTCGACTATTTGTTGATGCCATCATAGCACATGTTGTCGATACTTCAGGTTTTACCCTGAAAATAGTATAAAATTGCAGAAGAATTTTGGGAAATTCGTAAGATCTTATTTCGAAACTTCAAAGAGCAAATTGGACTGAAGGTAAGAAATATTACTGCCAAAACATGACATTACATTTGGCTAGTAAATTGCGTATGAGAATGTGGTCGATGTATACTGCTAGCCATTACGGGTATTCGACTTTGTGATATCTTCTGCAAATTAGTATTAAATGTTATAAAGAAAATAACGGTGAAGAGAAATCTAGTTTTTGAAATAAATTAATGGTTATAAACAAGGAAATATCTTTTGCTGAACAGGGCGCTAATAAAAAGTTTTATTTTCGAAGCTGCTTACTAAAAATTGATATTTGATTAATAGCAGCTGTTCTACTCATAGTTTTATTAATGGAAATGAGAAATTCTTGTGGATGGGAACATGATATGAGATCTGCGGAAATGCTGGCAGACGTCAACTGCTTTAGTAATTGCTGAAAAATGGAAGAATTGTGATTTCATTTCATTGTTTTCCGCTTTCTGCCGCCATCATAATATGCCAAAAACTCCTAAATAACTGCCAATAACTTCGTTTTTTCCCTAACCTCAAGACGTAAGAGAAAGAGAAATCAATATGAAACAATAAGCTAACTTTTTTTTTTCATCCTTTATTTACAGCAATTATCCTTAAGGATAAAAAATAAAATTCATAAATTCATCAAGTTTTCCCGCTTATCTCAGAAAAAAAGATTCAATGGAAATAAATGAGACTAGCGACAGAAAAACAAAAGTCTAGAACTTGTAGGAAAGGCAAACTGAACTCTTTTTATAAGAAATACACTGGCAAAAAATGAACCAGTACCAGTGTGTTAACATTAATAATAAAACGGTAACAAAATACATAATAATCCATAAGAAAAGAAATTACAGTAACATAATAAATTATATTGAGGAACAGCTTCAAAAATAACTGTTGTAACTTCTCCAAAAAAAGGGCTTTTCTCGAAGAGCTGCTCCAAACAGTCTAACAAGGTTTGAATTAGCGCTGGAGTAAAATATTTGTAAATTTTAACGATTATTTCATATATAATAGTTAACGTAACGTAGCTTTTCGGAAATTGTGACCAATGGAATGATCTTTTGCGAATCAAATTAGGCACTTGAAGAAAAGCATTTATGTTAAGTATTACATAAAATATAAAGGCCGTAAGGTTGAAATAAACTAAGCATACCTCATCGCAAGTAGAAGTCCTAGGCTCATGTGTATTAGAAGCTGTCATCGAACTGCCACTAGCATGACCACTTCTCACCGGTAGTCGAGACCGATATGCCTTGTCAGCAACTGCTTCAACAGGTTCAAAGCTCAATGTCGAGGTTTGCATTGCTGACTCAGAAGGAATGCATATTTTTCTCATTACAGTTGTACCGGAGCATTTTGTTGTGCGCAAATGTGGTATACGTGATTGTAGTTCCGGTAGGCGGCTAGCAGAAGCTGTATTATTTTTGTCAGACCTAATGTCGTATTCAGTTTGCCTAAACAGTTTACGATCATTTGTCGTAAAAATACCAGTCCTAACTCCCTCAGAGGATAAGAGTGTAGCAGAAATCGTATTCGACACTGCATTTTGACTATTTGTTACGGATGAATGTTGGATGGAAGAATAACTGCTGGTTATAGTGGGATGAGCATTTCCATTGATTATAGTGGAATTTTGGAAATCTTCTTTTGCTGGCGAGACTACGAAAGTTTGATTCAAAGATGTCATAGTCATAGAAGAAAGCGGTGGACGGATTAGCGATCCGGCATATGTTTTGCTGGGTGAAGTCTTACAAATCCCTGCTGGATTAGTTGGACTGGAAATTGACAATCCGGAAGATTTCATTCCAGAACTATTTTCTGAGACATTTTTTGAGATAAGCGATTGTTGAGTATTTGGTGCAGCAGTAGAAACAGGCAGAATATGTTCCAGTGGTGACGTATTATTGCTATTGTTTATAGGCTGAAATCTTTTTTTATTAATTGACATTGATAAGGAAGAATTTTTTTAATGTTAAAGATTCCATTAGTAATAATAGTAACAACGGATTACTACAGTGTTTAGGGCAAACATTTAAAGAGTTTTTAAAGAATGAGACATGAAAAAATTCAAGGTTTAAAAAAGATTTTTGTTCAAATTTCATAGAATCAGCATTATGTTTTTGCTATTATCGATAGAGTGCATGTTTACCAGCTAAGCAATTATCTTCTTCAAACAAAAAAATCAGTTATTAAATGATGTTTAGATTGTAATTGTAATTGTTATTATTATAATTGTAATTGTTATTATTATTATTAGATTGTAATTAATTATTCAACATTTAGTTAAGAATGTAATGTGTAAATTTTAACTTTTGAACATCCGGTGGGAATAAGAAAAAAAAGCAGCTGAAATTAGCGGTTAAGTAGAGAAAAGTGAAGTCGTCGAAAAAAATTGAAGGAATTTTTACTTAAAAATACCAGCAAAATTTTTTTCCCTTGTTCTCAGCAACTAAAGAGATAATAACTGTCAAATTTTGATAAATATCCGAAACATTAAATAAATAAGGCGTACGCAATGCGTGACTGACGCATCCTGCAATGAGACATGTGGTGGCAGAGTACAACCTACTTGAGAGCCATTGTTAGTGATGGCGATTCTTGTAACATGACTAGTCGCGGGTTGTTGGATTGTGGCTGTTACTGATCCCGTTGATGTTGGCAACTCTGACCATCGAGGTACAAGCTCTGAAATGAATAATTAATCGTTTCTTTATTTTTGTTCAAATTTGACTGAGACATCAAACAGAAGAGTAACGCTAATAATTGATAATATAGATGTAAGACAATGCTTTCATGCTATTTATCATTTCGGTTTCTGTTTGCTGTTTTGTTTATTTCATTATATCCTCTATTTATATTCATTTATATTTGTTAAATATTTACGTCTGTTTACATTTATTATACTTTGTTCCTATTCCCTATTTATTCTATTCTGTTTCTGTATTCCCGAATGAAGAATTTTCTAATATGGAACAAAGTTAAATTTGAACATAGGATTACTAAAATTTAGTGTAAATTGAATATAATATCATGTTTTATGACTTATCTAAGACTTAAATTATGACTAAGGAGAGCCTACCATGATCCATGTTTAAGTTCGTGTCAACAACTTCCGATTTCTTTATACCATCTATGAATTGTAGTGGAGTGAATCTGGAATGTGCAAGATCTGAAATGTTAAATTTTAAAAAACGATCTGAAAAATGATTATATTTACTACAACTAATAATCTATTTGTGAAGAAAATGTCAGTGTTTTCGCATAATAAAGGAATGGTACGTATTTACTACTTTAAGAATAATTTACCTTTTGTTGAACTATAGTGCTTTCTTGAAATAGACGGTGATTTATCGAGCTTTCTGATATCATTAATTTGTTCATTACTTATTACGTTCTGCGCTGTAGTTATCTAAAATTTGACAAAATGCAATATACCAGATGTAACTTCAAAACGAAAGCATTTATCTCTTTCCGGAAAGACTAATTTTGTAACACTTGGGGTAAGTAAAATTTTATTGAAATTGATTTTCTGCTGAGAAAAAAGCAAACCCTGTCGAACAACGTATCGGTTCCGGATGAATTCACGTAAACATTAATAGCGCTTCTATTATCATTGCTTGCAATACCATTATTATTCAACATAGGCGTATCACTGCTACAAGATCAAATTAGTGAAAATTAATTTAACCCCAAAATGTGCTGAAAGCTTAATGAACTGCTAAATTTCTACGCAAATAAATCAAACACAGAATCAATAACGAAGATAAAATTCCGAGTGCTACTAAATTTCTAATGGATTCTGAGAAAAACTAACTTTGCAGCAATGCACGATTCTTCAAGGGAAATAGGAACTGATACTGGTAATCCTACGGAAACACCAATCTAAACAAAATTTTCAAATGCAAAGATGAAGTATGCCAGTGATTCAGACCTCAAATGTTGTGATGTCAATAATTTGTAGAGTTAAGAAAATATTCAAAAAAATGAAAAAAGAAATATTTTGGTAATCTTTTGGTACACAGAAATGAGAGTAGATTAATCAAGATCCTTTAGGACTATTAATTATATCTAATTTTGCAGTAACTATAAACCTGTTTTTTGAAATCGTTTCGAAGTTGTATTCTTTTGTTCATCAGGCTCTGCCTTGGACCGTATCGCTGAGATGGCCGTCTCTCAAACGTGGCTGATTGTCGACGAGAAAGCCGCCCACCATCTTTATGTACATTTTCGTATTCCGTTCGACCTCTTTTTAAAACTTCATTTGATGAAAAGATACAACGATCAGAATGCAGTTCAAAGGTTACAAAGATCGTATTGATATATGTAAGTGATGGTTAAACTTCGCTGCGAATTATTTAATCAATATGGTGCGAAATATCGGAGAGATGAGAAAACTTTACCTATACCGAAATGTGCTACCTAATCGGAACAGTTGCGATGTTTTAGCGATTCGCGGCTTGTGGTATTTGAGCCGGAAAAATGTGTGATGTTCAATAGCACATTTCCATAAGTGTTTGCAAGCTTTATGAGATGACAGATTGAACACAAATGTATGTAGTTGTACTTGTCCACTCTATTATATAAAATGTTCAAAATAAGTAAAAACTTTGAGCAATACGAACTAATGAAAAGGAAGATAACGAACCAAACTAAACACAGGTACGAACATAGTTTATCTCAATTAGGCTTAGCAAGTTATTAAAGCAGTGATTTCTTCCTCTTTTTTTTGCTTCTTTGTACAATATTTTCTCACTAAGATGTAGAAAACAAGATTAAAAATTGAGAATAAGATTTGAGGGGAAATAAACTTACAGCCTGATCGGCGTCCTCTTCTACGACAAGAGTGATTTTTCGATTTTTGAAATCAAGTTTCTGGATTTTTTCCCATAAAAATAAACCAATCTTTTGGACACCATCAAATACTAGCATACCAGTGGGTGTTAAGCCCAAGCTGTAATATCTTTTTCTGTTGCTAATTTAATTAATTCCTAATTTATTGATCCTTGTAGAATATGCTACTATTATTTTCGTTGATAAGAAAAATATCAAAAGTGAAGGAAATAAACCTGTATAAGTTGCCATCTTTCCCTTCAACAGTATGCATATCAACACCATACAGTTCTATCCATTTTGCTTTATTCAAATAATTTATTTCAGCTGTAGCTGGTGACTGTCCTCTAAAATACATTCATTCTTTGACAGAATTTCTCCATCACTTTTTATTGAAAATAAACAGCCTTCTTTATCTTTATAAGTTATCACATCACTTTACGTTCCTGATGGTATAAAGAATAATACCGACAAGTGATGAATTTTTCCAAAATCGCAATTTCCATTTCTTCATCCTGTGCGGGATGAAATCTAAATTCCGAAATTACAGCCAGTGTGTGTTCCACAGAGTTATAATCACCAAGTTCTGCTGTAAAAATAAAGTATGTAAATTTGGGTAGATTTGTTTGGTTTAAATTGAATTGCTTAACATTACTATCTAATAAACCTTTGGTTGATAAAGATTGGTAAGATGGTCGTTACTTTTTTATGCTTCATGCATAAAGTATTTTAATCTTGCCTTTTTTACATTCGTGAAAGATAAAGCAACTTTACTAATTCAAACAAAAACTGCTTTCGAAATGAAATTTTTGAAAAACCAATTACAAATGGATGAAAGCCTTACACTGCAGGGCAAAGGCAGCAAGTTCAATAGCTGTATCTTTGGGACATTCTAATTTTCCAGTCTGAATATCCTGTTTCAGCTGCAGAAAGAACTGGTACCTTTAAAAATTGAAATGTTTGGTATATTTTGCAAATCAATACGTAGTCTATTTTAAGTATAATTTGTCTAATTAGTGTATCACTTTTTCTATCTTCAGTTAATAAGTACATTTAACAAATGCTAGTTGAAAATGGATCTCATCATAAACAAATAACATTTATTTTCAAAGTTTTCATTTAACTTGAAAAACTCAATTCAATGAGAACCTTGAAAATTCCACATGAAAACTTTGAAAACGTCACCTTGTTAATTCCTCGCGCAAATTATTTGGTTCCGAAGAATAGAATTTTACTCTAAACCGAAATGTGTAAGGCGGGCCGATTGGTACTTGCTTATTAATTCGTTTTACCGGATCCAACCAATGCTGAAATTAATATTTTCTGTATAACATAATGAGGATTTATTCCAAAATAACTGGGCACTAGAAGCTTCCTTTTAAACAATTTTATACTTTTCTACCATACTCAACCGCAAGGACTCTCAATTTCTCTGGTTTCCGCCCGTCGGACTTCTTTGGACAGAATTGCAGCAAAGTTCAGCACACAGGACGAAAAACCCATCTGAATTAAACAAATAAATAACTGCACCAAATTTGAGGAATTGAAAAGCTGCAAATACCTGCACATGATAGTGGTCCATAAACTGCAAACCAAAATAATCTCGCTCTTCTAAATCTAGCGCATAAAATACTTGATCGTATAGTTCCCGACCCGGAGCATTTTTCTCAAAATAGGAAATTTGTTACTGAATAGGTATAAGATCAGATTTTCGAAGATGTTTTAACAGGATGATCAAAAGTAAGAGTCAAGAGTGAAATTCAAACTAATTAAGAGCCATTTTCTTTCTTTCTTTGGCTGAAGAAAGAGCATAGCATTACGAACAAAATCAGTAAGGAAGGTCCTGTTGAAAAGAATGAAAAAAGCACTGATTATTTTTATAATTTCGACAGCAAAAGACAAACAGTTCTTTTTATCATTTTTAAAGGAACATAAAGGCGTACCGGAATCACAATATTCATATCCGTACCATCAAGCAACAACACTTTACACTGACAATGCTTTCGAGAATTCATCTCTGGTTGGTCAAATCCCTAAATTAATAAAACACACGAAAATTTCTCCAAAAATTCGTAAAGAATATTTATGTTTATTTTGCTCATATTTAGTTCTATAAAAACACATCAGAAGCTGTAATAAGATTATCACTCAAAGAAATGAAAAAGGAGAAATGCAAACACAATTTTAAGGAAGATTTATCTAATTTCCCACTTGATTAATTGTTTCTTTCATCTATGAAAAAGGATACCATAAATAGGAATCTGATTTATTTCTGAATTCTAGAAGACAGCGTGCGTATAACTAACAGCTTAATAAGTAAGGAGTGTTTAGTATATCACTTTTTGAGTTAATTAGAATTCGGAATTTCTTTCAAGTAAAGCTTTGAAATCCGTTGTACAACTTTTTTGATTTTTTTTCTCTTCTATAAAAATCACTACATAAAAACTGATATTTGGACCAACTGATTCTAAGGTACCAGATCGGATATGCCGGACAGCATAACCGAATAAGTTGGAACGGCAGCTGTGGATCCTGAATGAAACTCAGGTGTTAATCAAATTATCAATCTGCTTGATGAGAAGTGATGTAAAAGATGAAAGATATGGAACTATGATAAGCCAATTACTACAAATGACACAATGGCGTGGATAAGGAGCGCAAATCGTAATTGGTCAAATAGCGCAAGATACATTCCTTATGAGCATTATTTGCAAACTGATATGAGTGGTAGGGGAAGCACTGCAAGGAATAATTTCCATATAATAATAATTTGCTGGGACAAGCGGGTTAACGCTCAATCAACAATCATACAACAATTGCTCGTGGGATGGAATCAATAAACCCATGTATGTAAGAGTATGACGCAACAGTCAGTGACAATCCTTCCTAATACTAATACACAACATCATTTACATGTATTATTTTAGAGTGACAAACTGCATCCCCGACGACAATATTCTCCGGAAAATTCTTCCTCACAACCACATCTCATTTTGATACCAATGTATATGGCAACATTTCAGTTTCCAAATGAGGAAAATTTATCTATTCATATTTCCGGTTCAACCAAAAATTATAGCTGATGATCGTTACAGATGGTAAGTAATTAATGATACAACTCATTCAAAAATTACAAATAGAAAAAAATCTTTGATGACCGGAATTTTGGGTATCTTTTGATATTTATAAAACAAAGATGAGATGATAATAGCAAATAACAAAACATTGGCGCAAAATTCTTACTTTATTTGATATTACCTGCATATCAGCACTTTTTTTTTCACTTTTCAAAACGGAAATTTTATAAAAACAAAGAAGAAAAGGAAAAGCTAAGAGTCTCGCTTTCTTCTTTTTCTTCGTCTTAAAAAAAAAAGATACTTAAATCTAACTTACAAGATAGCCTTTAATTTTGATAGCCTCATCCACAAATCCAAATTTGAAGAATTAGTAGATAGTAACAGAGAAAAAAAGCAGAAATTCAGGTGAAATCAAAGTGACATAATCAAAATCGATCATCGGCGACATCTCTTACGACATGATGTTTTTTTGACTGTTTTTTAAATGCTGTTGTGATTGCAATGGTAAATATACACATATGTCCATAATGCACTCGAATGTATCGATAAAGTGTAAAAAACTTTGAGTTACTCATTAAACCAAATAACGATCTGTTCTCACATTATTTTATGTTTGGGGGAAAATGCGCAGCTCAGCAGAATTCTCTTGCCATATCAACCTCTGATTATATTATATTATATTATATTATATTATATTATATTATATTATATTATATTATATTATATTATATTATATTATTATTATATTATATTATATTATATTATATTATATTATTATTATATTATATTATATTATATTATATTATATTATAATATATTATATGAAACAGCTATTCATGCTAAAGCTGTTTCTAAAATTTTCAAAGATGTTCGAAAACTACCGAAAATAGTTCAAGATAATAATTTAAACATTCTACCTCTTCAGTGAATTTACAGAACTATTTCACTTTTTCCAATAGCAATATGTTACTCATGTAATTTGATTTTTGAGCAAAAAAAATTCCGATTAGAAAATTAGAAAAGATTTCGGAAAAGGATAAAGACATTTATCAAATTTTTCGTTTTTGTTCCCTGAAAGCATTGCTTAGAATGTGAATTTTGGAGAAATTAGAGAGAGTGCACCACGTCACAAAAAATAAAAAAGCAAAGAAAGCGAAAAAGTTGGTTCACAGGAATTTCTGAACAATACAGTAATGCCTTAAAAGAAAACTTAGCTGTTAAAAATTAATTTTTTGAAATTATGCAATCAAAGTTAATGATGGCAAGCTTATGAGATACTATTCTTGGAAAGATCTCAGTACTCGGTGAACTCTAAATAATAACTTTCTTAGCAGCCTACCCTAACAATTAGAAAAATTCACCACTTTCATTTCTCATTTTTTTAAAAAGTTTTGAAAATTGTGTTTTTAGAAATGATTATCCGTTATGATAAATGCGAAAACAATTTTCTTTCTCTTATAACGAAGCGCCAGAAGTAAATTATATATAACTGCTGACGATCAACTAATAACAACAAAGCGTTTAAATCATGTCATCAATTCGTTCGACAAAACACTCTATCAATTTCCAGAAAAAGAGATGATTATTTGAGAAATCTTTTATAAAAATTTCTAATGAAAAAAGCAAACCTGTTGATATTCGCTCGTCCCAGCAGCGTCTCCACCTGGATGGTAATGCCTTTTTGAACGTCGAAAACGTTGACTTAAAGATCGAAATAGACCTGTCATTGTTGATACAGGAAGAAGTTAAAAAACGCGTTTGTATCCTGCAAATATATACAAAGTACGAACGAAAAAAAAAAATGCTTTGTTGAAATTATAAAAGAAAACAGATGCCTAAATAAAATGAAAATGCTTTAAGACCATCTGTTTCTTCCTAAAAAAGTTTTTTATTTTCTTAATTTTCGGATTCTTGAATCAACAAGAAAAGTGAATTTTCGTTCTACTTGAAATGAATCGAAAAATCTGAAGCTTTAAATTGATGTCCAGTGAATTCTGAGTCGTAAAGAAGAAACGATTAATAGAAATATGATAGCAAATTTATTTCTTGTAAATCAAACTAGTCCATCATGAAGACTAACTTTAACGAGATTCTAAATTTCAATCATCTAACTATCATCTAACTAGCTGTCACTATTTCTTCAAAACAAAGTGGAATAAGAGTTTAAAAACAACTTTTATCAATATCCTATGTACAGACTCCAAATTCGAAGCCTAACTAAAATATCAAAAGGCGATTTGGCAATACTTAATCTGACAATACACATTAAATCAGAATTGTAAATTAGATGAAATTTGCATAAATTAAACTGAATCTTTATTCACTTTATAGATAATACTTACTTTATTCAATTTAGCATTATTATAGGTAATACCTAGCCAATTGTAAATGATCTGTAAAAGAGCAATAGTTTTGAAAAAACTGTCCAAATTGATACACAAAGCTACGACGCAGCCAATGCAATAAAAGTTAACAATCAAATTGATGTATGCAAACATTTACTTAGATCGTGGCCAAGGGAACCTACAGTTTTCAGGAGGAGAACAGATGTCGTAGAAACGACAAGAAGGTGGACCTGCAACTCTATAATGACTGCACTAACATTAGCATGTAGCATTCGTAATTATAAATAAAACTGGAATGGTCTAAGTGGGAATATGCCATAAAAACAAGAAGCAGCAAAAAGTGAAATTTAAATTTACTGATGGCACTCACTTCTTAAATGAATTCACATGGATGTAAATGAGCACACCATGGTTAAGCTCACTTGAATTCGTTATGTAAATAGTGGTGACAAGGTGAATAACGAGGTATTGCAATTATCACAAACACACACATGCATGCATATATATATTAATTATTTGAAGCACCATTCATCCTAGAAATCATTCTTTTTTGCTTCTTTTTATTTAAGCTTTTTTCTTACACTTACATAAAAAATTACCTTCAATCAAAAAAAAAATCAACTTAAATTTGATTTAAAATAATAGGTTGTAAACATATTTCGAAAGTAAATTTTGGAATATGTTGGAAACAAATTTAAAATCTGCTTGATCCAAAAACAATAAATCGTCACAGTAGATAAACTTGCGTAGTATGCGCTCTTCGATGAGATGAAGAAATGGAATTGTTGCAATCTCTAATGCTTTATTTCATGCGAAACAGTTATGTTTGGAGCATATTACTAGGCATAAAATGCATATAAAAATTAAAATTGTTAAATGTAAGATGGAAATTCAAACAGATAAAATCAGGCGCTTCTGAGTTTTTCCCTTGCACTTCTCAATTAATTGGATATACAGTCAGATTCATCAGGTCACTGAGAAAACAGAGGAAACAAGTAAAAAAAAAAAAAACGAAGAACGGATGTCCTTATTTTCAAAATTTCAAAATGCACGAAAGTGACCTCGGCTTATTTCGATAGAAATGTTGAAATTTTAGCTAGAAAGAAAAATGCCTCTTCAATCTTTACGGAATGGGAAGAATTGCTAGGGAAAAAAATAGTTACAAAAAGATAGACTAAGTTCATGCTGAATGTGTATTGCGACGATTGCGCATACGGCACTACAACTCTGGTAAGCAATTGAAGAACGAAAAAACTAATTGATCTACTCCTGTCAATTTGGAACTAGTCTGGAAATCATAGGATGCCCGTCTTAACGATCAGCAGAATACTTCATACTTTGACGGTAGCCATAAAAGAGGTATCAGATTTAAAGTGAACTAAGGGAATTAAGTCCGCAGTAAGCAAAATTAAAGTTTAAGTTTTTGAACTGACTTCTCACAGAATATTTAACTGGAAAAAAATGGAAGACTGGAAGGAAACACCGTGACATTATTGAAATATACAATTAACAGTCTTCAATTCGTCATTACCACTTGTTCGTAAGAAACTGTGCAATCAAACTTTTGCAACAAAAGGAAGAACGAGAAAAACAATATTAAGAATACTAATTATTTAATAAATTAGTAGGATGAAGTTCAGACTTTAAAAACAACATTCAATTATTTAAAAACATAGAAAGACAGCACTGAGAATAATGAACCGAAAAGAAAATTATAGCATAGAGATTTCAGTTCAAAATTATTCACGATATGCACTCACCTCTATTATTTTGAACTAGATATTTCAATGATTCCTTTAAAGTGATGAAAATAATGTGAATAATGAATTCCAAGTATATTGCTATCACTGCATTTTATAAATTGTCCGAATTAAATCGTATGACATCCAAAATTGGCTCATTTTAATTGAAAAAATATTTACTAAAAAAATTTTTGGAATAAAAATTATTTTCTGAAAAATCAAAAATCGTGAAATTCTGACAGCAAACCAGGATAAACAAATTTGACAAATTTGGTCATTTATTAACTTGTCAAATAAAACCTTGACAAATAGTAATGGAAGATATGATAATATGGTAAATTTAAGAATTAAATAATGTGTGTACTACTGAGTTACAGATGGTTATCAAGATCGAAAAGTGGACAGAAATATTGTGTCTCAAGATGATATTGAATACCGATATACTAAACATCTGCGTATATTGAGAATCAAAGTTAAGTTACCTCACATCACTTTACAATACTGTATTTCTGGTTTAAGCCTTAAAAAAATGTCACAAATTTATTTAAACAACAGAAGAAGACATACAAAAAAAGAAGAAATCAGAGAATCAATCATTTCATGATAGGTCGGTATAAAAGTATAAAAACGCTGCTAATAAGATGACGACAACATCGCTGAATGATCACTACAGATATATCTCACAACATCTCAATAATCACTTTATTGCTTGACAGTTTATCAGATAAAGTGTTAGAGCGATAATTAACTGCTACTGATTGGCAAATACCGCCATGTTCAATATTAGGGAATTTCAATATTGGGAAATTGATAACAAACAATTCATCCAAAGTGAGTGTTGCTTCGCCATAACATGAAAAGATGAAAATATCTAATAAAAAGGAACAAACAATATAACAAGGATGACTAATCCACTTATGATATATTAGAAAGCGAATATTTTGAAATGAATTATTTGCTAATCAATTTTTGAACGGCGATCTTACTATAGTTTTCATGGCTCTAAGAATATTTCATAGCATCATATATTTTACCATCACTTTTTCTTGTATTCTTCCATTCAACAACTCCTTTTCCTTTTTCTCAGTTTTCGATCTAAACTATGCCGTGGAAGGCACAAATGTCAATATTTCGTCGCTTGTTGTTCTAATAAGCCTCAAGCAACATTCCATCATTTGTTCCTTCTTTGTTTTAACACTCTAAATTGTCTTAAAATATCATATATTACTTTAAAAAATTTTTAGAAGGAAGTTTTCCGTAAAAATTACACCCATAAAGTTTACAGATTACGAGACTGGTTGTGTTAATAGCAGACGGATGAAATCAATGAAATCATTTTTCATCTTATGACTGATAAGGGACTATGGATAAGGTCAAAAATGCAATCTCATCCAATCATTCTTTCAGTTTTATTGTGATCCTAAAAAATGAGGTCACTGAAGCGATACACAAATTAATCATTCATTCATTTGTGTTTAGGAAGAAGGCTATTTAGATCGCATGCACAGAATGTTTCAATGACCTTGTCCTTATAGTCTATCAGATCAAATGGCTCATCGTTCAGACCGCTTCTACCATTCACTTGTTCATTAAGTACTTTGGTATCGGCTTTCCAAGAAGCTATTAATTCCAAAAGAATCTGAGAGTTACTGGAAAAGCCATTAACAGTTGAACAGAAACCAAAGTTTTAAAAAAAGTAATTTTGAAAAAGTGTCCGACACGACTGAAATAAAAAGCTACGAAACATATGCTACGAAACAAGAAGCAAATCTTTTGTTACGAAAAATTTTAGTTTACAAAGTTTCTTCAGACGTAGGAGCAATTTGTTCAAAACTCAAATTTTTTCTTTTTCACTATATCGAAACCCGAAATTCAAACAGAATGAAATATAGCTCGAAATTCGACTCAAAAATTAGATTACCTGTCTGCAGTGATACTGAACAGATCCTTAAAGTTAACAACGAAAATTCATGAAAATTAAACTTTTTTGTTACGTTGGTCGAAAAGATTGTCAATAAAGAAAACCAAGTATTCATGTATTCCATATTTTGAATTACTATCACATATCAAATATTTTGCTGAACAAAACTATTATTAAATTCCATTTCAAGTAAAGGACATTACTGCTATGTTTCTCTATTTACAAGCACAATACACATATTACTTGCTATATGAAAGAATGAATAATGGCATAGTTCACTGATTGCAATATTCAGCTCACTTTGATCGACCGAACAAAATTATTCACTTCTAGTACAGACCAATAAAGAGAGAAACTATCTACCTTAGAGCGAGGCTAAACACTGTGAAACATCCGACAGCTAATTTTTCAAAAACTGGAATGTCAGTGAGAAAGACGAAAATCTTGCATTAGTAGTTAGCAAACAAACGCAACTGCAATGATTTGTCAATCAACCACAACAGTCTGCTAATTATAAGAATCAGAATGCAGAATTTATTCCAAGGATACTTACAATAATGTAAGAAAGAAGATGAATATAAAATTCGGGAACTACAATCCTGAGATAATTCGGAAAAGTAAAAACAAACGGTAGGAACGATAACTGTCGTAAAGTGATACATGGCGGTAATCAACTAAACAGTTAGTAGTGCCTGGTACGAAGTTAGATTTAACAAACG